TCGCAGTTGTTATACGCAACGCCGGGGCATCATTGACGACTCTCAGTTGTTTAGATAACAAATTCGTCGCGTGGATATTCGCCCGGCATTTTGTACATAATTCGTTTTAATGCCAAATATACGGAAAAATATACGTGCAAAATATGCCTAATAGGCAGAACCACTGAAGTTAGAAATTTATAAATTTACTACCCATAAACAAAATGACCAAAAATGATCAGGACTCTCTGCAACGTCAAAAAAACGACATTTGATCGATTCTTATTTGGGAACATAAGCAATGAACACACAAACTTCCCTGGTCCAAACTAAACCACGGACGTAGAAACCGAGGTGCCTGTACCTCTAGTAGGGCATATTTTCTACGCGACCTGCAGAAGTGCATTTTATAAAATACCATTCAATTTTCCATAACTTTTGTCTCTTATTTAATGTTTGTCACATCACTCGTTTTGGAGATATTTAGGCTTGAATATATACTCTTATGGAAAGGTTTAACCACCCCTATCACGAAAACACCGTGAAGCTTTATTTGGAAACACTATGTGGCATGTGGAGAAAGCGGTGGTACCTCGTTACAATATTAAATGAATAATATGCGTGTATTTTCCTCAGAAGCTTACCATTCATTAAACCTTGAACGCCACTGTTTGTTTATAGATTAAGAAATGTCAAAACCAGAGGAAACATTTCAAACATAAATAAATACTGCTAATAGGAATTACACACGACAACAGTAAACATTACATTATTTGATGCAACTTTAGTGGTTATTTCTGAATTTATGAGGACATAACAAAGACTCTCTGACTGAAACATACCTAGCGTAGTAGTACGAACGATGTTTGAAAGCCTTATACTTCGTCCACATACTTCGTGTCCGAGGTCGCCAACGATTTGTGATATCTTCGTTGTTAAACCTCACTTAATCCGAAATGCTAAAGAATTTTGAGTGAAATAATAGAATTTTACTCTAATCAATTGGTTCCACAATTACAAACAGAAGAATCTAACATGGATAATACCAAGAAAAGTATACCATGAAAACCAGTGGCGTGCATTGACAAGGTTTAATGGATGGTAAGCATCTACGCTACTGATTGAGGAAAAGGCACGCATACCTATTATTCAATTAATGTTGTAATGAGGTGCCATAGCTTTCTTCACATTCCATATAGTGTTTTCGGAGAAAATCTGTGGCTAGTGGAATTCTGTCCAAATCCCCCCCTACATACATACATAGTGTTTTCGGAATAGGGGAAGCTAAACCTTTTCATAAGAATATTTGAGGATTTTACAATAAATATTTCGAGACTAAATATCTCCAAAATGAGTGATCTGACAAAAATTCCTTACGAGGCAAAATTTATGGAAAATTGAAATGGTATTTTATAAAATGCACATCTTTTCTCAGAAAAGGCCAATAGCGTAGAAAAATGCTTTTCAGTACCAACCAGGACATAAAAAATACATGGAATACAAATACAAAAGTAGTTTTCTCAGCAAAGTATTATAACACAAGTCAAGTAGATAAAATAGGTGAATAGTATAAAAAATTTAAAATATATCACATAAAGTCATGTTATACAAAATCATGTAAAACCATTGAAAATGAACTCCTTAATTTTGATTTTGAAGGATTTTATCGGCAGAGGTTTTAGAAAAGTGACAACATATCATAATGCTATATTCAATCATAATAAGAAGCCGAAAACATCAATTCATATATCCACCAGAAACCATAAGCAACAGATTAAATCTGTGTTACATAGGTAGTTTTTAAAAGATACACATAAATCACATGCACACCTCAGCTTTGAAACCATTTTTTTTTCAAAGTCTATTAATCTTGCAGACAATCCCACACTGTGAGGTTGTATCGAGTGCGAGAACCAATTACTATAAAATATATCTTGTGGTACACAAGCGATTACATTGTGGTGATGTAACTGTAGATTTTCTAACCCATCGTGGAAGTAATTAAGAGACTGTGTTTACCGGCACTCCTTCGGGGTATTAGTGTTAGATTTAAAGATCTAAAAAATTAATATAACAAAATGCAATTACGCGCATAGGCGTTATTTATGCCCCTCATAACTGTAAAATGTGACAGGTGGTAGGATGAGGTAGACAGCAACTTTATTGACTGCACACATACAATGCAAAGGTACTATTTGTTTTATGGCTAGAGTGGAATTACCTATTCATCTTGATTAATTATTTAGTTATCGTAATTCGTAGCGTTTCTATTCAACAATGGGATATTCTCTACCCAGGCAATATTACATTTTTAATAGCTGAACCAAATTGTGTACATCCACTTCTCAATGGCCAGTGGCGAGGAAGCATTGTAATCACGAAAAAATTCTGTCTGTCTGTCTGTCTATGTATCATTCTGCCCGCTAATCCCTAGTCCATCTAAACTTGAAAGTGTTGCTCGGATTTTCATAAATTTTTTACACATCTATGCCAAAGACGAAAAAGCTTTGTAGTTTTTCAAAATCGGTCCAGTGGCGGCGGAGCTACAAGCGAAAAATTAAAAATCACTCAAACGTCGTTTTTTGACGTTTCAGAGGCTCCTGATCATATTCAGAAAAATGTTTGTAGGGGTTCAAACTTGGAGGTTGGGAATTGTAGGTTGTGAGGAAGGGTAGATTCCAATGTTTTTACGTTTCTAAGCCCGATAATTCTACGCGCCTATGAGACGTATTTCACACATTTGCCCTTAAAAAGAGAAAATGTAGAAATATTGTAAATCCGTCTGAGCCTAGTGTAACGAAAAGCACGACATTCCAAGTTCACCACCGCGTCTGTCTGAACGCGATAATCTCAAAAAGTACCCAACCCATTCTCATACGGCTTTCGTCAGTGGATAGAGGAATTTATAAGGACGATTTGTTTAGGTGTATCATTTATACATTAAAGTTTTATGTAAATTGACTGCAACATGACGGAATTCTTATCCAAGGTATCAAACATTTGCCTATAAAAAGTATGGACTAATTGAATCGGCCTGTTTGACTGACTTGATCCCCTCAAGTTTCCTGTCTTACATGTTCGTCGCTAACTTTTTTCTCAGAGGGTCTAACTTGTGCCAAACATAATCCTTTATAAGTTGATGGCAGCGCTGCGTGGGAAGTGCAGAGTCAACCTACTTGACACCATTTTGCGCTTGCCTATTGAAAAAAAAAACATCTACAACCTAAACATTGTAATCACACCACCGAAGAAATAAGTAGGATGTGATCAGGGTTGTTATCTTTTAATCAAAATGTTTAAAACAAGTGTTTTGAACACGTTTAAAACAATGAAGGTGTTTTAAACCAATTTGTTTTAAACTGTTTTAAACACTGTTTTTTTGTCATTTGTGAATTATTCAAGTTTTTTTATAGTTTTTTAAGTATGATTAAGATTGATTTTATTTTGAAAAACGAAACTAAAAGGGCCAGAGGTTAAAACACAGGTAGGTACTAAAAATATACTTTTTTATTGAATAATGAAACTAGGGAACTAATACTAGTGGAAAAAAATGTGTTTCTTAACGAACGAGTGTACTTAATAAATTGCATTGAACTCTAATACTAGTACATTACAAGCAGCAGAATAATCATATAATATGACTTTGTATTTACTTGTATAATAACATTAAATAAGTTACTTAAATTTCTATAAAACAAAAAAATCCTTAAATCCATATTTCTAAAATATAAAATCATGGAAAATTTACATAGAATAAATTTTTAGTTTTCACTACTTTTTACGGAACACCAAGTAAAAAAAATGTACCTTTTTCACAATTCTCCAAGCTACTTAACTTTGAGGAAATAGTTTCGGTAGAAATACCATCATTGTCGGTATCAGAACTATCTGAAATATGAATATTTTGTTTTTCTAACAAACTTCCTTGTTTAAGTTGTTTACAATTTTTAATATGCTTGCGCGTTCTAGCCACCAGTGGCACTATATCCATATTGCAGGTTAAACATTTTGCTCTTCTATTTATTTTCGAGCCAGCTTTGGCACCAGTCTCCTTAAAATATTTCCACACGGGATCCTTTCTCCTCCCTGTCAGTGCCTTTCTTTTTTTGCCGATCTTTAATGCACAAAAAACAAAACACACCACCACGCTACGACTTCGCACATTTGACTACTGGAGATCGCAACGCAAAGGCAAACGGTACTTCCCCGACGTCCGCACGGTAGTTAGGTATGTTGGAAAAGTTTTTTTTTTATTTTTTGTTACTGTTTCAAACATGCTTTTTTTCAGCTAAATTTGAATGTTCTAAACGAAAAAAAAAAAATGTTTTACACAAAAAAAACATAATTTTTGTTTTTTTTAAACATGTTTTTTTTCAACCCTAGATGTGATTTTATACTGATAGAACGTGACGATACGTTTCATCTAGATCAGAAACAAAACAACATAATAAATTGTTTTCATTAGAAAAAAGATAGTCCGAATTGAGGATTTGAGTACGCTATGTTGTAGCGCAGAAAAAGTGACAATAACATGCAATTTATTTTGAAATTGCATCTCAAATAAAGTAAAGGAAAAATAGAAATAATTCGGCGAGAAATCTGGAATATGATACAAATGACATCCGATAATTTCAAGGCCTACCTAGGAAATTCTCTTTTTCTGTAATAAATGCGATTTCTCAATGAAAATGTATGGCATATTATATATTTTTGGAATCAGAATTAAAAACTATGCAGATGTGCAAAAATCCAATATGACGTCCTTGAGAACAAATAAACGTCATATCGAAATTCTAATTAAGCCATCTTATAAAAGATAAAAACTGGCAATGTTTATGTGCCATTTATTTTGAAATCACACTAAAATTAAAACGGTTTTGGGAAAATTCGATTCATCAGCCATCAAAGAAAATTTTTTAACTTTTAACTCTGAAATAAGGTGTTCAAAGCTTGCCTTTCCTATAATATTATTAATAATTGCTGTACATTTTGTTCTGTCACAAGACATTTTTGAAACTTGGCTAGCTCCATGCCAGATAAACAAATAGATTTGACAAGTTCAAATGATCAGACACGTTAATAGCAATATTATGCTCCGAAATAAATGATGCAATTCTAATCTCATTTTGTTTAATTATTTTATCAGACAGAATAGAAAATACTTTTTTTGACAAAATTCATTGGCTACGCATTGCGTTCATTTCGTCGATATGTTTTTTTGATAGACTATGTTTTTTGACAGCAGCTACACCACCTATATAGTCTTCATTGCATATTTTACAATTAAAATGATGAATACCATGAGAGCTCGGCTTGATCCATTTTCCAAAATCTTCATGTTTCTCCCATGTGGCTTTATATTTATGATCGTATAACTTCTTTTTCTTTATTAAAGTTGAAGACTTATCTGAATTTCAATCGTCAAGCACAGAATCAGAAGCTGAGTCAGAGTCATGTGCTTCATCTTGTTCTTTTGTATCAACGTTGCTAGTGCTTGCTTGTGGTGAATGTGGACATGGACAAGTAACTGGTTCTTGTTTTTTCCTGATTACAAATTTGTCCATATTTCGCAGTTATTCTAAAGTGAAAAATAACAATGTTCAAAAATAATTTTGCAGAAATGAGCTTGAAAATATAATCGTGTCATACGTGAGGTTTAAATGTTTTTGAACTTAAATATGCGAGTAATTTTTTCATATAGCAAAATTTCTTGATAAAGACACAAAGGTAAAAATATTTTAAATACCTACCTTTAAGTTGATCAGAAACAACACTTTGCAATAAAAAAAACTCTACAGAGGCGAAAGTGAAAACAATAAAAACACTACTGTAAATACTGCCCAGATAAAATGCCGGCGGCGCCCACGGAACCTTCTTAAGTAAAGCGATTACGGGACTTCCCCACGGAGCACGCGTTTTGCACGGGTATTCCCCGGCATTAGCAGTGGAGTTTTTGAAAAGTATAACGCTACACTCACTTATCTTTATATAATTATATACTTTATGAATATTGACAAACAGTAGATTTATTTTGAATAAAAATTTAAATTTATAAATAGGCCAGTCCTAAAAATCACCAGAAATAGGTCTTTTCAAAAAAGTTTTCACCATATTACCAGATTGGTCTACAAATCACCAGATCTGGTGAAAAATCACCAGATCTGGTGATTTTTGAACTGAATGCGGCGACTTACTAATAAAGGACTGCTCTTGCTAATAGTGCACTGTTGTCGGCTTTAACTAGTATAGTTAATGCACATCTCAAAATATACTGCGTGCCCCTCGTATCTCTTACCGTTTACCGAAATCCCAATGATGAGGGTAGAATTTGAAACAACCGATATAGTGGGTACCTATTGGTTCTTCTCTTAGCACCCCAAAATTTATAATTATTTATAAGTAAGGAGCTACTTTAATCAATCTTTCTTTTCCAGAAGTTCCTGGTGAGATTGGATGGGTGCTCACACTAGTGATAGTTTCTCTTACGTCTGCTATAATTGGAGCCATAGTTATGATAGTTGTATTGCACTGTAAAAGGTAATTTCCACAAATATATTTTTATTTTATTTATTCATTATCCATTTTAAAAACCGATGAGGTTAAATGCAGTGCTATGAAGCTATATGAAATTTTGTTTATTCTTGCTCGCTCGTTTGTTTCGTTTTGAAAATATCCACTAATTATTTTCCTTTTTGTTTTCAGGATAAAGACATCAAGTGAGAGTGGTGAGTAATATTTTGGTTCGAATTTTGAATCCACGCGCCGGACTTACCCAAGAAACCAGATTCCTTCCGGTCGATAGAAATGAACGGATTTGCGAAATATTGATAATGGTATCAACTATAAGGCTTTGCCATGCAAAATTTGTATTCTCGTTCCCTGTATCTATGAGCAAACAAAAGTCTTATAACCTTGAGCGACGAGTTTGGAAAAAATTAAACGTCGTGAGGCCGAAATTGGAAAAGAAAATGACTGACCACCTGCAATGCCTCATCGGTCTCAGCATCAAATTGACATCAGATTAGGAATCTACACACCAGATTTACCCGAGTCCCGAGTTACTGGTTATCTCAGTTAATTTGGTGCGCTAAATTCGGATACGATCTTAAGAAAAATGGAAGTATTGTGGAGTTATATTCAGTAGGTATAGACAAGTAACCATCTGAGACACTGCCAAATTGATAGCGAACCCAGAACCTAAGCACCCCTGATTCACCCAAGAACATATGCGCAAGGATTTTTGTAAAGTTTCTTATAATGCATATTAAATTGTCCTATATGGCTACAGGCGAGCATTATTAACGTATTTTACCTGAAGATAGTAAAAAATAATGCTATATTCCCACGCCCAAACAATTATTATCAGAGATAAAATGAGATACCGTAACGTCATCTATGAGAATTTTTCACAGCTGTTTTCTCTATTTACTACACATACATACTTTGAAAATGTTAGTATCTCATAGATGCCGCTATCTAATCAGCATATACAGTCTCGGGGCCCTTTCGCACCGGCGGGCCTTCAGCAATATAGCTCTCTTTTATCGCTACACCAATGGGCTTTGCTCCTCAGAGCTCTCTTCCATGATGTGCCTGGTAGACAGACCTGCCTGACTTCGGCGTCCCATCCTAACCCTGTTGAACGTCGTACATCCAGAACTGGCCTAGTTTGTCGAAATTGTGGAACAATCTACAAGAGGAGGATTTTCCCAGTTATACTAACCTTAGGTAGTTCAAAAATCGGTTTTTTTGAAATCCTCATAGCAGCCGCGCTTCAGGTTTGTTGGCTTTAAGTTGCCTATCTACAGGTAGAATAGCAACTATGCACGGTACACCGGTTTAATTTGGGGTGGTGAATCTGAATACCACCATCAAAAAATTATGTCAGGGTCATAATTTTATGTAGAAAATGCTGCTGCCTGAGACTCCTCGCCGGTCCCAGGTCCCAGGAGCAAATTCACATCGGAGGCATAATTCAGGTACCGGATTTACCGAAGATACGAGATCATTACCCAGTAGCAGATGTGGAGTATTTTTGAAAGTCCCTACTAATCCCTACTTTCCTACTACTACTAATGTTTTTGCAATCAACTGTCGTGGCAAGTACCAAAATCTCCACCGTCAGGGTCAAGCCGGCAATAGCGCGGTCTACCACGCCCCACTCAACCTGTGACCGTCAAGCGATGCAGACGTTTTATTTTATTTATAGTTGAAATTATGACTAACACAAAACATTTTTTGACTAATCCTATGAACCTCCGATCACATTTTATATATTTGATGGCATTAGTAAATTGACAGTCAACTTGCATGCTTGGGGAATTTGGTCACTTTATTAGTGTCGCCATCTACACGTTCGGCGGGTGGAAAGCTAGTATCTATCTCATACATTAAAAATTCTTCTTCTTCTTCTACTGTATTAATAGGCTCATGCCTGTTTTACTTCGATTTTTAGCCTCATGTTGTCTGACCATCTTTTCCTCGGTCGTCCCATTTGGCGATTTGTCTCTTGCTATTCGTACTGTTCTATTTTCTGTCATTCTTTCTATATATTGATTCCATTCTATTTTTCTTCTTTTGGTCCACAGGTTTATTTCCTCTATACCACATCTCGCTCGTATTTCCTCACTTCTTACTGTTCTTACCGTCTCTTAGAGTTTGGTTTGTTATTTTTCGTAAGGCTTTCGTTTCTGCTGTTTCCAATAATCTTTGTGTTTTCGCCGCATCTGCTCTTATTTCCGCTGTGTACGTCATTATCGGTCTTATTGTTGATTTATATATCCTAGTTTTCGTTTCCGTTGTGAGGTATTTGTTTCTCCAGATTGTATTGCTCAAACATCCTGCTGCTCTGTTCGCCATGTTCACTTTTTGTACTTCTTCTTCCACTTTTCCATAGCTTGACAGTTTGACTAGCAAGTATTCCGTTTCCATCACTTGTTCTATTATTTTGTTATGTACGACCAGTTTACATCGTCTCGGTTCCGCTGATATCACTATCGATTTACTTTTCTCTGTTGAAATCACCATGTTGTACCTATATGAGCGTCGTATCTTCGAATTCTTTAATTAATCTTCATTTTCTGGTATTATTATGGCGTCATCGGCGTAGCATATTATCTGCATTTCCTTTTCTCCCATTCTATATCCTCTTCTTTTTTAACTTTCTTTATGATTCCATCCATTATCAGATTGAATATTAGTGGGCTCAGCAAATCTCCTTGTCTAATGCCAATTTCATACTTGATAGGTTGCGAGAGTTCTCCTTTACATCTTACCATAGCTATGTTATCTTTATATACAGGGTTACTTCGAAGTTGAGTCATTTATTTTAACAGTGAGTAGATCTGATCAAAAGAAATGTTTTTTTCCTTTAACATTTTTCTGGTAAAATTAAAGTAACAAAGTTTGAGTACCGCCCTGTCTCAATAATAATATTGTGCTCGTGTTTGGCAACAACGGATATATCGGTTCATCGCATCGGAAACAAAAAAGCGAAAGAATTTGAAACGTTTATCACGATGTTTCTCGTCATTCGGTAACGCGTGAGTGAATAGTGGTGTTTGTTGCGTGGCTCAAACGAAATAAAAAATGGCACATGTTTACGAAAATGCTCAACTTGTGGACATGATTCTTATTTACGGGGGGGTCTTTATAAAATGCTGCCGCGGCATCACGGATTTGTGCGAATCGGTTTCTCAACCGAGTGCAACGAACCCCTCGTGCCTTTGTTAATGTAGTACAAAGGGCTCGTGAATCAGGTGACTTAAGACCTCACAGGGGAGAGCATGCCGGTGCTCCAAGACGGCACGATCAAATACAGGTCCGTACTGAAATACTTGTCGGGAGGATACTTTATAAAACAAGGTAACATTTTTTTTGATTTTTTTTTATTTTTACACACATATTTTGGTTTATCTTCCTTCTACAATCATTATCTGAAAATTAATGACTCAACTTCAACGTCACCCTGTATATTCTCAATAGTTTTTACTAAATCCAGTGGTATTCTCCTGTCATATAATAAATGTATCGCGTCCCGAATTCTCACTCTATCAAACGCTTTCTTCAAATCTATCAGGCACATATATGTTGGTTTGTTGTATTCCAGCGACTTTTCTTTTATTTGTCTCATTACAAAAACTGCATCCGTGCATGATCTTCCTGTCCGGAATCCTTGCTGTTCCTCTTGCAGAGTTATTCGTTCATTTATTTTTGTCGTTATTATTCTTGTTGTCAATTTGAGTGTTGTATTTAATACATTTATTGCTCGATAATTATTTATTGGGGTCTTTCTTATCTCCATTCATCTGGTATTGTGTTCGTAGTGATTATTTTTTTAAATTTATGAAATTAAACTAGTTTTAACCATTTCCCTTAATTTCCCCTTCAGATCCTGACCACGGCGGCGTATCCTTAGAACAAATGGCTGCGGGCAGACAGCGACTGCCCATCCCGGGCGGCCAACAAGAAGACAAGGAGATAGTAAGCAGTGCAATATCTGTACTGACGGCCTTCCCTTCTGGGGGCAGCCATCATCGGTCGAGCAGCCCAGCCGCACATTACCCTTCTGCCCATCACCACCACCAAAACGCGACCAATGGGGTTTGGTCCTGGTTGGCGAGGCGGAGCTCGGGGTGTCAGCAGCATCATCAGCAGTTCAGTTCGCCGACTACGTTGCCTGTTGAGAATCACTACACGCATATGGAAGATGGTAGGTAGTTTTAATCCCAGTTTCAGTAAAGACATTAGAGGAAAGATCGAAGGTACAGTATGCGGAAATCACAAATGTTGAATGAAGAAACAAAGTTCCCCAAATCATATCTACTTAACTATGGCTGATACTGTTCTTTCTAGTTGCATTTCATTGTTTTATCCATTTATACAGAACCTTCCACGACGATTTGACAATAATTCATTTGGATATGGAAAACTATTGGGATTACCTTTTCGAATTATTCAAGCTAATATTGGGCCACATGCTTTTTGAAATAATAATTTAGTCGTTTGCAATACTTGAAAGCAACACTTGAGACAAAATGAGCCGTATTCATAAAAGAGAAGCATGTCCTCGGAAGCATAAGGTAAAAGTATAAGGTCTTGCTTCGGAGAAAAAGGTACAAGTATAAGCATATCCTTGTTTTCATATTCATAATGATTACCTTATACTGGCGAGGATATCCTCCAAGAAGAAGTAAAAGGTTGACTGGTATTTGTATCTTGAGTGATATGTCCTGACTTGTTGCAGCTTGTAGTTGACGTGGGAGTTCGTTCACTCAGCATCACTGTCAGTTGTACTCCAGAGCTTACACAGACCTTTCCGTATTTTTATTGGATACAGTTTTTTATCAAATTGATAAGCATGTCATCCTCAAGTGATGAGGAAACTATAGAAAATTATGGCAACGACCTGGAGTTCCTCGCAGATGAAATTGCCATTTCTCCCATTATTTTGTAAAAGTCACATGTTCCAAAAATAAAAATGAGAAAGGATGATGCCTTGAAGAAGATGTTGAAAAAATACGAATTAATATTCGCTAAACCATTAGATACTAAAGGCTTATTAAAAAGTCAACAACATGAAATCAAGATTGAAGAAAAAAACAGATCTAAAAAAACTGGTAATAAAGCAATTAAATTGTTAGATTGGGAAAGAAACTTGCTGAAAGCTATGGAAGGTGACTGTAATCCAACAATTGGAAAAAATAGAGGTACCATTCAGGTTGGTAGTGTTCAAGAAGAAGGAAGTGAACTATATACCGAGCGCGGTGAGCAAACAGTTAGTATTACAGCGCCAGCAATTCAGAAGAAATTGCCACCAAAAAGAAAATTAGCAACAGATAAATACGAAACTGAGGAAACCAAAGGGTTAACTACAAAATAACTGCAACGACTGGTGCTATTACAGCAGTGCCAAACAAGTATTTTACAACAAGAGTATTCTAAAACGAAATTAGAAATGATGCAGCGTCAGAAGCCATCTGTAACTTATGATGTTCACGAAAATAAAACTTATCATAACTTATAAATACACTTTAATCAGTAAAACTATTTATTATAATACTCAAATTTCTTCTTATTTGTTGACCTAGTTGGCGGAGAGGAAGTTCGTCATTCTCATGATTTCCTTCGTCTTCATCTGGGTCTCGTTCAACTAACTCAAAGTCAGAATCGCCCAAGCTCTTCGCAACAGTATGGAGTTCGATACAAGCAATAATTATTTCCGGCACATTTTCCAACTTTACGCAGCATACTGTAGGATAGGAAACCGGCGTTTCAGTTGGCCGAAACAGCGTTCAATTATAACTCTTTCTTGTTTTAAAAGCTTATTATAATTTATTTCTGCACCTGGAGTAGGATTTCTGAAGGGAGTCATAAGGCATGACCCAATACCACAACCCTCATCGCCAAGTAGTACAACATTTGCTTTATTTATTAGTTGTGATCTAGTCTGTGAATTTCTCCCTATTCTGGAATCATGCACTGATCCAGGCCAACTGATATCAACACTTGTGAACATCTCTCTGGCATCACAAGTGGCTTGCACATTTAAAGTATGTTTCTCTTTTCGGTTGATATACTCATCTCCATGACGATTTGGTTTCAAGATTCCTATATGTGTACAATCAATTACACCAATTGCTGTCGGAAATTTATACATGCTTTGCCATATCCGCTTGGCCTCCATCAGTTCATGGTTGGTAGTTGGAAACTTGATCCATTCTTACGACTGTGCAACTATGCTGTTCACAACTCTATCCACAGTACGAGATACCTTTGCTTGACTAACACCAAGTTCCTGAACAATACCTTGTTGATATCCAGGGTCACCGAGATAGCGTAGACATATCTTCATTTTATGAATGCATGAAAGTGCTCCTCCTCGATTTTCCTTATTCTCAACTAAAAATCTGTCCGCAAGCCATTGTACATTTGATTCGTCACGACCAAGTGAAGGTAAATGAGATTTGTACGTTTTAACATCCCTAACATCCACAATTTCCGCCATCATCGTTTGACCACCTTTCGTTACGAAGTTCAGTCTGCTACTGACCACAATCAGAATTTTTGAATGATATGCTTCCTATGCCAAGTATAAGGTGGATGTTTTTGAATATCCTTTTACTTATGTCACTGCTTTGAAGGACATCAGTAAAAAAGCATTTACTTCAAATTATTATAAATACCATCTGGAGGATTTACTTCAGAATTTGCAAGTACAAGGATATCCTTTGTTTTATGAATAAGGCTCAATATATGAGAAATGCTTGCTATACTGCAAATTTTACTTGCCTATTTCTTGGGCGTATATATCCCTCAAAATTCAAACAGGGTGCTCATTTTTTTCAGTCAAGTCAATAGGCCAGGAAAGAACTGTAATCGCGAACAAACTTCAAATGGAAGAATAATCTTCAGATATAACACAGTAGGTACAATTTTGTGACGCTGGACAGATAATCTTTGGCACTCTATTACAGACAGAAAAATATTTTTATTTATTCGTAATGCAATACGTAACATACCGAGGGTCGAAATTGAAGCTGCAGTTTTGTTTACCCATAAGAGGCTTAGAGCATTTAAAGGGGCATTAAAAACCTTTCTTTTTTAAATCGGCCCTTCTTAGGGCCAAGAATAAAAAGAGATTTCAGAAAAATTATTTTAAAAATATAAAAATTTAAGGGATTTCCGTAAATTTTCTTCGCGAGCTTGTTTAGACATCAGTTTTTCATATAAAAATCTAATGTATTCAATCTTTTTGAGAAAATTAACTAGGTACTTCTGTCACAAGTGAAACTAACAAATCTGTATTATAAATAAAAATATAAAAAATTTAACAACATTATAACATTTGTAGCCAAAGAGTAGATCTTTTCAAGTACCCCACGTTTGTTCAAATCGGCTAAGCCGTTTCGAAGATACAGGGTATTTTTTACGGAAACCTTTATTATACCCCCCACCACTTTACTTTTAGAGATACAGCAAAAATTGTCAAACAAAAAAGGTACAGATTATCCTCAAATTTAAAAATAAGGTATTTTTATATTAGATTAATATAGAGGAATTTACAGAAACTTCAGATTCAAGATTGTAGTTACGCCACCTGGCGGCCATTCCAGAAACTAAGAAATATTTTCCAGGTTTTTCTCTTCGCCGTTTTAGTAATAACTCTTTTTGCCTCACGCCTGTACGTTGGATAGGTTCCTAGATACAGTACCTCACATTCTTAGTTGACAACCCTGTACACGAGGATTTATATATTCTTTAGAGTGAATGCCCCTCATCTCCAAATAACAAATTTTGGGTAACTTTTTTATCAAACTTCAAAGTTATGTCTATAGAACAACTGGGGAAGGTTTGAAAACACCGTCAAGAAGATAGTTAATGGGTTATCCAGTTCGTTGCAACGGTTAATTGGTTATTGCTTAAAATTATTCATTTTTTGTCGAAAAATGCATAAGAGTAAATATGAAATAGTAGCCCAAAGTTAAAAGCCTTTGCAGTGATTAATATAAAAGACCATGCCGCATCGTCCAGAAATTTCTTTCGATGTGAAAACTAAGATCATTGAGTTATACAAAGATGGTCAATGTCAAGTCGACATTACCAAAAATTTGAGGCTGAAGCGTAAAGCAGTTTGGGCAATATTGAACAAATATAAACAAAAAGGTATCTTGGAAGCCTCTAAGAGAAGTGGCCGGCCTAGAAATCTAAATGCTAGATCAGTTAAATTAATAAAAGTAATTTCGTCCAAAGATCAGTTTAAAAAACCCCAATACAAATAAAAGCCGAAATCGAGACAAAAGGAATCGTCAGTGTTTCTACGAAAACTATAAGTAGAAGATTAAATGATTTGCACGTCGCCCGAGTAAGAAGCATCTAAGGAAAAACCGTAAGGACCGATTACAATTTGCACGGTTGCATCTTGATTGGAGAATCTGTGACTGGAAGAGGGTATGTTTCAGTGACCAATCCAAGTTCAATATGTTTGGATCAGATGGTGTTCATTACGTTAGGCGTCCTAGTGGACAAAGAATGAACCCCAAGTACACTTTGCCCACTATCAAACATGGAGGCGGGTCTGTTATGGTTTGGGGGTGCTTTTCGGGGTTTGGGATGGGACCTTTACATAGAATAGATGGCATTATGGATAAGTTTGTATACACAGACATACTAAAGCATGGCATGTTACCCTATATGGAAGACAATATGCCCTTAAGATCAATCTTCCAGAAAGATAATGACCCGAAGCACACTTCAAATCTCGCAAAGAAATTCTTTCTGGATGAAAAAATACCAGTTCTCAAATGTCCTTCACAGTCTCCCGATATAAACCCCATTGAAAATCTATGGGAATACTTAGATAAGCAAATACGAGATAAGAATTATTTAAACAAGGATGAACTTTTTGCCGCTTTAGAGAAAAAGTGGAGACAGATTGATGAATCTTATATCAAGAAACATCTACAATCTATGCCGAGACGATGCCGACGATGCCAGGCGGTGATTGAAAATAATGGTTATGCTACAAAATATTAACACAAACCTGGTTGGTTTTCCATAATTCAATCAACTTTGCTTCTTTTTTCTATAATTGTTTTGCTTGGTCTATATATTTTTGTCATTCATACTTCCAGTTTTTTTTTCAATTAATTTTTTATTGAAGGGAGTCTAATGAATTTATTTATGTATTATGCTATAACGAATTATGTATACAGGTTGGTGTATTAGTAAAATAAATTAAAAAAGAAATATACAGCACAATATTAATTTGTCTATAGGAAAAATTTTACCACGCAATTGGACAATATCTCCATTACTATAAAACAGTCAAAAATGTTATTTACAAAAATTGTCGACTATACGCTTCCTACTTGGAATATACCGCTCCCAACAGGGTGGTTCATAAAATCATGACAACAGAAACGATTGTTAAATGGAACACCTTACATCTTTTAGTCTATATCCTAATATGCCACTTCAAAGTAGTCCGTCAAACGTTTAACGTTCCTCCTAATACCCACAATCCGTTGATATCAAGGGTTCCCCAAGCTTCTGATCCTGACATGATTACTGCGAACAGCACTGTGATCGTAATGGGGGCTTTAATAAGAACTTATAACAGGGTCATAATCGGTCGGGCAGCCCAGCTGCCCATTTTCTGTCCCAATCACCAAAACACGACCAGTGGGGTCCAGAATTAGTTCCGGGATGTCATTGTTACCACGACCAGTTCAGTTCGCCGGTCACATTCATTACACGCATTTAGAGAATGATGATAGTTCCGTAGAGTCCTAAGAAAAATGGGAATTTCAAGGCCTCCTGAGGTCAATAAGACACTGTTATCGAATTCGTAATATACGTATACGCACCCGATTCACCCACTCAAGAAACGGGTCTTGCCCAAAATATAGATACGCCAGGATTTTATTTATACCCATATAAACAAAACGTACACGACTTTATCGTTGCGGATAGAACGCGGTTTTGTGGTTATGAATAAATTATCTGCTGAAGTTTCATATTCTGTACAAGGCGTGGAACACTGTTCAAATGTGTGAGGTGCTACTACTCCAACTGGCCTAACAGATAGTCTCAAGCTTCCCTCACACCCTCTATGATGTCACCGCGCTCTAGGCCTGTCAGACGGACTCATCAGGCTTCCACTTCTTACCCAAACTTCGTAAAAGTCGAGAACTGCCTAGTCAACCTTTGTAACTCCCTCAGTATAAAACAATCTGTGACTTCAATGTATTGAATGATCCTGTTTTGTTTCAGGTTACAACAGCGTCAGTGGCCGAGCCCCCAGCACCGTCCCGGCAGGCGATGAAGACGCTCTGTACGCCGAACTAGACCGCTCCGCCTCACCATCGCCTTCTGATGCCTCCCCTGCCTATCAAAATTCCGCCTACGCAGATCCCGACGCTCCGCCCAGTGCTCCAAGCTCCGCCTACTACTCGGACCTGTCTACTCACACCGCGGGAGCGGTAGCGATGCCCCCACCGCCTTTACCACCCCTACAACAGAGCAACGAACGAGCATATGAAGTGGTGGGGTTGGCAACGTTGCATCCGGCATGTTGGGGCGACTCTGGGCGGGGTAAATTGGAAGCTATTAGTGAACATGGAACAGTGCCGTCGGACTATGTGTAATGCTACTTGGCAATCTGCTCAAACGATATTAGTCAATATTTATATTCGTCTTGAGAGTCAGTGGAAAGGAACGGAGTGATAGTTGTAGCCCTTTAGAGTTATAGGAACATAATATACAAAGTGTTGTTGAAGTGCTTGGCCAAACTTCAAAGAGTAGCTCTTTAAAGTTTTTTTGTGAAAACCTATCAAGAAAAATGGGTTCAGTGAAACGAAAAATGATCATGACCATATAGGGCGCCCAATTTAGAGCATTAATTTCTTTCTTTTGGTGATTTGGGTTTTATAGGCTCATTTTTATTGTCGGATTCCATTTGCGTTTTAAGCGATACATCTGCGCATGCGAAACCTTGAAAACAAAGCATTACCGTACGTCTTTTCATTTCAAAATCACCACCTCTTGAAGTTTAACCAGATCATTTATTAATTATTTGCCTACCTTGGGCGCGGATCTCTCATATACATTTTGGAGTAACCTATGCTAGATTACAGAGGTTCTTAAGACATAATAACTGTATTTTGCCGCTAAAACTGACTTTCCATCAGAAAATTATTGCTCACAGTTGTATATACTGTATATAGTATTTATCGAGGTATTTGTACAGGGTGCTTTCAATGTTGAGATTCTCCAGGAAAAAAAGTGTATAACTTTTTAACAATTGAAATTTACTGAATACGATATTTCCGATACGGCCCTGTCACTATAGGATTCTACGAATCAGTCGAAGTTGAAGCTGTAACCGTTTAATTCAAAAATAAAATCCTCCTACTTCGCCAAGAATAACCCTATTTACTCTTATACATTTTAATGACCTTTCACTTTCCCCTAAAGGCAAAAACAAATTGCAAGATGTTAAAACTGGTCACAGAGCGTTATCTCTCAGCGGGTATGCCTACTCTATTTATGTTACTCCATGGGTCTATTTTATGTACAGTCCTCTGATTATCTTATTTTTTATCTTGATTTATGTAATCACCTATTGTCTCGTCACTCATGTAGGTACCAATAAGGGCACCTCGTACAGGATCACATAGAGTACAATGTACAATGATAACATACCTGGAGGCATTAGTGTTGGAAGGAAGCTTTCACCAAAAGTATTGTAATAAACCGTTCCTTAGATTCAATGGATAAAATATCTGATAAGCATTTTACTTACCCACATCATGCCATCCCAGGTTTCACCAGAAATGGAGCTATGATCGAAGCACAGTTCGGAGATTTTCAAAAACACGTATTTGTCCAACACTCTTTTTGAAACACGCAACACTGATTTCGAAATCGCGGCACTCGCGGCATTTCTGTCGTGTTCGTGCAATAATCACTTACAACAACGAACTCTTAACTCCTACGGTTTTACGGGATAATTTTCACTCGAAATGGACTTGACAAAGTGCTGTAAACACTATCCTGATCCTTGAATGGACTATTTTCGTTTTTTTATTCAAATTTTTAGGGCAAAAACAACTCGGTTGCTCTGTCGGTTGCATGCCATAACTGCGCATGCGTATATTCTCGTATTAGAATTGGAGAACAGAATCGCACTCAGGAAAATTTTTCGAAGTCTACTATTTTTTGGAGGCCCTAAATGTTTAGTGTAAAAAATGTTCCAACATTGAAAGCATTCATATTATACGTATAGTACCACACTATACATTCCATTTTCCTTCTTTACCTGAACATAATGTGCAATTTGATACATATACAAATATGATTGCTTATATAAAAATGTCATAATGTAAGACAGTGCACTTTGCACTAAAAATGTGATAAAATGTTTATATTGTGCATATGATGCTAATATTACGAATGTAAAATAAATAATTGAATATCTACACAGATTTTTGTTTATAAACCTTCCTGAACATTTTGATATAACAATAGACCCAAACAGTGTTACCATAGTCGGAATAGGGAATATGCATGTGATTTAAGTATCACTTAATTATTTTTATTTATAGTCTATATTGCTACAGAATGACACCTGCAACGTTATTTTGTACTTAAGCGGTATAAAATTACTTGTATTAATTGATAAAAAAAATAAGAAATACGCGGTAAATTTAAAATATCGAAACGCAACGCGATTGGCATTTTACAACTTTCTAGTTTAGACCACATTGAGATATATGTACAGGGAAAACCAAATTTGTCTGACGGCTTGAGTTCAATGTGTACGAGAGGGAAGCGCAAAAAGTGTGTATCAACAAATTAATGTTAGATGCCGGCTGAAGAGCGAAGGTCATCACCACATTGCCTTGCGACTGTGACGCAGGTCGTGCAATCTGCCGCGTTGCCAATATCTTACACCGGAAAATGTTCACACAGGCTTCTACAATAGGTTAGGTTACTACTAAACCCAAGAAGGAGGTCTATTTATTTCAATTTTAATTCGATTATTGTTTTAATTTACATTAGAATTACCTTTGATTTCCACCGATGGTGATAAAATCAACACATCCCGAGTTACTGCTACAGCCAGCAGTCAGAAAATGTAACAAATACCGTAATACAAATTATCACTGCCTGCGTGAACGCAGGTGAAAACTATTTCGAAGCAGGACGACAATACCCAATGAGCGCTAGATGAATGCTGACCAGAATCGCTTATCTGTAATCATGGAGGTAGAAACCTTGCCTTGCAATGTACGAGATGCACTGTTGTCAAACTAACCAATAAAGCATTACTGTGGCGATCCTGACATTTCATTTCAGCCTAAAATGGAGCGCCGTTAGAACTGATCCGGAATCGATCCCGAACAGATTCGTCAGTATTAAGAAATCGGTACGCTCAAAATAAAACCATTATTTGGGCGTAGAGAATAAACTAACGCATATTTTCAAGATGCATCTTAATTCAAGGAATAACATATTGGCAACGCGGCAGATTGCCGCGTCAGCGTTGTCCGGCAACGCGGTGATGAGCTGAGCTATGATGTCGGATTCTATCTCTTTCTAACATATGTATCTCTATACACACTGCTCTCTCTCTCTCTCTCTCTACACATTGAAATCATGCCGTCAGACAAATTTGGTGCTCAGTGTATAAGAATGTAGGAGCAAATAATATAAGTATATAAAATTATCTTCTTAAAATGGGGAGGGCAAAAGAAGATGGTATCTATTCTATACTTATTTTGAAATATACTTCACAACTATATGAATTCCTTTTTGCAGATATATTGTCCCTTTTCATAATTTTGCACTTTAACTGGTGTTTTCCTTATCGTGCACATCAGTAAAATACAGTAGTATAATAAGGTTTTCATACTTGTTTTTTTTATTATTAAAACTAGAGGATAAAATAGAACCTTGGGATACTCGACCGCACATTAAAAAATTAATCAAATGATATATCGAGGGTTATGACGTTACTGCGAAGTACTAAAAAAAGCGGCGTTTAAATCAACGTCATTGATATTTCAGTTTTAGATATTTAATTAAAAAATACAAACATTTCCTTGCATTAAATATGTGTTTAGGTCATTCCCTTTTAAGATTTTTCCCAAGCACCCAGCTAACAGACGTGAAGCGCCTAGTGGCAAAGAAATAAGATGATAGTGGGCCGTGACGCGCGCCCTCCCCTAGACCTATGACACTTGCGTTTGTAATCTAACACCGTTGTGTTACTTCCTGACACATCAAGGCGACAGAGGCATACTAACTATAAGTTATAGCTATAGCAACTGAGCATTGCGATTTTTTGGTATCATTTGGTATTAACGCACAATTCTTACAATTTATAGGTATACAGGGTGACTTCGAAGTTGAGTCATTTATTTTAACAGTGAGTAGATCTGATCAAAAGAAATGTTTTTTTCCTTTAACATTTTTGTGGTAAAATTAAAGTATCAAAGTTATAGCCCTTTAGAAGTTTGAGTACCGCCCTGTCTCAATAATAATATTATGTGCTCGTGTTTGGCAACAACGGATATAATCCGCCTTATCGGTTCATCGCATCGGAAACAAAAAAGCGAAAGAATTTGAAACGCTGATCACGATGTTTTTATTCAGTCAATGTGTCAGTTGGTAACGCGTGAGTGAATAGTGGTGTTTGCTGCGTGGCTCAAACGAAATAAAAAATCCTAAATCCGCCCTTGTTCTATACCGAGTCTCCGATTTATCAGTTGTCTTGCTACCAGGTGATTTGGAAAGTTTTTGGAACAAAATTAGTGATCTCTGAAAACACGTTCGAATGTAGTTTGATTCGATTTTTTTAAAAGGTATCAATAAAAGTATTTGAGGTTATATACATAAACAGTGTTTTATTCAGTCACAAATAAATATCTATACAAAGTAACTGTATACAAGAAGCCTTGGCAAAGCGAATTATGACATTTGTGGAGGTGTATAGGATATAAACTGTATAAGATAGGCCCAGCATCCACTTTGCCAAAAAGTAGTATGAATGTATATGATATATTGGGTCGATAAGCCAAGATGTGGACAGATAAAAACTGGTTTTCAAGCAAAATGGATATATGTTTTCACCCTGTATAATAATTTTTGCTGAATTCAAAAAACACTGTCAATTTAAAAATGAATATTAACTGGTATTTGTTACAGAGCACTGGCCTTACAGTCAATATTTGGTATAACAGAAACAACAATTTTATACTGAACCATTAGAATTCCTTTAGAAGATATGTGAACCATAGGAAGCAATTACAGTTCAATTTCGGCTGTTTTTATTTTAATAATTAATATCATACGTACGCTCTAGTGGTTATGAAATATGTACGTCGAAAGTTCCAAGTATGACTCGATACCGGGTGCTTCTAATGCTTCTCGGAAACGGTCAGATAAGCTTAAATAGTCGTAAAACTGCCGATTTTCTCAGAAATAGTGTTTACCTTGACCTAACTTTATTTACCATATTTGATTTTTGCAATGGTGAATAGCTTCAAAAATGTATATGTCAAACATTAATATTGTAAAACTGTGGCTATTTAAACAAAATAGTATTCTAGTAAAATTCAAGATTTGTAACCAAAACTCAAATGAAGATTCTAAACTATGCGAGATGTAGAAGTTTTGAAACTGCATCTCAAAAAGCCATAAAAGAGCTAAAAAGCAACAACCGAAAAGTACTCTGAATTTCGAAATTTCATAAATGACATATTCTTAGTAACGTAAATGCGTAACATTGCCCATATTTAACCGGCTTCATATCTCTTACCGTTTCCGATATCCCAATAGTGAGTCGAATTTAAGACACCCAGTGTAACATTTCAATTAAAAAAATGTTGAATGAAATTCCTGAGCCTAGATTGTCATACGTATCCTGGGATGTTTTGTAGTCTGCACTTTATGTAGTTTTTCTAACATATAATTGAACTATAATCACTTTAGAATGTGACAGTCCAATGACAACTCAAGTATATCAAGACTTTACACGCCTGCAACAATATATTATACAATCGTAGACTTATTTTTTACAAATGCCTTTTAACATTTACAATAAAATTTAACAGTTAATTTCAACCGCCATAGCTCTGCATAACACCAATACAGACAAAAAATTAATACAAAAAATAATAAATAGAAAATGAATCATGGGTGATTTTCAAAAAGAAAACTAACCAGTAGCTTCAAGGTAGAGAAACAGAATAGTATAAAACAATGTAAAACATTTTTTTTTATTTTAACAAGTGCTACTGAAGCTCACTGGATAGTAAATATACATTCTCGCAGTGACAGGATTGATAGTCCGTCTTTTAAAAACATCCAAAATACTCCAGAAAAATAATTTTGTAAAAATCTAAAGAATAACTAAATCAAAACATGCAATGACATGACTGCTTCCAAGTGCTAATTTTTAGAAAAGAAAATATCACAGCATTGTCTTGATTTATGAAGAAATAAGATAGATATAAATAAGATATACTCAACAATATTTGTATATAAACTTTCTATAAAAAAGTCAAAGAAAAAGAATAAATACAATTACATAGTTGTACGAGGTAATTGAAAGACATCAATTTAACCAATGTTTTTAACCGGAGAAAAAACGTTTAAAAACCGTACAAAATATTTCATTTAAAAATAAATGCAATTTTCTGCAGTATTTCGTATCATGTCACGTATACTGTTTCCCTCTGGTGAGGATTTTAGAAAAGACAATGTGTCAACAAAGTACGAAATAAGTGAAAAAGTGACATCAACTGTTGGTGAAAAGATGCTATGCTGATATATTAAATGCTTCTTGAGAAAATTATTTTCAGATATTTCAAAAATGTTTCTTCGCGGTCATTTTAAATAAAGGACTAAAAATGCAATTTCCGGAACCTTCATGTGGCTGATGTCAAGCAATTCTCCATTTAAAATTTACCCACTTTAAACATTGATAATACCTTCATGGCTCTATTTTTTATTTAAGTTGGTTTATCACTAACTATGGGAGATGTCGAATCTGGGAGCACCAAGTACAAGTACATCGACCACCAAAAAAATCATTCACAACTGGGTATGAATGTTGTCAAGTTAATAAATAAATGTCTTATGTACATGCCTAGTTTTATATCTCGCACAGCTTTTTCTCGTGAATGTTAGCGCTACAACTGAACAAACAATAAGCAACCAAAAAATACTTTGAATCCTTTTTGCAAGTCGGTAGCCTGATTCTACGTAAGTGTAAATAAAAATTGCTATAATTTTATGATTTACGTGGTCGTTTGGATCACAAAGTACCAGGCACAAAACATATAGAATTTGACCACCGGTCAATTCTAATGAAAATTCGTATAGTAATGCTTGTTCTGCTGGTCAAATGTTCCAATGGGTGCGAAGCCCAGAAACACTTTCTACTGAAGATAAAGGGTGTTGACCCTTTCCTCTCTAGAGTACGCCTGAATGCACCATTTGATGAAAACTAAATCATCTTTATTGTAGATTTCACGATTAAATTCAAACAATATATACAGAGTGTCCCAACGAAAATGGAAAGTACTTTAATAGAAAGCTTATCAAAGATATTCGAAAATGGTGTGCGCAGAAAGATTGACATCTTATACATGTAGGTGTGTATTTCTAAATTATTTGGAAACATTCAGGTTGTTGCATATTTTGGTGGAAGAGCAAACATGTTTTTTGAATGAAGCACCCTATACTTTATTAGAGATTTGGTAGGAGCTTTTGAAAACATTATTGATATACGCTGTTGGATTTCGCCCGTCATTTTATTATTTGTCTGAAAAATGTCTATATCTACGTTTTAGAAGAAATAAATAAACTAGACCATCCTTCTTCAAGTTCTTCATGTATGAATTAGAAGTTATTATTTCCATGATGTTTTGCTTAAGGTGGTACGTCCCTTTTGTAGATTTTTTTTACCCACCTGTTTGCAGGAGTATTCTGAATCCTTTTCATCTGATGATTTCATGGTGTGTGCATTTTATTGTGCATTTTTTCTTCACTCGGAAATTGTTAACAGATAGCTCTGAAATTGTGTGCGAATATACCTGTTTTATAGAAGAATGAAACAAGTGATTACTTTTGTTCTTATCCCTTTTCCTTTTCTCAAAATCTTCGATTATCTTGAAGCCTCGTCTCGCAGCAAGTTGAGTTGAAAAGCAAAGATTTTTCGAACAGAAAAAGTGATAAGAATTAAAGTAATCACTTGTTTCATTCATTCATAAAAGCGGAATATTCACATACAATTTCAGAGCTGTACTAATATTTGTTAACAAGTTGCGATTGAAGGAAAAATCCACAATAAAAACCAAAAATGCATTCTATGACGAAACAAAATTAAAAACGATGATTTTTAGTCATCTCTATCACATTATGAAGTAATCAGATGAAAAGGATTTAGAATACTGTTGCAAACAGCGAAAAAAGGGACGTGCGGCCTTGATAGATAATTATAGGACTTTCTAGAATTTATATAAATAACCAAATAACTGTTCAAATGAACTACTACACAACTGGTATCAAAAAAAGCGTATGAAACGGAAAACCTGATGCGAGTAAAATATACAGGGTGGTACATCTAAAATTTGTGAGAAACATTTTGTGTTTTGCAACACCTTGTATAAACTATACTGTTTCATCCTCTCTTCAAAATTCAATGAAAAACTACTCCAAATTGCGGACTCAAACCTTTCAAATGAAGACATTTTTTCACGATCAAAATCCTACAGTATATTACATGTCTCAATTTTCTTTCCAAATATCTAATAAAAAATAATGTTCCATTGAAGTAAATTTTGTGCCACAGAATTGTAAAACGCACACCTATAAGATGTCAATCTTGCAGCGCAGACGTTTTCGAGTATCTTATATAGTTTTTGTATGAAAGCGCTTTCAATTTTCGTTAGGACGTACGTATGTTCATGTATTTTTATTATATCGTTAAGCCTATGCTATTAAAGAACACTCTGTATCTCCAATATAAAGGATTTCTGAGCTTTGCGCCCATCGGAAAATTTGATCAGCGATCGAATACGAATTTTCTTTAAAATTGGCCTGTAGTGAAACACCACACGTTTTGGGCCTGATAGTTTTGATAAAATTTATAAAAATCCCACAGTCTTGTTCCAACTTCGAATTCTGGTATCGTTCCAGAACCGGTGGATTATCATGTGATAGTGTTTGCGCCGAATTCACAGTAACAAAAGCATTCCAGAACGATCCCAAAACTGATTGGAATGATATGGAAAATCGTTCTGTTACGATAACGAACTGTGCGGGGACACTTTTTCCTGAATGCGCAAGCGCGTTATCGTTCCAGAGCGGATCTTAGACGGGTTGGAGCGAAATTTATGTTTCTCAAGATTTTCACTATTCCATTTTCCACTTACCTCTCAATAAGTCTTCCACTCACAATACACGCATTGTGAGAAAGTCAACAAGGAAAGTAAATAACACTTGACATTATGGTTTTTTCGTATTAATAAGGCAACAAAAACATAAAAGCCCATATCCCTCAACACTTTATGTGCTGTGCTACATCGATGGTTCAAATGAAGTGTGGCATCTGGGCTTGATATCTTGTGGGTAGATTAAAAATCTCTAAAAAACTAAAAAATCCTCAGACCATCAAGAAACTAGACGGACCATCGTTCGAGAAAGTTCATTGTAGAAAAAACAAAAAATACAAATCCGCGCCCATGCCCCGCGCTCTCTAACTTCTCTCACACTTCCATTTTCAACTCAAAACACAATAAAATAACGACGACACGTAGTAGCGCTTGGTGGCATGTCAGTCTAGGTTGTCATCCGATTTGCTAGGGGATGTGTCCAGGTAGATCTTCAACGCCCTCTCGCGGCCCGGCGAGTAAGACTTTACGTTCAGTCTTCCTAGCCGCATGTTCTCTTTCTGGTTCAGATCTCTGCGTTCTTCCGGTGTCAGTTCTTTGATGGCTTCTCTGTTGTCCCTGAGAAGGAGATTATTTATCATCGTAATGCACCAACCAGTCACAGATGACGTTTCGCTCTAATTCGAGCTCGTTAATACCTATTCTCCAACAAGATACCTAACCCTAAAGATGTCAAAAAATATCGACTTTCATTTTAATTATTTGATGAAGCAAAACAACATTTTTGTGCTCCATATCCCACAACGCAAGATAAACGTTTTCATAATGTGGATATCATATTATTGCTGATAAACCATAGGCAACCAGTAATTAGAGAATTTTCAGTACTCTTGTTTTGCTACTTCATTATGATCTTTATTTCGATTTTGCGCAGTAAGGAGACGGTATTCTGTTATCTGTCATCGAAGTAAGAAAGCTACGTTAGTTGCGGAGGATAGAGGAGGGTTTATTGAGAAAGATTATATTTTCCTTATTCAACGCTGTTGCCGGAATTTGTAAAGCTGGAGAAGCTTGTATAAATGCAAGAAATAGTCAGTATTCTAAATAAATTGAATTGTTCTTATTTTTAGCCTTCTATTATAGTTCTGCTGCTTTTGTGGCGACTTGTCCTTCTATGGTTCTATGATTCTATACCAAAAGTACGAAATTCCGGGCAGTGACTCATCTATGCTGTGGAAAAACAGCAGTTTCCAGATTTCAAAAATGAATTTACCTATCCATTTAAAAAACTATAATTATGATGTAAAACTAGTAAGAACTAAGAACCGTATATTCAGATGGACAAATGGTAGTAGGACTTTGAATGTGACACAATGTAAAATTTCTGTTCTGACTGACTAGAGAAGAGTTCGTAAATCATCAATTTGGTAGTTTCGAGCGTGGAATTGCCGTCTATAACAACATGACAACTCTGTCAGGTATCGGGCAGCCGATGATCGCGATTGGTCTATAATACATAGTCGTGCCATAAGTTCTGTCCCATGATAATCTCATGATAAAAATGAAACAAGATAAGATATATTTATATGAAAGATATTATTTATTCGACAACATTTTTAGAATTCATAATCAAACAGTTTTATTCAAAATGTCCCCCCTTGGCCTTCACACACTGCTTCAATCTCGCGGGCCACTCATCTATCACTGCACGCACAGCTTCCAAAGGAATAGCTGCCGCTGATCGGATCAAATCCGCTTTCAGGGACTCGATATTACGGTGGGCTTTGGAGCAGGCCAACTGCTCTAGCAGGTCCCACAACTTGTAGTCTAAAGGATTGAGGTCCGGACTCCCTGAGGGCCAATCTTCCGCAGCAATGAACTCTGGCACATTGCTTTCCAGCCAGCGCTGCGTACTCTTAGCCTTGTGAGCGGGGGCGGAATCCTGCTGATAGACCCAGTGTTGGTTGGCAAACAATGTACCACTTAAAGGCTTGACGATAGGATCCAGTATGTCGCTCTGATAGTTTGCCGCTTTTGTTTTCACGCCCTGTTTACAGAAATGGAGCTGAGTGACCCCTTCGTAGGACACCCCCCACCAAACCATGACTGACGCAGGGTGGTGGCCTCTCTCAACTCTCGGAATGATCTCCGAAGCTTCCTGTGAACTCCTTGCATACACTTTGTCATTTTGTCGGTTGAATTTTTCTTCTATGGTGAAGATTTTCTCATCCGTGAACAAAATCTTTCGGAATCCCCCAGCTGCGTACCTCTCCAAGAGCTTCTTGGATCTTGTCGCCCTGATGTGTCGCAAGGTGGCCGTAAGTCGCTGGCCCGTACGTCTCCGGTAAGCCCCTAGCCCTAGATCTTGTTTAATGATGCGCGACATCGTCCGGACAGGAATCTTCATTTCCCTGGGTAGGATCTTCTGCTTCCGGAGTGGATTCCTTTGAATCCTGGCTTTTACGGCTTTGATGGCTGCTGGAGTCCTTACTTGACGAGGTCTTCCGCTTCTTGGCCTGTCATCAACAGAGGACGTCTCATTGTACCGCTGAATGGTCCTAGACACAAATTTACGCGATATTTGAAGGCCGCGTAAGAGTTCAAAAATCTGACTAGCACTGTGATTACACTTATGTAAAGCTATCACTGCAATAGGGTTCTCTGCCTTGCCCCACTCCATCGTTATGCTTCGAGAGATCAATACAAACTGAGGTATATGTAATTACCCGAAAAGCGCTTAATCAACTGACACCACAATGTAAACAATCGGACAAGTATTAACAGGTCTACACTTGTTTGAAAACGAGGGACAGAACTTATGGCATGACTACGTATATATCTCGGTTGTCCCTACCCCACCGCTAACATGACAACTCGCGGATCATTCCAGCGGCGTAGCCTAAGGAGAATAGTTCGAACGCGATTAAATAGTTATTGAGAATAGATGAGACATAATGGATGGGCAACGTGAAAGTTTGACACCAAAAAAAAAAGTGTAGAACCTTTTCTACTGGGGAGAGAAGAGTTAATACACAACGTTTACGACGGACTTCGTGCTCGAGACAAAACATTAGGTGTTCAGGATGCTTTTTTACTTTGTAGCATCTTAACAAAAGTGTCTGAAAGAAAAAAAATTCCGATAATCAATAGAAAAACTTCAACTAACCGAGAAGAACATCCGACGACTAGTGGTAGTACGAGGGGAAGGAAGAAAATCGTTCTGGATAAAGATACCAAATATGCATTCTTTTTTCTTCCGAAACGATATGCCTACAATACAAAAAACTGCAGCTGAAATTGAAAAGGACGACGGTATTCCGAAAGTTTCTATGAGGGTTCTAAAAAGAACGATTCATTAGTTGAACCTTAGGTATTTGAAGCGGACGAGGAAGTCATGTCTGATTGAAAAAGAAGAAATTGTGATGTGGCGACGTAAGTACTTAGCGGAAATGCGGAAGTACAGATACGAAAATAGGAAGATATATTAACTCGATGAAACGTGGGTGAATGAAGGATACACTACGCCAAAGGTATGGCAAGATATGAATATTACCAGTCGTCAACAGGCCTTCAATGATGGATTTTCTACAGGACTGAAAGCACCTACAGGTAAGTTTGGACTTTTTCTAGGTCATAACTGTTGTGTATTTTTATAATTCAGCATTATTTATTTTGGACATCTGCATCTTTGGTTTCCTACATATATAATGTAAATAATTATAATGGTACGTTAATGACCCCACTGATTCTAGGAGACAATCAGAATACCTTGCCACTTTCACTAAAGGATTATATATCTATTATTATCCCATCCATTGCTAATCACCAAAATCGGATTATACGTTTCAATCGCCAGGTCTTAAAAACTTAATTTAGTTTTTCCTAGTTAAATGGACTTGGGATAAAAAAACAGTTTTCTTTTACAGAGCTGCCTATGTTTAATAATTTATTGCCTTCTTCAGGACTCTATAAAACACTGAAAACCATTACTCATGAAAAAAAAACAAAGATAAACTGATTCGTGACTTAAACGGATGAAAAGTGTTTTATTCGATTCTTATCAGAAAAAAAGGAAACACATGAAAGTCATGTAAAGTACGGTCATTAGAAGACTAATATCCTTCATTTACTGTTCTCCTAGAGGATTGAAGTTATTTCAGGTAAAGGGCGGAAGCTTATTGTAACACATTGGCATCGATGAAGGGTTTCTGGACAAAGGATTACTGACATTTGAGTCCAAAAAGACTGGAGATTATCACGACTATATGGATGCAAATAGATTTGAAGCATGGTTCAAAAGCATTTTGCCGGATATCCCTTCTGGTTCAGTCGTGGTAATGGATAATACTCCATATCACAGTCGCCGCTAGAAAAGTTCCCTACTAGTTCACGACGAAAAACTGACAATAAATTGGCTCAAGACAAAAAACATTACATACCAGGAACAAAGGCTTAGAATTGAACTCCTTAATATCGCTAGGCAAAACAAACCCACGTAAATATTGTACGCTATAGATAAACTATGAACTGTGAACTATATCCAATGGAGTTGATATGGGCGCAAGTCAAAGGCGAAATAGCAAGGAACAATACAACCTTCAAGTTATCGGATGTCAAGTTATTGTTAAAATGCTATCAACAACGTATCCAGCGAGAACTGGCAAAAATGTATTCTTTACGTCATCGAGGGCAGAGAATCTGGGATCTGGATACTCACATAGACATTGTTGTTGAACCAGTTGTGATTGAGTTAAATAGCGATGACTCTGATTCGTCTAGTGATGACTACGATATTGAATAATCATTGATTTTTAGATCCTAATATAATTTTGTTTTTGTGTTTTTGACAACTGATAATAATTTTATTATGTTTGACACTGAAGTCTCGATAAATTTAGGTTTTCCATTATATATTTATTATATATACATTTTTATATTATTCATACATTATATATATATACCAAATATTGTCAGTTATTCGTCATGATAATTTGTCTGTTTTATCTGGTTAAATAAATAAATATAAATGAACCACTTCGCTATTATATATTAACACCTTTTATAAAAATTAGTTCGTACGCACATGGAACAATCCCTCTCTACCCCTCTGCTCACCGCAGCTGCCCTAGGTAACAGGGATGAGTCACTGCCAGGAATTTCGTACTTTTGGTGTAAACCTATTCATTTCTTGTCTGGCTTGGACACAAATATTAACAAGGTTTTCAAATTTTAGGATTAGATTCACGTCACTTTAGTACTTATAAAAAATTATTTATTCGCTCGCATTCGTTATTTGATGTCGATGTTAAAAATACCGTTACGGAAGGTTTAGCAATTCATTATTTTGCACAAAAACCTCTCTATCATTGTGGTAACGTCAGAACACCATCAAAAACCAAGTAAACTATTAAATTGGTGGTCATCGCAGAAGACCACTAGGCCAAAAAGGATTAAAACAAATTGCTGAATTTGAAAGTCGCAAGAGGGCAATAGTTGGCAAAGACGTGAAACCAAAACTTGAGTGGCGAGCACCAAACAAGAGAATTCAAAACTAAATTAGTATGTTGCTGAAAATATATGAAAGTTGGCGACCTCAGGAGGTGAACTTCTCACAGGATACACTTCCACCAATTACATGTCAGGATGGAACGGTTGTAACCGACTCATAGGCTTAAGCGAAAGTGCTTGCCAAGACCTTTGCTGCCAACTCCACCATGGACGTCTCCCCCCAACGCCCGAGTGCGGTCGATTCAACGAGTTCCCTACAATATGCGGGAAGTAACATTCAGGCGTAAGACCGTACGACGGGTCCGGACTTGATTCCTGCCATTGCATTGAAGAGGTGCGAAGCGGAGCTTGCTCCAGATCCTTCGGGTCTCTCTCAGATATTTTACGAATCCGACACCTTCCCAGAAAACTGGAAATTTGCTCATGTCCAACCCATCCCAAAAAAGAATCTGAGGCCGAACCTCACACCTACAGGCATATAACTCTGCTTTCTGTTATAAGTAAGGAGAGGCGCATGAATCGCGAGCTTCTGGACTACCTCATGGCTTGATTAGTGACAGGCAGTATGGTTTCCGGCACCAGCGATCCACAGGGGACATCCTAATTGTGCACTAAACTTATCCAGTCATAATACATGGTGAGGCTCATGTCGCTGCTCTTCTTATACTAACCTTAGACAGTTCAAAAATCGGATCTTTGGGATTCCCATAGCAGCCGCGGTGTCCTAGCATTTCGGCTTCAGTGTAAAAAAAAGTTTAGTATACAGACAATCAGCTAATACGATAAACAGTCTACATACTTATACAAAACCAATTTCACCATAAATTTAATATATTTTCAGCAACATACTGATTTAATTTTGACAGCTCCTGACTGGTTCTCGCCACCATTAGTTTCAAATTTAATAGTATCACCACGAAATTACATACCTAAAGTAGAAGACGCTGCCGTCATCCGCAATAGCGTTGCTCCTCATAGCGAACGTTCGCTCTTCTAGATGCGTCATATTAGGATTCCATTCTAACGCGTTATGAATGTCCAACAAATGCATATCACAAGGAATAGCCGCCTTAATATAGGCTACATCCACGTTCTCCACAGGTATACCCGACAGGGTGGATATCTTCGACTTCAATTCTTCCATTGTCGAGTTGTCCAGCACCACCTTTCGATCAAAAAAATTGTGTTAGGCAGATATTTACGCAAGGTTAAAACAAACACATGCTTACGATCGCCAAATTCTCATGCTACTACTATGCCATACACGCGCGGGAATGAGTCTGATCACAAAAATTTGTTTTTGCAATTTAATACACCTCTATCAGAGACACATTTGGTATTCCTTACCCCAGAAAGCAAAAAATGTCGTTTGTGGCCTTATATAAATATTGCCTTCCGTTTCCGTTTGACAATCTTTTTTTTCTGCCAATGCCATTTTTGTGCTTCAATGTTGAGATCCGTTAAGCTCGAAATGTTGGGATATAGACATAACAACAAAAACAAGTATAATAATGACGTCAACATATTGAAAGATTTCCCGACGCGAAAACATTTTTGTATTTCTTCAAAAGCTATTCAAAATATAAACTGGACCTGCCTCGACAAGTCACATTACTTATTAGGAAATAAACAAAAAGGAGGAGCAGTGCCATTACGCGATCGATCAACCCTGTGTGTATAAGAGGGTGGTCTGAAAAGTTTCCGACCTAGCGATACAAGACATTTTTTGTTTTTTTTTCCAAAATATTCTCCTTGTAACTCTACACACTTCTCCCTGCGATACTCCCATCTCTGTAATCCATCCAAATCATTTGATGAAAATCTCCATCCTCCGAGCGCAATTTTTAAATGAGGGAACAAAAAGAAGTCGCTTGGGGCTAGATCTCGTGAGTAAGGCGTATGGTCAAGCAGTTCAAACAGTAATTCATGGATTTTCGACATGCGTTGTGTTGGTAAAAAAGGATCGTCTTTTTCTGCAAATGTGGTCGTTTTTCCATAAGCTCTGCCTTCAGCGTGTCAAGTAATGATGCGTAGTATGCTCCTGCAATGGTTTTTCCATTTTGAAGATAATTGATTAAAATAACTCCATGACTATCCCAAAAAACAGTCGCCATCACTTTACCAGACAAAAAAAAAGTTTTTGCATTTTTTGGAGCCGGTTTGGACTGTATTTTTGTTTCAGGCGTATAATGGTGTATCCAAATTTCAGCTACAGCAATTAATCGGTACCAAAACTCGGATTTATTGCGCCTGAACTGCACTAACGGAGCGGTGGAAATATCCATTCGAACAAGTTTTTGGTATAACGTGAGCAAAGACTACCCAACGTGCGAATAGCTCTAGATTTAATATGTGACAAAACACATTTTTTTGACATGTAGTTGCAGTTTTTGCACGTCCCGAAAATTTCACCGTGGTAAATAATGCTCCCATACACAGAATCCAACTCATCTTTGACTTGCGTAGGCGTATTGCCTTTCAATAACAAATATACAGGGTTATCCAAATTAAGTGTCCACCATTAGTAACTTTGTTATTAGTGAAAATACAAAGTTGTTTGAATTAGCAAACTAGTAGCATTTTTAACGCTGGTAAAAATGAGAAATAAAAAAAAACAATTGAGAGTCGTTATTTTGATTTTTTTCAGTAAAATAACATTTTTTTAAATGGAAACCCCTGTATATTATATTTTTTTCTGTTAAAGCATCAAATTTTAAACAAAAAAGCTTACAATAACTTTTCTCCTAGGTTACAAATTGTTGAAGTTATGGCCTCCAATCTGAAACAATTAAATTGTATCGACAAACTTTATTTTCAATATCAACTTATAATCTTACAAAATACAATAACATTTTTTTTTTAAAGAAGATGCTCGAAAACACCACCTTGTTCTTCAATACATTTTTGGACACGTTTTTCAACTGCTCGAACTGTCTTAAGTATGGTCCTACCATCTATCTGGGTTATCTTTTCCCTAACTGCAGTCTTTAACGCGTCAAGGTTATCGTACCTTCGCTTGTAAATTTGGTTCTTTAAGTAACCCCACAAGAAGTAATCAAGTGGGTTTAGATCTGGTGATCTGGGAGGCCACTGTATTGGGCCATTTGTTCATATCCACTGATCATTAAAAGTAGTACTTAGAAAATGATAAGTACCTCTGGAGTTGTGGGCAGGTGCGCCATCTTGCTGAAAATGCAGATGATGTCTACTTATAAGATCCAATTCGTCTAAGAAATTAGTCAGAATTTCTGACATAAATTCCACATATCTTTCACCAGTTAGGGTTCCCTCATAAAAGAACGGGCCAACAATTTTTGAACCAATTATACCGCACCAAACGTTGAAACTGAAACGGACTTGTGGGCCTCTTGGATGTACTAACAAAAGATTTTCTCTTGACCAATAATGGTGGTTTTTTCTATTAAACATTCCAGAATTTGAAAAATTTGATTCATCTGTCCATAAAAGGTAACGAAAGTTATTTACATTTTGGCGACAGAAGCTAAGATACCAATGGCAAAAAACAAGTCTTCTCCCTGGATCCCCTGCCAAAAGCGTTTGAACTGGTCGGTACTTATACGGAATAAATTTGTATTTTTTTAAAATCCTTTGAACAGTACCATAACTGAAATTAGAGTCCTTGAGAATATCTGCTATTGAATTCTCACGATAAGCTTCAAAATATCCAATAACTGCAATTTCCGTGGCCTCGCTTATTATGAATTCTTTTTTTGCCCTTGTTTTAGCAAAAACATTTTCGTTGCCCCTAAATTTTCGATAAAGTCTCAGAAAATATCGTTCATACGGTTGAATGCGAGCGGGATATAATTCACTGTAGTATTCTCTTGCTCTCAAGGAGGATTTTCTGCACACTAAACAGCATTCTAACATATCACACTTTTCTTCATGGGAGAACATTTTTCTTTAAATTAATGACACAATAAAGCTTATAAACAAGTATTTACACTAATGTTTGACATTATTTGATTTTATCATTGTTTTCCAAAGCCTTCTAGTTGCGAGTATGTCCAGTTTAACAATTTGTCGCTTATCTTAATGCTGTCAAATCGCGAACGCCATGTTGTTTTCATAGCCGTCTTAATATTATAATACTGCAAATAATTAAAAATATTTATCGTTATTTTGACTTTATTTTTGACTTTAGCGGAAAAGTCATTATGAACTTTTTTGTTTAAAATTTGATGCTTTAACAGAAAAAAATATAATATACAGGGGTTTCCATTTAAAAAAAAGTTATTTTACTGAAAAAAATCAAAATAACGACTCTCAATTGTTTTTTTTTATTTCTCATTTTTACCAGCGTTAAAAATGCTACTAGTTTGCTAATTTAAACAACTTTGTATTTTTACTAATAACAAAGTTACCAATGGTGGACACTTAATTTGGATAACCCTGTATAATGACAGCCCGATAATCGATTTTGTCCATTTTCAAAAAATCATAACAATTACGCGTCCGTAATGGCTGAAACTTTGGTGAGTAACTGTCAACAGATGAAGAACGAAATTCGGTAGCTTTTATTTACGAGTGCTACCATCTTCACATGAGGTCAGACAATATTCAGACCATCCTCGTAGGATATTGAATAGGAGTAGTATAAACCGTCAATCAAATATAATAGAAATTGTTAATAATCAGTAAGCACCTCTTGGAACGGTTTCAACGTCAACGTCGACGGACACCATTGCCTAACAAACAACACTAACTGATCGTTGGAAGTCACAGTCTCCACATCGTTCAGTTCTTGAAGGAATAGGTCCATAAGTGGGGGGCTGTCCCTGTAGAACTTTTGGTCGTCTAGGAATATCTTTCGTGGCCTCTTCCAACTCTTCTCTCGTAACCTTTAGGAGAAATATATTAATAAACGTGCAGTCCTTTAACCATTTATATTCTCATAAATGTTAACAATACCTAGGTATTGCCCACTCATCGGCGGGGCAAAATCTCTATTGAGTTCTATACTACTTGTGCTAGTAAACTGTATATAATTTCAACAAGAAGTGATAATTACCTGCATTTGTTATATGGTATATCCAGCATATGTTGTTTCTTAGCTGCGAAGAGTATTTCTTTCTTGACTTGATGTACAGGCTGCCCTTTGGCTATGATATGTTCAAACAAAAAGTTGTTCATGTCCATGCAGTCAGGCTTCAAATAGTATACGCTACATTTGATCTCATCTTTCCTTAATACCCTACCTAATTTCACTATTAACCTGAAATTGAAATCAGAAACTTAGCTGTGTTCTCATCAAAAACCTGATTTCGTTTGCCTTTCAAATAAAGACACCAGCAAGCAACTGGCAGTATTGTTTTGGGATTGCAAATGAAGCTAATCTATATGCAGTGGAACATAAATGGACTATTTCACAAATTTCTAGCCATATCGGTGTTTTTTTTTAATAAACTCCTAATACACAACAAACGCCATATACGCAAGAATATATACTTGCTTGTCTCACTTGTTGTATCAACTGTAGCTCTCCTGGAAGGATTCCAACACTGCTGCTTAAATTAGAAGAAGTTACTATTATCTGTTTCAATCCAATTGTCATTAATTTTTTGTGGAAACCCCCAGAACGTTAGCTGAAATGCCACAAAAACATCCACACATGACCTTTGATCAACGAATGGCCAACTCCAATCCGTAGTGACATTAACATTTGAACAACTGGTTGCGTTGCGGTCTGTTTGGTGTTAACGCTCGTATTTGCCGGGTTGTGGTTGCCAGTTGCTTTCGGTGGAAACGGTCCCTTAAATTCACAAACATACCTTTCACCATCCTTTGCGGACCTCAGCGTATCTGAAAGACAACTCCATTCATCGTCCGAATTAGGATACTGCCTAAAGATTTTGAAATATTCCGAAGGTACCCTCAGAATTCCTTCTAAGTGTTTTTTAAACCTTTCTAAAGTCATCTTTTTATCTGCCAAAACTCTGCAACAACGCATGTACCTATTGTCAGCAGCATTAGCGTCCCTATTGTGCATGACACTAGTCACCTGGAATGAAAAATATGAAGGTCTTAAGATCTTTTTGCATGCTGAAGTTGCTGATAAGGTAGAACCTTAATACCGAACGACTGCGATTTTTACTTCCCACGCTAACTGGGAGGAAGTATTGTAATCGCGAAAAAGTTCCAAATTGAAATATGTTTTTTGCATGTACATCAAGAAAAATCATGTCACTTATTTCCGTCTGTCTGGAAGTCTGTCTGTTTGTCCGCAAAACCTTGGCCAAGGACGAAAAAGCTTTGCACTTTTTGAAAATAGATCCAATAGACCCAGGAGCTATAGGCGACAACTATAAACTAAAGAAAGAGCAGTTTGGAACTACACCGCCAGTTTTTCCTGTCTAACGGAATATTTGATACCCGGAACAAGTTGTCCAACGACGTTGTTATTGCGTCCACACTTAACAGGTTCAAGAATCGTTTCGACAGATGGGTGCACGATAAACTCTAGTTTTCTTATGACATTATATTTATTTATTTTTTATGATAAATTTCTCATCTTTGTTTGCAGTGTATACCTTTATTATGTAAAATAATAAGTACAATTTTAAAAAAGAAGTAAGACCTACACATGAAAATTTAAAATTTGTCAGAGGTACAGTAGAAAAGCAGCTCTGGTATAGAAATATTTTCACTTTGTGCTTACACTCATCATCATTTGTGATATTACTTAGATATTGTTGAATAGGTGGATGCAGCTGTAAAATACAGATCTTTGATGTCTAGGAAAACAAAGTGCAGTGCGTGTTGCATAGTTATACGTCTTGTTCAGTTTTTTGCAGACATAATGTGACTGGTAAACTTGAGATCAGAGTCCAAAAAAGTACCCAATATCTTTAGACCGGAATATAAATTATATATCCCACCATCATTAAGAATATGGTCTGGTAATTGCTTTTTAATAAAAAAATTGATAAATTAATATCGTTTTGTCCTTATTTAGTATTGATTTTTTACACCAAGACTCCATCTCCAACATAAGGCTGATTAGTCTCCCTTTAGTCTCTTCTGGGGATGCTCCTACACTATTACAGATGTACATTAGCGGACAAAAGTTTGGAACCATTCTTAGTAATTTTTAAAAAGTGCGCTATTTTGTATTCTTTATTATTAAGGACTATTTTTTTTCTCATATAGTTTGCTTACAGTCTTGAAGATGCAAATAACAATTTGTGTTTGCTGTGGTACTACAGACTAGCATTAAAAAACCTTCATAGTATTTTATGACCAAAAATGAGACGACAAAAGTATGGAAATGTATTTTTTATTACAACATTAAATAACTACAAAAAGATTTAAAAAATACTGTTTAGCTAATATTTGGTAGCGTAGCCTTTAGCATTCAACACTGCCTGACATCTGCTGCTCATAGAAGACACTAATTTTTTACAGACGTCTGTTGGGATATTTTGCCAAATATTTTTTATATAATCAAATAAGCGTTCCTATTCTTAAAAGTGTTTCTTGTCAGTTGTCTTTGAACAGGCTACCAGATATGTTCTATAGGATTTAGGTCCGGGGATTGCGAAGGCCATGTAAGAACATTAACAATTTTTTAGTCTTGACCAGTCCTTTAGGAATTTTGAGGTATGCTTGGGGTCATTATCTTGCTGGAATGTCCATCGTAGAGGCATTTCTTTATCAGCAAAAGGGAGCATGTGTTTACTAAGAATATTTTTGTAAAGTCTGATCCATTTTCACAACAATTTTAACAATTGGACCCGTTCCAGAACTAGAAAAACAGCCCCAAACCATGATGTCTCCACCGTGCTTAACTGTCGGCAACTGATACTTTTTGTCGAATCTTTTTCATATTGGTCGTCTCACATATGCCGTACCCTCAGATCCAAATAAGTTAAATTTGCTTTCATCGCCCCATAAATCTGTATTCAATTGTTGTTCTGTCCAAGTTACACGGGTTTTAGCAAATTCAAGCCGAGCAATACGATTTTTTTTAAATGACGCTTTTGCACTGGACGCCTACCAAAAAGCCCAAAATCCACCAAGCATCTCGGCACTGTTTTGACAGAAAGGTTCTCGGCACCCTCTTCTACGATTTTGAAAATGTGTGTGGCTGGCATTCGAGGATCTTCATGGGACAAACGTTTAATGTAGTGATCCAAAACATAATCGGTTTTTTTTCGGTTTTCCGCACGTGGGCCGCGTTGCTGATCCGTATTCTTGATATTTACTAAACTAAACGAGCGAACGTACTGGTCAGACCTACATGTCAGAGTAGAATGAAAAACAGAAGCCATAGTAACAAAAAAATGATATTTCACTAACCTTAAAGTAATAGTTTTCGCACCGCTGACTCGCGGCAGGATCTTGAACGGATTCTAAATCATCCCAGCTCATATCTTCTAAGCCAGGTTGTCCCAAGGCATCATAATTATATCCATCTTCACATGGATCGCCTCCAGGTGAAGCTGTCCGTTGTTCAACAGCTGGCGAGTTGGAATTGCTTGAAACAATGCCTGCAAATTTCAAAATGTTGATAATTAATATTCAATTTTCATCGTCCCAGCGATGTTACCAAGTAAAGGGTGTCTCAGCAAGAGCGCAGGATTTGAATTTGCCGCCATTTTTTTGAACAAATGGTAGGTGTTTACTTGATGACAGCTGTCATGTCCAGACCACGCGATTAGACGTCATGGAGCAGTATTGAAACGAGCAACGTTTTATTATGGTGAAAACTCACTATAAAAATGGAGAAAATTACGCGGAAACAGCAAATTACGTACAATTTTCGGTCGCAATAATGCGCCAAATGAGTTAGCTGTTTAATTGCAAAATTTGAGGCAAAATTCACTCTGCAACGAATTTTGACAAAAGATCTGTGCTTGCATGCGAACAAGGTTCAACTGACGCAAGCGCAGCGCCGTGAATTCGTTGACTGGGCGCTGGAGCACCTGCGATGTTTTATATTATCCATGTCTCAAAATAATTGTTTTAGGTTTATCTAAGGATCAAGGCACTTTAATCATGTTTCTGGTAGTCTTATAAAATTAAACTAGATGAAAACAAAAAATATCATTATCTTGTATTCATTATAAATCTTCTCTTCCAAATCTATGTACTTAAGAGAAAAGATGCTATTAAGTTATAATATACAAATATGATATCTAGTCATATTCACACTACAGATTTATTTCGGCGTTCTTTCACGTATAGTGCTGCAGTTTTATACAATGCTTTGAGTCCTGAATTTAAAAACACGTCCCTAAATTGCTTCAAGAGAGCTGTCAAATCTCAAACCAGCCTGGATCTAGAGTTTGAACTCTTGTCTTAATGTATTTTTCTTTTCTTTCTTTGTGTATATAGTAAACTTTTGCGCAACATATACATATCTTTTTTGTTTTTGCTATCTGCTACCTGACATCTTTTTTTTTGTTCATGGGTGGTTAAGTGTAAGAGTAGCGTGCTGCTAAACTTCGAGACCATTTGCAACTATTTTTTCTGTATTGATTTGTACAGTTTGAATAAAGACGATTATTATTATTGTTATTAATATTATGATATGTTAATCAATTGTCATAATAATCATACCTAAACACTCGCCAGGTGCGTCACCAACCAGAGTTCTATCGCTGTCACTCAAACTACTATCTTCACTATTACTCTGGTCACCAAAACCGTCACTGACTCCCGGTTGGGGTGATACCCTCAGGTTTGGAGAGCTAGAGCCTCTATCACCTCCACCCAGTTCCAGTTTGTCCAAATTCTGGTTCAAATCCAATGATGGTATTGATAACGATTCTAGTGTTCCTGAAAAAATGTTTACAGTGTGCTATAAAATGCCAACAATTCAGCACGTAAAAATGAGAAGTAAAGTTCGTATGAACATGATTCCAAAAATGTATGCGGAGTTAACACTTTCTATTCAGCAAAAAATTGTACGCCACTGATTATTGCACAAATAAGTGTAAGAAAACAACTGATTCTGCTAGAAACGTATCTAATGTAAGACCTTAAACTTATCCTGTGGTTTTCATGTTGATAATCCCCCATGTTTCTCTGGCCGAATCAAATCACAAATACGTATTTAAAATCCCTCTTTATTGTACGAATTTGTCTTCAATTATAATTGACACTTTTTTGGCAATAAAAGGTCATCGTTAGGACTGAAACGTCATACGATAGATGAATTTTAAGTATTAAGAAAATACTCGTAATTTTTAAATTTCTCGTGTTTGGGGTGTCCTTTTTATCATGTTGTCTGTGGCAGTCGCTAATGTTAGACGTGTTTTAAAAGGCTCGGCGATTTTTGTTTGTTAAAAGGAGTTGATTAGAGAATTTGTGCCTAAGTTTGCGTACAAAATGAAATAAAGTTTAAAAAAGAGTGTGAAAGGCGTATGGTGAGTCTGCTATGAATAATCATGAGTGTTATAACACGTGAGGAAACATGGGTTTACGGATATGACATCAAAACTAAGGCACAATCGTCCCAGTGGATGCATCCTGGCTCGCCAAGACCGAAATAGGCTCGTCAAGTAGGGTCAAGCGTGAATGTTATGATCACTGTGATCTTTCGATGGCATAGTTGCATCATGAATTATTGCCACAAGGTAAAACGGTCACTAAGGAGTACTACCTACAAGTTCAAGGCAACTTGCGAGAGGTAATCCGATAAAACGCCTGAATTTCTAGAGAAACATTTTTGCGCCACGATAATGCACCTACTCACACTTCATTGGTGGTTTGTGAAACAATACTGTAACACAAAGTGCCAGCCTCCATATCCGCCAGACATGGCTCCATGTGACTTTTACCTATTTCCAAAAATGGAGAGAACCTTAAAGGCCGTCGTTTTGCAACCATACGTAGTCATGCCGTAAGTTCTGTCCCTCGTTTTCAAACAAGTGTAGACCTGTTAATACTTGTCCGATTGTTTACATTGTGGTGTCAGTTGATTAAGCGCTTTTCGGGTAATTACATATACCTCAGTTTGTATTGATCTCTCGAAGCATAACGATGGAGTGGGGCAAGGCAGAGAACCGTATTGCAGTGATAGCTTTACATAAGTGTAATCACAGTGCTAGTCAGATTTTTGAACTCTTACGCGGCCTTCAAATATCGCGTAAATTTGTGTCTAGGACCATTCAGCGGTACAATGAGACGTCCTCTGTTGATGACAGGCCAAGAAGCGGAAGACCTCGTCAAGTAAGGACTCCAGCAGCCATCAAAGCCGTAAAAGCCAGGATTCAAAGGAATCCACTCCGGAAGCAGAAGATCCTATCCAGGGAAATGAAGATTCCTGTCCGGACGATGTCGCGCATCATTAAACAAGACCTAGGGCTAGGGGCTTACCGGAGACGTACGGGCCAGCGACTTACGGCCACCTTGCGACACATCAGGGCGACAAGATCCAAGAAGCTCTTGGAGAGGTACGCAGCTGGGGGATTCCGAAAGATTTTGTTCACGGATGAGAAAATCTTCACCATAGAAGAAAAATTCAACCGACAAAATGACAAAGTGTATGCAAGGAGTTCACAGGAAGCTTCGGAGATCATTCCGAGAGTTGAGAGAGGCCACCACCCTGCGTCAGTCATGGTTTGGTGGGGGGTGTCCTACGAAGGGGTCACTCAGCTCCATTTCTGTAAACAGGGCGTGAAAACAAAAGCGGCAAACTATCAGAGCGACATACTGGATCCTATCGTCAAGCCTTTAAGTGGTACATTGTTTGCCAACCAACACTGGGTCTACCAGCAGGATTCCGCCCCCGCTCACAAGGCTAAGAGTACGCAGCGCTGGCTGGAAAGCAATGTGCCAGAGTTCATTGCTGCGGAAGATTGGCCCTCAGGGAGTCCGGACCTCAATCCTTTAGACTACAAGTTGTGGGACCTGCTAGAGCAGTTGGCCTGCTCCAAAGCCCACCGTAATATCGAGTCCCTGAAAGCGGATTTGATCCGATCAGCGGCAGCTATTCCTTTGGAAGCTGTTCGTGCAGTGATAGATGAGTGGCCCGCGAGATTGAAGCAGTGTGTGAAGGCCAAGGGGGGACATTTTGAATAAAACTGTTTGATTATGAATTCTAAAAATGTTGTCGAATAAATAATATCTTTCATATAAATATATCTTATCTTGTTTCATTTTTATCATGAGATTATCATGGGACAGAACTTATGGCACGACTACGTACATGACAGTAAAAGCCCAAAGATCCAGTTTAGAAGAGTTTAAAGGATTGAAAGAAGCGCTGGCACAAGTGCATAATATCTAATGGGGACTATTTTGAAGGCGACGCCATTAATGTAGACGAAATAAATATTTTTTCAAAAAACGAAAATTCCCGTTATTTTGTTAACGCACCTCGTTTGATTCTGATAGAAAAACATGGGGAATTAGAAACATATCTCTTGGAGTTATTCGTTATGTTGTGTTGATTGACAGATCAATTACTAGTTCTTAGTAACTATAAAGATACTTTGATTTACTGGTTAACAAAAAGATTATTTCGATAATGGTGCATCTGAACAAGAAACTCCTCTGATTCAAGAGCTTTAGAAATTGATTTTGTACATGTTAATTTGAGCTTTAACAGTAGGTTAATGTGTACCAAAACTCATTTCAATATCTTTAATTGTTATTCATAAATATTTGGGGGAGACAGGTTTAAACACTCTGCTTTATGTACCTATATGTATATAAACCTTATTCATAGTATGGCCAAAAATAACAGGGAAATATTCTATAAACCCTTACCTATATCAGTTTCTGGTAGGACTACATTCAAACTGATGATGTATGAATAATGTTCAATGACCTTCCTCAACCTAGACTGCTGGAACGTTTTCTCCGGATCTTCATCTAGAACAGTGGCAACATACAACTTATAATCATTACAATTCGCATCGAACTTAATAATGTCATCGTCGTTCTCCAGGTATTTGGGTTCATTGCTGTACATCTCCATTACCACATGTACCGTTGAAGGATCTATGTTTAAAAGAGCACTCAGTTTTAGTTTCAACTTGCACACTTTGTCACCAACGTCGACCCTTACTAGTTTAGGCTCTTCTACTTCTTCATTTTCCATGATAATCGGGTACACTTTCATGTTGATACCTCCCGTGTTGTAGGTCATCCACGGGGCACCTGTTTAAATTAAAAATGTTGGATCAATCGTTATCAACATCAACTATTAGCTACTTGAAGCGGTAGTATCAACTGTTAAAAGGAGCGTCTCAAAATACGCAAAGATCCATGAAGGTACACGTCCACTGAGGGGAAGGGAAGAAAAGACGTGAATCTCTTCCGCTGGGATCCTTTACACAATCAAATAAAGAGCCCGGGAAGAGACCTGTTTATGTTTAACCTGTGCAAATAACAAAGCTTGTCGCGGTTTCCTTCGCGTCGCATCGCCTTAGTGGGAGTGCAACTTTAATGATAAATTTTACTGATTTGGCACTATTATTTTTTTTTTTTTTTTTTGGCACTATTATTGTAACTGAATAGCGTGTATGATAAATTTATGCACTGAGAACCAAATTTGTCTGACGGCTTGAGTTTAAAGTGTACCAGAGAAGTGTGTATAGACACATGTGCTCATCACCGCGTTGCCAATATGTTACACAAGTTCCTTGAATTAAGATGCATATTGAAAATATGCGTTAGTTTATTCTTTATGCCCAAAGAATGGTTTTATTTTGAGCATACACATTTTTGAATTGTACACTGTGTCGAATCTCTTTAGGATTGATTCCCGATAGGTTGTAACGGTGCTCCATTTTAGGTCGAAATGATAGGTCAGGATCGCCACAAATTCTACAACACTGCATCATTGTTTCGTTTGGTAACACCGCATCTTGTACATCCAAGGCAAGGTTTCCACCTCCATGATCATAGTTGAGCAATTTTAGTCAGTACCCACCTAGCGCTGATTGGGGAACGTCATCGAGCTTCAAAATGATTTTCACCTGCGCACACGGAGGCAATGATAATTTGTATTGTGTAAATCGTATTTGTTACATTTTCCGACCTATCGCTGTTGCAAAATGTAACAAAAACTCAGGTTTGTTGATTTTATCACCAGCAGTGGAAATCAAAGATAATTCTAAAATATATTAAAACACTAAATCGCATCAAAATTGAAATAAATCTAATCAAAATGAAAACAAAATATTACATTAAATCGCATCAAAATTGAAATAAATCTAATCAAAATGAAAACAAAATATTAAATTAAATGTTCGAACAGACCTCCTTCTTGGGTTTCACAGCAACCTAACCTATTTTAGCAGAATGTGCGAACATTTTCTGGTGTAACTTGCTACGCGGCAGATTGCACGACTTTCTGCGTCACCGTTTTGATGTGGCGATGACCTTCGCTCTTTAGCCTGCTTCTATCTCTTTCTAACATAACATATGTTGATACACACTTCTCTCGCTTCTGTCTTATACACAAATAACTTAAATGTGAATGTCTTTGCAGTCTGTCAGTATCACGTCCAAACCACAACACGAAGAGACGTAAAAGTTTGTACACTTAATAATTAAAACCCGAGGAAGGTTATAAGCATAGTTTTATTCTCGAAAATTTACATGGTGCTCAAAAAGTATGGGTAGATCAAAATATCTCAAAAAATACGTTTACTAGAGTAAAATGTTGGAAAAGAAGATTGTAAGGTTTGAAAAGATTCACCTAATGATGACCATGATTATGACACTCATTTGAAGGTCAATACAATTTTCTTAAGAGAAATGTAAAGAGCGAAAAATTTTACGTTAGAGCATGTCATTGCCCATGACTTTGACACTGATCTTCATGGATATTTCTGGGTGTTCAGAAAGTAGGGAATGGGCAAAATAGCTCGAAAAATACGTTTCATAAAGAAAAATATTGTGTAATAGAGTTGTAAGGTTTGAAAAAACTAATCTAATGGTGAGCTTAAACGTTACCTCGACTATGACCTTCAAGGTCACGATTTTAAATTCAAGTATAGCCTTGCGAATGAACCTGACCAGTTTATTTTAAATTATTTAAATATAATACACTTTCAAGTAAACTGTACTTTTTTGTAATGGATATAAAAACGCAAGTCATTAAAATTAATTTATTGTTGCACTAACATGTTAGATAAAAAATGTTCACTGTCAAAGTAACTATAGCATTACTGTGAATATTTCATTTATTTATCTGAAACCAATCTCTTTCACTCTAATACACGACAAATAACCTATACTTTGCACTACTTCTAAACGAATTTATGGCGCGAGTTTATGATAGTTACGAATAAAAACCAAAAAAATAAAAAAACTTCCGTCCGATCAGTACTTCTATTTCGACATCTTATATGAACTTATTTCTGCCGGTGACATTTTTGGTCATATCGAAGTAAGATACTTGCACTGCAAGCCGCCATTGTGCAAGGTAAATAAGGAAATACCTGAAACTAAGCAGAATGTCTTACCGGGAGGTTTGATTTCTAAAAGCCAATCTGTAAAAATATTAATCTGTTGACTATTGTGCATGATATCACAGAACTTGAGGTCACTGGAGTCAAAACTGCAGTCGATACACTCCTGTTTCCTGTTAAACACCACCAGACGACAGTCTTCAAGGTTCACAGCTCCTTCCATCTTAAATCTTTGGTATGCTTCTTGGGTAGCTTCAGCCAGCGTCGAATCGATAAATACGGAAATTTTTATATCTGAAAAAAATTTACGGAAAAAATCATCATAACCATGATGTATTGTTATGATAATTATATGCAAGCACAAAGACGACTCGACACTTTTGACATCTACACAATTTTTGATGTCCTATTGGCAATTGTGTGTAAGTTGGACTGAACCTATACATATGCAGCTCTGGATCTTTGAATAAGGTGACAGAGGACGTCTATACGTTGGCTCAAACAACTTGTATTTACGTTCTCCAACATAAAAAACCATCATAGGTTTTTGCGTCAAACTGGGCCACTGTAGTTTACAAAACCTATCCATCACAATAATGCGGGCTCGTTAGTACGAAATTGCGAGAATTGGAACTAAAAAAATTCTTGAGCAAAGGCTGCTCATTACCTGTGCACGATTTATTGGGATGTCCTCCATAGACAGTAAGCTTAATCATCTCATTTTCCTTTTCTTTATTAATCCTATCCTCCTCTTCTTTCCTTCGCATATCTTGGAGCAGTTTCTTTATATGAGGCGGAAACTCGTCTACTGTGATCGCTTTGCAATTCCTATCCTTGTCTATCTGTCTGTACATTAGCATATACGCGTTGGTACTGGAACTGTATGCTCCCGAGTAATAGCCTCTTTGTGGTCCACCACCGTAGGTTTTTCTAATATCATCCTCAGTGATCTGAAATGGGACGGCATCAGTGCACAAATACTCAAAAAATGTCTTTGCGCTTCGGACAAAGTTTTGTTAGTTTTTTGAATTTACTGAGCAAAAAAGGTAATTAATAAGTTGTCTCCCAAGTTAACCGCTTTCAAGTTATGATACTAGTTTTCTGCACCCTGTTTCGCATGAGTAGATTTTGGTTTTATCGTGAAAATTTTATATTTTTCAGCGGTAAAAGTAGCTTCTGACACTTTCCAGAGAATCAGGTATCTCAGTACGAAAAAAAAACTTACTTTCATGTCGATAATTACAGTAATTTTCTCATATTGTTACTGAAAACAATCGTTGGACAGAAAGAAAACAATAAACGCCAGCCACGTGCATGTATGTCTCCCACATAAAAGGTACCGTACCTCCGCACAATATCAAGATCCACCAAAAAAAAAATGGCGTCAAGTAAGCTGACTTTGAACTTCCCACGCTATTCTGTCATCCGTTCGTAAAGGATTATGTTTAGCACAAGCTTGCCCTTTTGAGAAAAAAGTTAGCCATGAACATGTATCATAAAAAAATAAATGACCTTCCTCCTCCCCCTGAGAGGAATTACTGCAATCCCACATGATCGTTGCGATGACCAATCCCGCGTGAATGACAATTTTTGTCTTCACCATGCACAGTAGTGTGGAAGCGTCTGCCGACTGTAACGTACGACCACCGACAACGACGCTTGTCCGTCGAGAGGTATTTTAAGGGTAAATGTACGAGTACATCTATCATCAGTGAAATATGCCTAATATATGCATAGAATTAGTGGAGTTGAAGGCGTCAAAAAATTGAGACATACCCAACCCCCTGCAACCCCAAACCATGAATTTTTAAGACCCAGAAAAATGTCAAAAAGCAAAATTTTGGGCGGTTTTTTTTTTCTCTTGTAAAATATGACATAGCTTTACCCTCACTTAAATGGAAATATCAAAGAAACCTAATGCAGCGACGAATATTTGTGTATTTTAGAATATTTCAGGTACATCAAGAGTAAAAAGTTTCATAAAAAATTTCATGTAAATCCATTGAAAGGCCAAGGAATGAATTTTAAAAAAGCCTAACTTATGTTTTATGAAGGACATCTATGCAAAATTTCAAGTTTCGACGTTCAGCGTTCGGCATTGCGTTGATATGTCGGTCAGGGAATGGATAAGTCAGCGTTTTCTTGAGATTTAATGTCTCCAAAGCCCCAAGAATAACCATTTTCATTGTTAAAAATTATGATTTTTGAGGTTGCCAAGTGTAGAAATTAAAGTTCAAACCTTCGCCTGCAAGAGTCCGAAGAGTGTTTTAGCTTTAGTTAATTGGGAACGATTATGAATAGCACGCTATGATGAAAACAAGAGACATTTATAAACAAGACACTTCGCAACCTCAAAAATAATAAATTTCAACAGAATTTTTAAGTATTGCTAAGGCCATTTTTAGGGATTATTAGATTTTAAACCTCTTATAACTCAAAAAGTGGTCAAGTTCAGAAAAACGTTTTTCACCTACATAAAACTTTATACGGAGCGAAACATTATTTTTTGATTTCCTAAAAAAATGTTTAAGCAATTTTGCACTGAGCTCTCGCCCGGCAATCGCATGACTCAAAGAGACATCCAACAAACGTGATTATGAAAAAAAAATCTAGACGGAAAATTTAAGTATATCACATGTCTAATAATAACAATACTACTTACGCCACTAACACTCTGGTCATTGAAACAAAACCAAAGATTTTTGTCGAAGTCTTTTATATATGCATAATAATGACCCCCCGAGGCACTACCAGAGTGTATCATAATACTAAACAGCTCGTAAACATATGGTCCTTTGGCATCCTCATCATGATTATTTCCTGAACTTACATCAATACCTGTAAAAAGACAAAGCATGCTCTCCAAATTCTACAGGGTGTTCTTAAAGTTGAAACTTTCTTTAGCTCGGCATATAGTTGTTGAAAAAATTGAAAAATGTTCCTTGTTACACATACATCAAAGACTTGAGATAACAGAGATATTAGATTCCGAAAAAATCCGCGGTACCCAATCCGACCCTGCTTCTCAATTACGTAGAAAGTGAAAAGTATGACGTGCTTCAATGTTCAACTCGGCGTTAACCCAAGCTGTTTGTTTTCAGAATGAACACGAAAAAGAAAAATTGCACACACCAATATCAACAGCTAACTTGATATGTTAATTTTTAGTGTTTTCAAGATGCGGTTGAAGAGTCGCGATGGTATTCAAAACGTTTTCCAGGACATTGCTATCCTATATTTATCTCGTACAAAGAGCTATGGATATGGGCCACCTACAGTGGCGTTGAGGTCACAGTGGAAGGCCTAGACAACCTCGAACATTGCAAACGTAGAGCACAAAATCAAATGGAAAACCTTGAATAGTACTTAGTAGCATCATGAGCAGGGCGGTAATTGAAAATTATTGTTAGATAAATGATTACTTCAAAGATTTTCATCACGTTATATCTGCTGTTTTTCCGCACCAAGTCCAAAAAACTAATGTGAAAGAATTTTTATGTGCATCTTACCCTCATCACTATCTGCACAGTTATCATGGCCGTTTGCAGTGGAAGACGCATCTGTACCTTGACAGCTTTCATCATCTGCTGAACCTGAATCTGTCGTACTACAATCGTCACATTTCACAATACTTTCTCTCTCTTCAGTTGGATCTGTATCTACTCTATGATTTATTATGAACGAATTCAGGTTCAGTATCTCAGAAAACACAACCCTAAAAAACTCACTAGTTAGCCAAAATAATCAGTAATCTACAATATTTTTGTTAACCCCGGACATAATTACTAAACACCACTTCAAAACTTGACGTTGCACCTGCCAGACGTTCGAAAGAGGGTAACAATGTTTTACCAGGTCAACGATTTCAGACTAGGTAGGAGTAAGTCTATGATTTGTTTGTCTCAAAAATCCCATAATTTGACAGTTGTTGAAATTTCACGTGTAATTCGTACATTTATACATATATAAATATGCGTGGCTTCCATACAGTCCAGACAATTATCCATAAAGATTTCTGTTGAATGCAAAAAGTCGTTTAAACAGAATCATCGATCGATAACTGTTAATAATATATTATATTCATCAGCATTGCAAAAGGGCATGCACCTCAATGTTGGGCTTTTACATGTGAGGTAATTTTGATTATTTTCAATCCACTTCTTGTTTCTTTAAGTGTTTGAGACAAACCAAATTTTTTGATGGATACTGAAGAGGTCCAACTGACACTGTGAATCTTATCTAATATAATTATAAATCAAAAGGTTCTAAGGGAAGGTCTTTGCGTTCTAATGAGTAATTTTACGTTCCCATTTTATCTATCAGACTTGATCATGAATTATGATAGATATCTGCGCTCTAATGCCCACCTTCTCTTAGTAGCTCAATTACAAATCAAAATCGATGTAATGTCAAAAAAATTCAGTGTAATGTCAACTTGTGCACTATCCCATTCCGCGGTTAATCGCCCAGTGCGGCACCTATAGCGGAATGACACTACGATCTACAGTATAGAACTTGGAGCTTATGCCTTAGAGGCTATAAACGATCTACAATAGCGCCATCTCGGAAGCAGAGGTTACATCATATCAGATCCAAGCTCAAGAGACATAACGTTTAGGCAACATGCACACGTACTACCTGTGAGGATGAAGTGAATATCAGCTAGTTCCAAGGTGACATTTTATCGGAAATCCTACATACTTCAAAAAAACCTGCATAATGTCATAAGGAATCAGTATAATGTCACTTTTTTTAAGTTATGTAATATGGGTGCCAGACATAAGCAACAGCATTAATTTGGGGAACACAAAAGCTCATAGCCACTCATCCAAGCTATAAAAACACTTATCTGTTAGAAAAGATTCCAATTGACTTTTGAAACTGCTTAATGTTAGTGCTTTTTGAATAACTTCTTTCAAATTATTGAATATTTTACAACAAATGTAACCTAAAGACTTCTGAGCTGCAGTATGCTGTTAACGGGGTATCAGCAGATCTTTAGATCAAGTTTGACAATTGTGTTCTTCTTTGTTATTGAACAGGCTCAATTTATTTTTATACACAAATATTGATATGCAATGATTCTAATAAAATATTTCAGAGGAGAAAAATTATATCTGTCGATGAGCTGCATCACCATCACCACTATCGCAAGTATCAGTTAAAGCTTGAAGAGTATAAAGTAAAACTTGCTACTACAGTGATTTGATAAAAAATTTATACCTAGGTACTTTTACATAATTTATGACACAGCAATATTAGAGTAAATATTAAATAAATTAACTTACTTATCATTGAGCTTTATCCTGTGCATAGTACTATAATCAAAATCGAATCGTTTCAAATGCATGGTCAACAAATACGGGAACTTTGTGAACTTCAACCCTTTGTGCGCATCACACTTCTTGTTACACTTCTCACAATGATACTGATTGTTCCCATCCAAAGTCTCTGGTTGTACGAACGCCCTTAGCGCTTCTTCGACGCTGTTGTACGCCACTGTACTGCCGAACGGTCGTACTGGCAGGGGTATGTCCAGAAAGGTGTCTTCGCGTGATTTTTCTGTTCCGCACTCAAGGCATTTTACGTAGTCAAGCATTTTGCCTTCGTATAGATCGTTTATCAGGTTGGCTTGTTTGGTGTCTTTGAATTTTTGTTCTAGTGCGTCAAACATTACCCTGAAATAAAAAAGTGGTGTCAAATAGAATGACTCCGTACTTCCTACGCAGTTAAGCGTGATTTAAATCCTCTGAGAAAATAATGAGTTACGAACATGTAGATCAGACAAATTTACTGTATTAAGTCAGCCAAACAGGCCCATACAATTAGTATAGACATTCTTTGCCTGCCCTACAGTAGTGACCGACCATGTGGCAACGTTGTCCCTCTCTACATCTGCGCGGCATCTCTGCAGCAGTTATCATCTTACCTTTCGGTTCGCCAAGCTCCGTATGTTTTTTGGGCGTCAGTACGAATACATAATAAGCCAGACTGGTTCGCCAAGTGGGTCGCTTTAATAGACGCGGATCGAAGACATTTCTCTATCAAGTTTCAAACGCAAATGCACGGGTAAATCTATGATGTGTGAAATTGGACTAATAGGTCCATAGAATTATAGCGTTTGGGAGCGTATAAGTATAGTAAGATCAAAAAAATTCATATACCCTCCCCCACCCCCCACAACACTCAACCTCCAAATGTCAACCCAAAAGTTTTTTCTGAAAATGGACCAGGACCATCTAAAACGTTTAAAAACGAAATTTGAGCGACTCTTATTTTTGTCGCTAAAAGATAGGGACTGCTCTAGAACACCCACTTGTATTTGTGGTGTTAAGTTAACAACTGAATGTGGCTGTCCTGTGTTTTTGGCCATATCTTCATAAGAGTTATATGGCTATGTCCTTTTCTTTGTATCTTCAATTTGCCTTTTTAATGATTCAATCTTTTCATATAATTCCTTGATCAATTTTTTCTTGAATTGATATTGTATAGTCTTAATTCGAGTATTTCCTTTAAACAAAAACCTTTCTCATCCAATATTTTCTCGGTTTCTACTTCATCACTATCTTCCTCAGCATTTCGTGTCTCCATTATCTATTCTATCTTCTGGAAAATACTTGACCTACTAATAATATTACAAGAAACAAAAATTAATCCTGACCCCACCTTAAACAAAATTTGTCTCAGTTGTTCAACTTTCTGCCCCAGGGCGCAGATTGATTGTGGTTTGACGGTTATACTGTTTCGGGACAAAAATCGCTCAGAGCGAAGGACAAATTTGGTAACATTTTGGTGAAAAATCAATATATCGAGTCAAAAAAGACGCCAATTTTAGCCTGTTACTTCTTCTGATCATTAAATAAAAACGACAATCAACTTTTAGAACCGCAAGTTTTAAAGAGATTACGAGCGAAATAACTAGTGTTATCTTTTCGGTAAGCTCGTGTACAATAGTCTCAAACTTGCACTTTCTCACCTGCACAGTTCCTGAATATCATGTTGATGCCAGGCATCACTGCCTTGCCAACCGAAACTGGTGGTTAGATCCGTTGTTTCGACTGCTGATCTATGTGACGTTTGCAAGTTGAGGAAGAGTTTTTGGAGCTGGTATGGGATGGATCGAGACTCGTTCTGACCATCGAATTCCCAGTTGTAGAGGGCGTTGCGAAATTCCGGTGTCATATATAACGCCTACAACAAATGAAAACATGTATACAACAACTACGGTAATAAAGGGTTTTCTAATTAGTGTGGCATGTTGTCTAATTAGAATAAAACAACCTACATGGTGACCTGACAGTTCGGAGTTTCCTTTTCAGAGACAACTACATTTTTGAAGTAACATACCTAATATGCGCTAAAACAGCAACTAAAATGTAAAATAGGAGGGAAAACAATCACTGTTCATTCAATAAGGAATTTCAAACATTGTCCTGGGAGGATATTCTCGAGTCTCGCGTTCGAGATACAGTAATGGACAAAAGTATATAGACAAATATGAATATTTACCTAAATACCTTTAGAAAACGAATGCATACTTCATTGCTCCATAAACGAATGCGTTATTAGTAGAAAAACTAAATTCCTTGTTTTTACATTATCTGCAATGAACACAATAAAAGTCTGAATATAAGCACTTTTTTATGAGGGACAAAAATATGTAGCAAATTCTTTTCAACATTAGTTTAGTACAGTTTCGTGTCAGAAGGGGATTAGTTTGTGCTCATTAAGTATTGTGGAATAAGCTGAGTGATTTTACGACCATGCCGCGTGGTCCAGAAATTTCTTTCCATGTGAAAACTAAGATCATTGAGTTATACAAAGTTGGTCAACGTTAGGTCGACATTGCAAAAAATCTGAAGCTGAAGCGTAAAGCAGTTTGGGCAATATTTAACAAATATAAACAAAAAGGTATCTTGGAAACCTCCAAGAGAAGTGGTCGGCCTAGAAAACTAAATAAAAATTAAACCCCAAGACAAATAAAAGCCGAAATCCAGATAACAGGAGTTGTCAGTGTTTCTTCAAAAACTATAAGTAGAAGATTTAATAGTTTGAAGTTATTTGCACGTCGCCCGAGTAAGAAGCCGCTAATCTCGAGGAAAAACCGTAACGACCGATTACAATTTGCACAGTTGCATCTTGATTGGAGCATATGTGACTGGAAGAGGGTATTTTTCAGTGACGAATCCAAGTTCAATATGTTTGGATCAGATGGTGTTCATTACGTTAGACGTCCTAGTGGACAAAGATTGAACCCCAAGTACACTTTGCCCACTGTCAAACATGGAGGCGGGTCTGTTATGGTTTGGAGTGCTTTTCGGGGTTTGGGATGGGACCTTTACATAAAATAGATGGCATTATGGTTAAGTTTGTATACACAGACATACTAAAGCATGTCATGTTACCCTATATGGAAGACAATATGCCCTTAAGATCAATCTTCCAGCAAGATAATGACCCGAAGCACACTTCAAATCTCGCAAATAAATTCTTTCTGGATGAAAAAATACCAGTTCTCGAATGGCCTTCACAGTCTCCCGATATAAACTCCAAAGAAACTCGATGGGAATACTTAGATAAGCAAATACGAGATAAAAATTATTCAAACAAGGATGAACTTTTTGCCGCTTTAGAGCAAAAGTGGAGATTGATGAATCTTATATCAAGAAACATCTATAATCTATGCCAAGACGATGCCAGGCGGTGATTTAAAATAATGGTTATGCTACAAAATATTAACACAAACCTGGTTGGTTTTCCATAATTCAATCAACTTTGCTTCTTTTTTCTATAACTGTTTTGCTTGGTCTATATATTTTTGTCCTTCATAGTTCCAGTTTTTTTTCAATTAATTTTTTATTGAAGGGAGTCTAATGAATTTATTTATGTATAAGTGAGTTAATACATAATTGCTATAAGGAATTATGTATACATGTTGGTGTATTAATAAAACCAGTTAAAAAAGAAATACAGCACAATATTAATTGTCTATATACTTTTGCCCATTACTGTATGTCGCATGAAAATGTCGAACGCATCAGCAAATTGGTTTTCTCGTTTTTTTTGAACAAATGGCTGAGTTAACTAACCTCGGTTATCTTTGCATCTTTTACATGAACTATATGCTGTGTAAAGGAAAGTCCCAACTGTTAAGGAGATATTAACGAAAAACAATGGCTACTGGGGGCAGCTGACGATATAAAACTTCAGTGTTACCGGAATAGCGAATGTGATCATAATATAATGTCGCATATACATAGATTCTCGAGTTTTTAAGACCCAAGCAACTATATTGGACCACACTTACCTGTAGCAGACTGTTGAGATAGCACGTCATCGCTTGATTCACCAATCCAACATAGTTACAGGCCGCGTCCGCATGATTCCTGCCGTAGGCCTCCTCGGCAGTACCCGAGGAACCACCAGCGGTGGCTGTAGGACTGGCGCTGGCCCCGAGCAGGAGATCGTCTTCAACAGCTGCGGTTGCCGCCGCAGCAGGGTCAGGAGCGACTGTATTTACAGGCACCAGCGCCTGGGAATTGTCTACGGCTGGGATCTTATTGGACCGCTCCATCCATATCACCATCTTCTCTAGGCTTGCCCAGACGCTGAAATCACCCAACGTTTTCGATCGTTTTTGGCTTAGGGCGAATTCCATCTGCAAGCAAAGTATTTTATAAGCAATATCAGAGACGTATATCTCTTTGCGGCCTACTGGTCTTCTGGGACGACCACCAACTCATATTCACTTTACTTGGCCCCTTTTGGTATTTTGACATTACCACGGTAATTACTGGTTGCCTACCCAACTAACAATTATCACTCCTATTAGAGTTGCAAGAATGATTATACAGTATTCCTTAAACAGCATTGTTATACTGTATGAACATTGGCAAAACCGTCTTAGAACAGCTATACAAGCAGAATGGGCACACCTAATAGGACACTTCAGTCATTTAAGAGGTTGTATAAGGACTGCAGGTAACAGTTATAAAACAAAAGTGTAAGCCTCTTGCAGCCGCTATAGGACATTTACGTCAGTGCAAGATTCAGTTTTTGTCAACTATACAACTATTCTGTTACGTGATTCTACTTTAATGCAACCAAACTATTTCTTATGTATTTCATAGACGAAGTGAAGAATATATAACTAACACATTACAGTCATCTTGTTTACTTACATATCGGCCATTGTGAATTTCATACACAGGTATATGATAAACTTCTACACTTTGATATAGGGCTATTGAATTACTTGCGCAGCAAATTTTATTGTGATTTTCGTGCAAATTAGTTACCCAATTTCTACGGGCTTCGTATTTGATTCATATTTTGACAATGATCAAAAGTATGTCTAGATTTTGATGGAAAACTGAACTTATCTGCGTTAAATCTTCCACAAATTCTATATTTAGACACTATTACACTAGTGTTTATCACCTTATATCTGTAATTTCGAACTGAAGCATAATTATTTAATATTAAATAGAGGAATAAATGTTTGCCCAATATGGCGGGTGGTTGTCTACAATCATGGCATCGTCCATGTTGTCTTTAGGTTATTAGAATATTTTGGTGTTGCCTGCAGGTGTTATACAACAATTTGACAAATGTCTGGAATGAAATACCGACAGAGTCGAATAATTTACCCAGAATTTGTACCAGATCTATATCTTCTGTTTGAACAGTTGATTAAACCTTTTGAACCAATATGCATGCGTTGTTTGTCTTAAAACATTGGTTATGGCATTTTAACAAAAATATGACAGCAGAAAGTTAGGTTATGGTGAAGTTGTTTACCAACATATTTAGCATAATATGTACAGCCTTTAACAGTTACTAAACAACAGTTGTATAAGTGCTTCCGTTGGGAGCAATTTGTTGGCTAAGGTAGTAAATTGCACAGCAAAACAACAAGGCTCGGGTTTGCTTTATAAACGTTACCAAGGATGCCACAACACAAACATTTTGACTAACTTGTAAATATATAAAATAGTTGTATAAACGTTTATGCAACAGTTAAAAATTTTCCGTATAAGGTGTTGTATAACTAAACTAAACTATAAATATTTTAAACACCTCATTTTAGAGCAAATATGTTGCAGAAAGCAAATTTGCATTCCACACAACATTAAGCCAGCATTTTGGTGTTCAGGCAACAACAATAGAGCTTTTATGGCTGAACGGTTCTTTTACCAAAAGTTTATACCACTACTTTGCTATTCGGGTATGATTTAGGCCTTTTATCAGCAATGAAATGATAGCCAGCAAAATAGCTCAGAAGGTGGAAACAGCGTGCGAACAATACATACCTTATGAGATGTTTTATTTATATATACTAAGTGAAATATAAAATGCAACATCCAGAATTATTTATTGAATTTTGATAAGAACATGTAAACATATTTACTATCGTGGAAGTATACGCTAATAAAATGTTGAAGGCATTCCGATCCGTACTATTTTGTAAGGGCTTTGTTGATGTTGAACGACAAAAGCCGGTCACGCCGCACCCGTGTTATGTATAGTATAGATTGTATAGAGAACCCTTTATATCGATGGTTCTCAAGCGTTGGGGAGGACGTCCATGGTGGAGTTGGCAGAAAAGATCTTGGTAAACACTTCCGCCTTAGCCTTTGAGTCGGTTACAATTGTTCCATCCTGACATGTAAGTGGTGGAAGGCTACTTTGTGAGAAGTTCCTTTCAATCTGCTTGGATAGCGTCCAGAAAGACCGACTGCCACTGCGCTGTGCCCAATTTTTGCATCGTGCTGGTCTTTGGCATTGCGAACCGCTTAGTATGCCAGGACACCGCAGCTGTTATGAGGATCCAAAAGATATTGAATTTTGTTAATCCGATTTTTGAACTGCCTAAGGTTAGTCGAACTGGGAAAGGCTTCCTTTGTAGATTGTTCCACAATCTCGACACCCTCGGGTCAAAGGAGCGGTCGTATCGGCCAGTTCTGGATAATCACACGCGCAGCGACATCATGGAGGAGAGCTCTGAGGAGCAAAGCCCATTAGTGTAGCGGTAGCAGAGAGCTAGATCCCGACGGCCCGTCGATGCGAAAGGATCCCGAGACTGTGTGTTAGAACAGTCATCGATCAGTCAACTGGCTTGTCTGTTCTGTACAGTGAGCTTTTGTAAAAAGGTTCTGCGCACTTTCACTGACGCATCCGGGTGAGCGAAACAAACATCTCTCTCTAAGGAAATGTGGAGAAAAAATCTCAACCCTTCCCAGTTGGTATGTCCGTAATGCCAAATTTTGCGGCCCGGGCGAGTTTCTGCTGCCGCAGCCGGTTATTACTACAACCTAACCTCCACAACACCGTGGTCTCAGTTACCCAGGAGAGACAGGACGCCAGTGCTGTAAGGGACAGGATGCGTGGTCAGAAAGATATTCAGTAGAGTGGCGAAAACGGGGAGAAAAGATAGGGCTCGTCACCAGCTGGGTCAATCCTTGGGTAATAGCGAATGCTTCACCAGCACGACCTGCAGCATCGGTCTTGTTCGAACCAAACCAGATCGCATTATAGGCATTGAAATCACCGAGAGCAACTACCTCTGCAGCAGGGTGATTGACGTTAACAAGGTCGATCTTGACAGCGAGGAACTCAAGTAGGTCATCCCAGTTATGGATGAGGGAGGGCGATAAAGGCGGCAAATAAATTTGGGGGACGTTTTCTAGTTGAAGCGAAGCCGTAGCATATCCTTCCGGCTTGATTCCAAAGAAACGTCTCTGGAGAAAGAAAGACTGTTGCGAGCAAAAGCCACAACTACCTAGATTAATTTGGGACGCTAAGATGCTTAATCGGTGTAGCATCAGAGATTTTGGTCGAAAGAGATTTTATCATCGATGTTGTTCCCTTGAGTCCACCCTCCACCCGGACATTCCGAGAATTAAGTGAGTTTACGTCCAAAATTCTTGGTACTCGAGTGATGCATCATCATTAATTTATGTGTTGTGAAGGGAACCGATTGCGTAGCTCAGGTGTGGAAATATGCGGACATTCTTAGGACACCCTGGAAAAACCTAGCAGGTGGTACTGCCTACCACCTTCTTTTTGCTTGTTAATGATGTTGAATGGACCTAAAGTGCCTCGGTGGCGGACTTGTACAATGCAATCGGTGCTGTGGTATTCCTTAACGCGTGTACAACCACTTGAATGAGAAGAAGGTGTAGACTAGTAGTACAACAACTTCCGGAAAAGCATTTGCTACGGCTTCGCTCAGTAGGGTGCGATATAATTGCAATTTAGGCGAAAACTCGGATGCGCGTTTCCTTTGTAACTCTTTGATGAGCATTTTCAAAATCAGCGTCCCGCGTTATCTCAGATTACCGAATTTTCTTCAGATGTCAGTATGGGGGTGTAGTAATTATTGTACATTCTGAAACTTTAGAATTCAAAGGCATATTGTTAAGATAGTGTACGTTGCAAGATCTTTTTTATATCCAAACCTTACTTGCTAGAGTACACTTAATGATTTGATTATGCGTTTACCTTGGTACATTTCTCAAAACAATGTATACAACCCATTATGTCATAACTTTCAGCAGAAAAAGTCACCAGCGACACACTTACATTCACTGTTTTTTTACAAATACATTATCAATCTTTATTCTGATTACATAGAAATATCAAGATACATTGCAATTATCACACCTATCTTCATATCCCCACCAAAATCATTGTTTAGACAATTAAACATTAAGTAATTTCACGCTACTGATAAGGCTACTAATGAGCACATAACGAAAACAAATTAATTTCTTTACTAAAAACTTAACTTTATCTCACCTAGTTAGAAAATATATTTTGATGATAAAGGGCAGGATTTTTTAATGTAAGAAGATTACTACATTCAAATGTACACCACAAAAAATCGCATATCACTTTACTTTATACTGAGTAATGTGATTGTACATTTCTCATAACATTAACCACAAACAAAATTTGGAGAATTAAGAAATTTGCAGTCATTTTCATTTTCTTGTAGTTGGATTAAGTATCCCAAAAAAGAGTGATGTAGTTAAAATGTACGTAGTCATGCCATAAGTTCTGTCCCTCGTTTTCAAACAAGTGTAGACCTGTTAATACTTGTCCGATTGTTTACATTGTGGTGTCAGTTGATTAAGCGCTTTTCGGGTAATTACATATACCTCAGTTTGTATTGATCTCTCGAAGCATAACGATGGAGTGGGGCAAGGGAGAGAACCGTATTGCAGTGATAGCTTTACATAAGTGTAATCACAGTGCTAGTCAGATTTTTGAACTCTTACGCGGCCTGCAAATATCGCGTAAATTTGTGTCTAGGACCATTCAGCGGTACAATGAGACGTCCTCTGTTGATGACAGGCCAAGAAGCGGAAGACCTCGTCAAGTAAGGACTCCAGCAGCCATCAAAGCCGTAAAAGCCAGGATTCAAAGGAATCCACTCCGGAAGCAGAAGATCCTATCCAGGGAAATGAAGATTCCTGTCCGGACGATGTCGCGCATCATTAAACAAGACCTAGGGCTAGGGGCTTACCGGAGACGTACGGGCCAGCGACTTACGGCCACCTTGCGACACATCAGGGCGACAAGATCCAAGAAGCTCTTGGAGAGGTACGCAGCTGGGGGATTCCGAAAGATTTTGTTCACGGATGAGAAAATCTTCACCATAGAAGAAAAATTCAACCGACAAAATGACAAAGTGTATGCAAGGAGTTCACAGGAAGCTTCGGAGATCATTCCGAGAGTTGAGAGAGGCCACCACCCTGCGTCAGTCATGGTTTGGTGGGGGGTGTCCTACGAAGGGGTCACTCAGCTCCATTTCTGTAAACAGGGCGTGAAAACAAAAGCGGCAAACTATCAGAGCGACATACTGGATCCTATCGTCAAGCCTTTAAGTGGTACATTGTTTGCCAACCAACACTGGGTCTACCAGCAGGATTCCGCCCCCGCTCACAAGGCTAAGAGTACGCAGCGCTAGCTGGAAAGCAATGTGCCAGAGTTCATTGCTGCGGAAGATTGGCCCTCAGGGAGTCCGGACCTCAATCCTTTAGACTACAAGTTGTGGGACCTGCTAGAGCAGTTGGCCTGCTCCAAAGCCCACCGTAATATCGAGTCCCTGAAAGCGGATTTGATCCGATCAGCGGCAGCTATTCCTTTGGAAGCTGTGCGTGCAGTGATAGATGAGTGGCCCGCGAGATTGAAGCAGTGTGTGAAGGCCAAGGGGGGACATTTTGAATAAAACTGTTTGATTATGAATTCTAAAAATGTTGTCGAATAAATAATATCTTTCATATAAATATATCTTATCTTGTTTCATTTTTATCATGAGATTATCATGGGACAGAACTTATGGCACGACTACGTATATGGAATAATTGCATACATAATAAGCAGATCAATATAAATAAAAACTCGTACAAGGCAAAATACTTACAGAGAATCCATGCATCGATGTTTTCAGGGTGAGTTCAATTTCATCAGGAGTATGATCAAATTTGCTGGAAACCTCCTTAAATATGTCGTCTATTAATTTTGTTGAACTGATCTTGATACGGACTGATTTTGTTGGGTCAAAACTGATGCGGTCAACAATTTGCACCGTTCGTTCGTCTTCATTCGGCAGCAGCGACATTTTCTAAAAAAGAAATTTCAACTAATTGTTTCTGCAAATTTTTTTCTCGTCTAAAATGTTCATGAATCTCATGTGAATATATATTGTTCAAGTGTCCATAGATCCTCGCATAGTAACGTGGATTCAAAAGGTACAGGTTTCAACGACTCCGCCACATAGATCTCGCTGAACTTGAGGCATGTTTTCCTAGAGGGCATCAACTGATTATGGTCTCCCATCCATGTGTGGACGGAATATTACTCATAAACAAATACATTTTGGGAAAATCTATTTATGGCATGTTATACATAACATTTGGGGGCACATTTCTAAAATATTGGCAATTAAACAGGGTGTCCCAATTTTGACCTACATATCAAAGCTGTGATTTTTTAAATGGAATGCCTCAAATTTTATTGCATATTTGGATAAAGCAATTCAAAAGAAGAAGATTGATATAACATACTATGGGGTTTTGGTAATTAGCTACTGAGATGTAAGGTGTTTTGTCCAGAAAAACCGTCCATTTAGGCAACCCCTCAATCCTCCATTTTGAAATCTGGAGTGCTGAATTTTGTATCAAAAAAAACTTACACACCTCAGCTTTTATCTTATTTGTTACTTTTTCGAATTTTCATTTTTGCTCATACAGGGTGGACAACAATCAGAACAGTATAAATCAGCTTCAAGCGTAATAGAGAAAAACAACTATAATAACAACATAAACAAACAACTATCACTACTCAAGACCTAATCTACAAAAACTGCTCGAAAGTATATCCGCAATGTTGGATACACAGCCGTAGTCTTTGGATAAATGACCGTTGCACATCCCTCAGCATGTGTTCCCTTATGTTCAGAAAAGCATCCTTAATCCTCTCCGTCATATTTTCCGGGGTAGATGGTGGATATCTATAAACCTCTTGCTTAACGTAGCCCCATATAAAAAAGTCCATAGGTGTCATATCTGGTGATATAGGCCGATCATGACCGATCCAACGATTGTTACTCCTGATATCCAAATAGTTACGCACACGATTATGATAATTCGCAGGTGCGTTAGAAGTACATATGCATCCGAGTTTGCAGGTTGTCATCCTCCGAAAGCAAAGGCAAATGCTCGATCAAAAAATTCAAGTATTCTGTACCTGTTAATCTGTTGACGAAAAAGAAAGGCCCAATAACTTGTCTGCCAATAACTCCTCCCCAAACATTCAAGCTCCATTTATTTTGGAAATCTATTTGCCTAACTCAGTAAGAGTTTTCCGTCGCATAATAGTGCGTGCTATGACTGTTGACAACACCTATGCTGTTAAAAGTTGCCTCATCGCTAAAAAGAACCTTATCCAGGAAAGTAGTCTTCACTCACCTTATTTAGCATTATTCTACTAAACTAGGAGGACGAAGGCCTTGATGCAAACATAGGTGATATGGATGGTACCTATGCTTGTGAATAATCCTTTGGACAGAAGTTCTGCATATATCAGTGTGTACAATTTGCCGTGCACTTAAATGGGGATTTTCTTGTAACTTTAATAGAACCGCCAACTGATTCGCCTCATTGGTGACACTTGGATTATTTATTCATTTTTTAATATATTTCACTGCTCCACTTGATTCAAAACGTTCGCGTAGTGAGGAAAATGTTTCCGGCCTTGGATGTCGCATATTAGAGGACCGTTGCTTATAAATGCGAGATGCTAGGAAACTATTTCTTTGGGCTTCGCCCAAAACGAACACCATATTCACCATTTCTTCTTGCTTTTGTTATAATCCTCACAATCAACTATTTATTTTATATATAATTTTAGGACGCCTTTATGGCCTCCTTGATTTTCATAATAGTATGTCATATTCAGTAAGGTACTTGTATGTACTGCTTTAGATTTCTAGTCTGCTGTCAATTGTGATTATGTTTCTTTTTTTGACGTTTAAGAAATTTTAGACAGATGAATCAAATGCCGAAGGATATTTTCTTGCAAATAATGTTGATCATTCAATAATAATTTCCTACATTGAACAAATTCGTCGGGCTGTGGTATCTTCAAGTCCCATATGATCTAAAATCAACAATTTAATGCAAATGGAAGTGAATTTATATATATTTGCCTAACAGCTTACAACCAAGCTGTTCCTTGATGAAGGTAGGTAAGTTACAAAATTAAACATTGCATATTCATATTTATATACTTATCGCATTTTTTTCAGATGTGGTTCGTACTTACAGACTTTATGAAATGTTGGATAAGAAACATTGTATCCAAGTGCAACTGCATTGTTGATGTCGGAGATGGCTGTTCACAAATCATTGTTAGACTTTGGATTGCATGGTGTCAGGCTACAAGTATGTATTGCAATTATTTATTCTGTAACTTACCTAAGTTCATCAAGAGATTAGCTTGGTTGTAAGCTTCTGGACTTTTATACATACAAATATAATATTATAATATATCCATGTGCATTGAATTTCCTAACCCAACAATTTCTTGAAGATACCACAGGTTGTGGAATTTGTTCAGTGTAGCGAAGTATTATTGACTATTGACTGATCGAAATAATTATGCTTCTGCAGTTCTGCCTTCAATTCATGAGTCTAAAGATTTCTTAAACACAACATAGCCTCTAGCCAGAACTGTCAACATGCCGGAAATCTAAAGCAGGACATACAAGTACCTTATCGAAGAAGACATAATATTATCGAAATCAAGGAGGCCATAAAAGCGTCCTACAAGTGTAGGAACGACTGACGCTACGGCCATAAGCCGTTCCATAAAAGACGTGCTAATAACTGAAAAAATAGGCGTAAAAACCCTTATGTGTCTAGTATCAAATAAAAGCTTATTAAAAATTGGATCAAAACTTGCACAAATAATACAGGGTGATGCATTTGAAATTTTTAAGAAAAACCACAATTTGCGTTTTTGTCCATCCTGTATGAGCAAAAATGAAAATTCGAAAAAATAACAAATAAGATAAAAGAAGAGGTGTGTAAGTTTTTTTTATACAAAATTCAGCACTCCAAATTTCAAAATGGTGGACTGAGGGGTTGCCGAAGTGGGGTTTTTTTCTAGACAAAACACCTTATAGCTCAGTAGCTTATTACCAAAACCCCATAGTATGTTATATCAATTTTCTTCCTTTAAATTGGTTTATCCAAATATGCAATAAAATTTAAGGCTTTCCATTTGAAAAATCACAACTTTGATATGTAGGTCAAAATTAGGACACCCTGTATAATGGCCAATATTTTAGAAATGTGCCCTCAAATGTCATGTATAACATCCCATAAATAGATTTTCCCAAAATGAATTTGTTTATGAGAAATATTCAGTCCACACATGGATGGGCCACCCTGTATAGTTCTTTTCGAGGTTTTTGGCTGTTACATCAACAATGCCATACGAAATAAGTAATGAAATCAACTAGTTCTATTGCACACTGGGCAGACTGATCTTAAACGCAGCTGCACTTGCACAGATGAATTTGTTTGTTGAATATTTTCATCAAGCATTAATGCTACAATTTCTATTTTGTATAATTATTCGTTTATTTTTTAATCAATTTTCTGTAATTTTACATTCTTGCCTATTAAACTTACATCACAATTCATTTTGGGTATTCATAAAATGACTTTAATTCCACCTTAAATATTTTTAAATTTGAACACTGTTTAAAATAATACTGCCTCTTGAAATTCAAAAATGCTAGTTATGCTACTATTACAATTTTGCAGATGAAAATCTATACTGCCTCTAGTTTTATAGTTATGATAATGACTATTCAATTTTGTGTTTTCTGTGGTCGTAATAAATAATGATTTTTAATCTGAATATAAGAACTAAATAGCATACAAAATGTTTTACATTCAACCACTGTAGTTTTTCTAACATAGACTTAATGATCATCATAGCTTTATTTTGTAGAATTTGTAGTTTTGACAATATCTTTTCATTAACATAAACAAAATGGTTGAACAATATAAAAAATTGGGAAGAAGTATAGTGTTATAGACATTTTTTTTGTTTTGTTTTGAATACATACCGAGATTGTGGGAAACTCTATAGAAGTAATGTATCTTTTTTGATGTTTTTGAAATAATACACCTGAAACGGTAGTTCACAATCCACTAAAATATAGATATTTGAATGATTCAACTACTTCAATTTTTTCATCATTAGTCATGTATTATCACCTGAATGTTTCCCTGCTAGCATACATTTTGCTTCATCAATCTTTATGTTTATTAACATTTAATCAATTAATTTTTTTAATATCACTATTTAACAGTTCTAAAGCAGTGTCCAAATGTTTATGTTATATATATATATACAGGGTGTTTCAGTTTATTGTTGCATAACTTTAAGATTCGATAGAACTTTTAAAATTAAAGCATAAAGTCTATATAAACATGGGTCGAAAAATGCGTGGCTTCCGAAATACAGGGTGTTTAAATTTACTTTCTAAAATAGTTTTTTTTAAATATTTCGAACAATATTTGATGTATAACAGTGAAAATTGGTATACAAGGGTTTTTTGGTACGAAAAAACGAACCATGGGCATAGTTTTACTGTAGCCGCTAGAGGGCGCTCTCTACTGTACCTGTAGTGTATTAAAATGACCGAAAATTTTTTCTTAGTGCAATTTTTTGCTTTTTGAATAAAAAAACTGATTCTTCGCACTTTTCAACATAAAAAAGCTTTCTTGTGAATTTTCGTTATAGTTAGCCGTTTTTGAGATATTTCGATTTTTAAGGTTCGATGCATTTTTAATTATTCATGGGAAACTAATCTGCGCTGACGAACAACATTTATGTTTTGAACCCTTTGGAGAATTCCAAAACCATTTTCAATTATTTGGCGATGCACTCTTACAAATACTGAGCGAGTTGGTTGTCGTCTGTTTGGAAATCTTCGTGCGTATTCTCTGGCTGCTTCCGCTGCGTTTCCATTTACAAAGCCATACTCAAAATGAATATCTGCTAACTCTTGATTGGAGAATAAAAATGGCATTTTTATAAAACTTGCAAATAAAAACAGGTAAAAGAAACTAAATTTCGTGCATTCACAATTGCAAAAAAACGTTTCAGGTTTCAACAGACAACAAAACTAACTGTCAACTAATTGACGTTTAACCCTATTCTGCTTTCAATTTCAAAAATATTTGCAGGCACAGCCTACTTCTAAAAATTATCGAGATACTGACTTTTTAACGTTATTTTATCATAAATAATTAAAAATGCATCAAACCTTAAAAATTGAAATATCTCTAAAACGGCTAACTATAACGAAAATTCACAAGAGAGTTCTTTATGTTAATCAAAAAGCAAAAAATTGCACTAAGAAAAAATTGTCGGTCATTTCAATACACTACAGGTACAGTAGAGAGCGCCCTCAAGCGGCTACAGTAAAACCCATGGTTCGTTTTGTCGTACCAAAAAACCCTTGTATACCAATTTTCACTGTTATACATCAAATATTGTTCGAAATATTTAAAAAAAACTATTTTAGAAAGTAAATTTAAACATCCTGTATTTCGGAAGCCACGCATTTTTCGACCTATGTTTATATAGACTTTATGGATTAATTTTAAAAGTTCTATCGAATCTTAAAGTTATGCAACAATAAACTGAAACACCCTGTATATAATACATTACAATACTACTGCTAGCATAATATATATATATATATATATATACAGGGTGTCTGCGAAAGGTTGGGAAATCTCGAAACTGAAGATATTACAGACCAAAATATGTGAATTGACCTAAAAATACCTTAGTCCAAAAGTTGATAGTCACAATTTAATTTTCTATTTTTCCCTATTGGTTGAGAAGTATTTCAGATTTTGTCATAAAACTCGGTATAGAGAGGTTTTCTAGTATGAGAAACAAGAATCTGTTATTTTTTATGGTCAAACTTCTAGAGTGCGCCACTTACAGCACTATTTCGGTAAATAACTTATCATAACATTATTGTGCTGCCCTCTATATAACAGCTGACCGAAAAATCTTATTTTCTCGTATTTCCACAACAAAAAAGGTTTACTTGTTAGAAGTGTGTAAAGCTAATAGTTTTCGAGAGATTTGTTTTTAAAAGTTCCAATGTATTATTTGTAGCATGATGATAAAACATTTTTATAACATACCTTTGGCACAGGAGTAATGGTGGAACACTTTAATTTTGATGGGACCATTGTGTTCATTCACTTTGTCAAAATACTAGAAATTTTGGGAAAATGTTGCTGGTTGGTACTATTTTCAGGTACAGCATATTAAGATCAATAAAAGGTGAACTCAAAATGGTACGCCCATGTCAAGTGGGTTGCTACACTGACAGTGACAAGCATAGTTGAGGAATGCTTATACTGACGAGACAATTTTCGAGGTGGCGACACGAAGGTAAAGAACGTATGTCTGAGCTTACACATGCGTCCGCCCACAGAGGCAGATTGCACAACGACTTAAAAAAACCAGGTGGCGATGTGTCCAAAAAAATTACTGTTTTGTGTTGATTTAGAGCGGTGGCGTTATTAGCCCGTACTTTTTCGATATATTAATGTCAGCAAATAAAAGTCAAATTTACAGACGTTCTTTAAAGGTTGAGTGCCGTATAAGGAATGATTTAGCTTCCATTTTGAACAAACAATAACTCCTCCTTGAATTACGATTTCCGACCAATTCAAAATTTTCACAATCCTCCAAATTTTGAGAGTTTTTAAAATTTATAAAATCTCGTAAATTCAGAAAATTTGGAAGATGTTAAATCGTTCCCTGAATATTCTTGCAAAGAAGTGTTACTGCTTGTTTCAAATGCAAGGAGAGATTCCTTCCATTGCTCAAAAGACACTCAATTCTTAAGGAACGTCCATGAATATGTATGTATGCAACATGTAATTCCAACAGAATGGCACTACCCTTTCATGCAGCAAATGCTATAATCAGCACTCTGCATGAACCATTTAAAGGTAGGGTTATTATTTATCAGACTTTTTCTTGCATGATTCTCTCAAGTTACAGCCTAATGCCAATAAGCTCCAATATATGTGGTAGTGTCACTGATATATGAACTTCTCAGATCTCAAGACACTGTGAGAAGCTACAGCAGACATTTGAACTTTGTCATACAAAATGAAATATCATATAATCAAAAATCATTTGCATCTCCAAATATTTCATATACTTTGTGTTATATTCATAGAGCTAAGATTACTGAAACAAAGAAAGTTCAACACAGCAACTTTTGAACAATATGTTTATTAGTTACCTGACATTTTTATGGAGTGCCAAATACTAAACTGATTAGTGGTGCTTACAGTTGTATAAACACAATCATTCCCATTTATTCACATATATCATTTCATAAAAATGTGCCAAGTCACCAAATCCATGCACCCATTTGATTATTAATGTTGTTCCAACTGTCAACTGACTCCATAACAAAAAATGAATGTGGCTAGTCTGTTTTAGTATTTATATCAACTAACAAAAAGGATATTTAGGAAAACAAAACTTGTGTATGAAAGAAGGATATATGGCAAGGAGAAAATAATATTTATAAAAAGTTGATAGAATTGATACTAGACAGATTGAAAGCAACTATTTTTACAATTGAGTTCTGAATAAGATTCAGCATACTTGTGAGATAATGACTTAGGCAAATAATATGGATTGTTCAAATGACTGATTTTTTAACTCAATTACTGATGCATAGGCATAGACTATTGCACCTTTTCTCTTGAAATGGAACATACTCATCTTTATTTGCATAAACAGAAAGACCACCACAATTTATAATTTTAAAACATAAGTAATGAATAGCTGTCAACTTTAGAAAACATATTACATTAGGCGTAACAATAATGCTATACTAATCTCTAAACTGTGAGCATTATAAATTTAGTGGAGCAGGAAAAACTGAATATTATATTAATGAAATATCATTAATTATCTTATTTAGATTTTAAAGCATGGAGTGTAGATATATGTAAACGGCAACACTGGCTTGGTGCTATCCATCCTACAGTGTATGCTTTGCTATCAAATAGACGTTTAAAGGTTAAGTCACATGCCAAGAGTTGCTGCTAAAGTATTTGCACAAGTATCCAATACATCAAATGTTACACCAAAGAATATCTGATTATCTAGTAACATTTCACAATACCCCATATCAACAAGTGACACACAATTTAGTCAATATTTGATCTGAACACAAAATCGTATTTTGTCATGGTCTTTTGTAAACTACACATTCATACTTCATAACAATGATTTTATTTAGATAAGTTACTTCACACACAAAAAAAGCACTATGAGTAAATTAGCTGCTTATGACCATGCCAATATTTCAAATCAAGTAGGAATAAAACAAGGTAAACAGTTCTTCATGATGCTAGGTATAAACAGTTCTGAGTTTTACCAAATTCACACCATCTTCCTTATTGTCAACATTACAGACTTCAATTCAAAGATGTTACTTGCTGATCAGTAAAACAAATAAAATTTTCAAGGATATCAGTGTACACCCATACCCTCCCCCATGCTCTTCAATGTTTACCAGCATCAAAGGCCCTGGGGCCCCTTCAGCTGCAAGCCCTGAGCTCCCATATGGCCAGAGCCCCAACATCGATTAAGACAGCCTTCAATATAAGGCAACCAAAATACCACTATTCTTCCCATTCTTAAAATAACATGATGTAGTATATACTATACACAACATATAGGTTGGTAGGCATGTATAACAAATATTTGATAGAAATAAACAACTTCCTATAGGATGTACTGTTTGTGCTGGACATTCAAACTAAAATATTCCTGGACCATTTCCAAAAGATAAAATTAGACTTGCACGCAAATAAAGACAGAATTTTTATGATACCTCAATTTATTAGCCAATTCTACTCACCTATTATTTCGATAATCACGGAGTCCTGTGATGATTTTCCAGTCCTTTAGCCAAGAATCTTATAGAAGGTCCTAAAAAAACATTTGTAAACCTCAGTTTTGTCTCGCTAATCCTGTAAGTAATGCTTGTTTTTGCAACAAGATACCAACTTATGAAACAAATTATCACATAACGTAACGCTTGTAGATGATTAATATTTACGAAATTCCCTTTTTTTATCAGTATTAAATGACAATACAAATAATATAGTAGAAGTTGGAAGTGTTTACGTCATTCGGTACACTAAGAAATCGTAACACTTATCCTACTATCATTGACAAAATATGTACAAATCAATTTTACCTTCATTTTATAAGCGATAATCCCATTATAACAGCTTTGATGCTTGTTTTTTTTTATTCAACTTACCGGAGGAAATTGACATGTGCTAAAAGTCACCAAACGCCATTTTCTACTGACTGAAAAATGTTCTTCTTCCAAAAATTCTGTCATGTCAATGTCAAATACACTCATGCAGGGGCACCAATAATAAAAATACCCGATCGTTCCTAGATGACGGGGGAAAAAGTATAAAAATTGAAAACCATTTCAAATTTACTTTTTATCGCAATGTTTATAACATCCTCCTTTCTTTGCGAAACAAAAAAAAACGATAATGAGAATCATTATGCGCTCTCGGATTTCGTAGACACGTACACAGTAAACAAAATCTACTGTGAAGTTAGGGATAGATTAACGGGAAAGTCGATACCGCACTTGTAGGTGCAGGTGCAGGCGATTTTTGGGGATTCATATTTTTTCTATCCGTGCCTTGCATAAACCACTGCGAGGAATGCGACTATGAAACCGGGCAGATAAATGCCAAGAAGCATCAAACACCGTTGTATATTGATGGTTATGATCGCAAGGACGCAAAGCAAGCAGATCCTTCAGCCATTTGCATAGAACGTCAATGTCGGTAGCACTGTATGTACTTAGTGCTCCTCTGAACGACAACGAGAATGGGGCCCATGAGGGACGCCTATACGTGGATGTTCTTGTTTAGCTTCATAGAAGAAAACACTCGGAAAATTCAGAGACACCATTGTTTGGATGTGCCGCCATCACCTCCGCCCCCTAGACGTCTAGGTCCATAATGAAAGAAACATTAAAAAAACAAACAATCCGACTGCAGTAACTGAAAAGAATGAAGGAATAATTATGCTATCCAGACGAATCTAATGACACCCTCGAATCTCAAAATCAATCAAGCTATTTGTGCCGTAGCCCGTGAATTAAAAATCCCATAGCTGAAGTATGCGTTTGAAATCTGCCGGACAAATCTACATCTGCCCTTAAGCTGTACTTCGTAGAAGAGGAACTTCAAAGTAGACATTTTCGATCAAAACCAGCGATTTGGATTTTATAAAATTTTACTAGAGCCCCGTGTCACTCGCGCTGTCAAGACATACGTATCTAGAGAGGTACTTTCATAGGTTAAAATCCATTAAGCCGTTTAAGCTGTGAAATAGGAATATCAGGGTCGATTATTTTTTATTAAATTGAAGAGCATTCGATTTTCTATCGTCGGCAGCCCCTTCTACCCCTCCAGGTACTTCTGTGGCCACCAATATGCTACCCTGCCGACCCTTAAATTTTGCTTTATAGACGCCATGAAGTCGTCTCCCATCCTAAAGTGGACAACCCGCACACACGTTCGTTATCGTGCAAGCGTGGGATCGCTACGCTCTGCGCTATTCTATCAATTCCTTTAGGCATGGATGTTTGGGGCTTTTTTGCCGGTAGGTTGCTGTCTCTACTCATTTTCTATTATGACGTTTTCATTGGACATCTTGACTCTTGACATCCACAACGACATTTTGATGTCATTTTGTTCGCCTGGTAAACGTCATAAAAAAAGTGAAGTACTAGTTATGCGGTCAAATAAATTGTAAAAGTAATTAATATTGAACACAAGGCTTAGTACATATTAGTATGTAATATTTTATCCATAAAGTATATTCATTAAAGTGTAAATTAAATGTGATAAGTTGCACTTGAATATTGAAAATGAAAAAATTGTTTTCGAAAATTGAAACGAAAATCGACAATACGGCAAGGGAAGGAAACAATTATATTGGCAAAGTTTTCACTGTAGGACGGCAAACAGTCACCGTAGAGGATATCCTAGCAGAAGGTATAGAAAGTAAAACTGTTTTCAAGTTTCTGTCATTTTGTCTCATTCAGATAATTATGCTTGACTCGGCCTTATCTTGGCTACATTGGAAAATTTGTAACACTTATCTCTTTCTGTAGGGGGTTTTGCGATTGTCTATTTAGTAAAAGCAAATAATGGGACACGGTATGCACTTAAACGGATGTATGTCAATAATGAACAGGATCTCAATGTGGCTAAACGTGAAATACAAATTGCTGTAAGTACATAAAATTAATTATTTCATATTTTACTCTATCAACAATATTGCTTTTCGGTAGAATTTGGGTTTACTAGTTTTGGAAAGTGTTATACTATGATTATACCTAATGACCTAGTTCATATTTATTTTATATGGATAACAAACCATAAATACACTTACAGATTTTCTATTGGTCTTTGTTAGCAGCTTATAAGTAACTATTTGTGATTTTGACCTATAGAAAGTCATGAAAGGATTGTTGAAATTGCATTTAAAGAATGATGAAAAGTGGCTGGATTTTAGATTGCTGATTGTATATGCAGTACTTCGGGTACATTTTTGGAAAATAGGAGCCCTTCATGTAGAAAGTGTGGAGAGTCAGAATAAACTGCTCCAATTATGAGACAAAAGCAAGAGAAAACACAGGAGGCATAATATAAAAGATTGCCATATTCATTGTTTATTAAGAGCTTAGCTTGAAACCTGTGACTGAGGTTTATACTAAGCCTCATGTCCGAGTATAACAAAAAAAACAATAAAACATTTTCATTAAGATTTGTTACTGAAATTTGCATTACTATTTTCATCCTAACTATTTTGGTAACAAGACTTGCTCTATAAGAACTTATAATAAAAAGTTACAGAATAGTATTTCAGTCATTATCTAGATTTATTTAGTCACTTTCTGAATATCTATTTCCTAACAAATCTGAACCTGGTCAACTGAATATTACTTTTATGGAATCTTAAAAAAATGTCTCTCTTTAATCATTTATCTAGGGATTGTACGTCATATAATAAAGTAATATACTTAATTTTCTGCTAAGAAAAGTATCTTCTAATGTATATATTTTCCTGCTACCCTTTTCTAGATATGCTATAGTAATATGGCTATCTGTATTTATAAAATTGTTCTGAATTGCCTTTGAACTGGCATAAAATGGCAGCCAAGCAATTTCATCATAGAATAATGTTAGCTTAAATTGTTGCTTTTTTATCTCATGATATCACTTGTTATTTGTTAAAATAATCTGCTGGAGTTAGGTTTGGCCTATATTTTATCAGTGAGAACATAGTCACTTATTATACAATTTTACAGCCTGCCACTAGTTACAGAAGATATTTTCTTAGTGGATTTGATGATGATTACATAATGTATTCAAAACATATTTTACGTTTATAGAGCAGCCTCAGTGGCCACAAGAACATCATAGGTTATGTAGACTCAAGTCTCAATGCAACAGGAGGAGGTGTTTATGAGGTCCTCCTATTAATGCCCTACTGCCAAGAGAATGTCTTAGGATTAATGAAGTCAAGGGGCAAAGCAAACTTCACGGAAGTTGAAGTACTCACCATTTTCTGTGATATATGTGAAGCAGTATCTAGGCTACACCATTGCAAAACTCCTATTATACATAGGGATTTAAAGGCAAGTTTTTAGTAATCACTTTTTTCTTTAGATTTGATGTCCTCTATTTTGGAAATGAATCAGTCATTTGAAAAACCTCTAGACTGAATTTTTTCAAACATGCTTTTTTACTGGTAGTGTTTCATTAAAGATATACTCAGTGAGAAAGATGAATGATCCTTCAACCTTATTTTTTGGCAATGATGTCTTACATCAAGAATGAAACAATAACATCCTCACAAAATTTTATTGTTAATAAGAAGAAAATTAATAATGTGTTGGGCAACCCCATAGCTGAATACAGTCCTGTATACTTTGAGGCAGTGACAAAATGAAATAATCAATGTCTGGTTGTGGCACCTCATTTCAAGCAGCTCGAACTTCGTAGATTAGCTGTAACAGAGTCTGTAGCAGATGGTACAAAGTGGATAGTCTCCTCCCTACCATATCCCACACATATTTGATGGGATTTACATTCGGTGAATGGCCATGGCAAAACGTAAACGTCTCCTTCTTAAAGAAAGTCCATAGTACGACGAGAAATATGTGGGCGCGCGTTGTCTTGCTGAAAAAGGACGGCCATCTAGATACGGCAGCGAAGTGGTTTGCAGGACATCATCAACATGGCGCGCAGCAGTCATATTGCCTTGAACAAAGAGAAGGGGAGATTGGCTACCACAGGCTGTAGCCTCGCAAACTCCAACAGTCCTGTGTATATGCCTCTCAACAGGAAATCCAATATTCGTCGCTGAAGATGACATTATGCCATTCTGCCTCCCAATGTTGCCGTTCTCTGCTCCAGTTCAAACGTTGCCGCATTACGGTCATTGCAGTACAATTAAAACGGCGGCCAATTTCGCGATAGGCAATAATTCTACCCCTGTCAAAGTCGCTAAAATGGTGATAATTTGGACATCTTCGAACTCAAATGCTTAAGCTTAACACTAGTAAATGAAAGGGGAATAACTAAAAATATCTGTACTACTCAGCTCTCAGAAATTGCTTTCTTCACAAACACTAAGAGATAACATTTAAACGAAGGTAAACAATAATAAAACGTTGGCATTGTTGCCACAGCATGCTTTAAATATAGTCATTATGTTGCCAAAAGAACAAGTTGAGGAAATCATTTTTTCAGGGTGTAACACTTCTAATGTCACTGAGTATATCTGAATGAATAAGTCTGTGTACTTTTTCACAATGGCTGGTTCCTGGTTTGGGTGTGAAATGGGAAAGTTGATTTTCCTAGGTTTCCCCTATGCACATTGAAGGTACTAAAATATGCAAAATGTGACATACTAAGTCATTATTTAAGTTACTATCCTTTTTGCGTGCTAAGACAAGATTATTTGGAATTTCAGTCTATTAAAACTCAAATACTATATTAAAAGGAGTGGTTTATTCAATCAATCAGTCAGTAAGCTTGACTTGTAAAAATTGAAAAGAGAAGATGTTTTGTACCTCAAGAAGAGAAAAAAACGAGTGATAAAATATTTGTCATTGACACAGTTTTTATGTAATAGTCTGCTGAAAAATACAAATTGCCTGACTTATGATGTTTTTGCAATGGCCAAGTCTCATGAAATAAGTTAGAACATACTATAATTTTTGATTATTTTGTTACTTTTTATGTCGGTGACATTTTATTCATAAATTTTAAATGTAACCTATGCATATCACAGGAGGCTTTTAAAATGGAAATAGTAAACCCCCCTCAATGTTTTAATTATTTGCAATATTTGGGATTCGTCAAATCTACAACACTAAAGCCAGTGTGCATTGATGAAGTCCCTTACATATTATGGATTTGATTTAGACTGATTAAACGGCACTATCAGTGATTGTTAGATTTTCGTAATGATAATTCAACTGTACTAGTAAAATTGATTTTATCTATTCCTATTTTTTTTCATAGATTACACTATGTTAGGTTTCATGTCGCTGTGGTTATAGTAAAGTTCTGTATAGGATTATAAAACGCCGAACGAGATCACATTTTAAATTTACCTAACAAATCATAAAAAATCATGTAATCTGTTTTACTAATTCTTAACGTGTTGTAATTTCAAAAGAAATCTTTATTTGCATTCCACGAACGCGCGTTTTGTAACAATGATACACATTTTATTAGTTTATTACCGGTAGGTGGAAAATATTTTGTTCTACCAAAACGAAAACTGGTACCGACCTTAAATAAAATTTTGTATGCATTTCAGGGGTAATAAACGTTTAGATCGCTTGGCGTGTAAGAGCACGCGGCGCACCGTACCATGGGCTCTAATTTTTGTACTGGAACTTCACCCAATTGTAAAATTATCAAGACATTATATTTCAAATACATTAAATATAAATGCAGGGGTACATCAAGGATCAGTATTAGGTCGGATCCTATTCTTAATCTATATCAATGATTTAATAAATTGAAACATAAAGGGTAAATTCGTAGTTTATGCTGACGATACCTCAATACTTTGGCAAGAGTCATATATAAATTAAATTAAGACTAAAATTGATAGTGATGTACAATCAATCAAAAAATGGTGTGACAACAATTATTTGACATTCAATGTTAATAAGACAAAATTTATGACATTCAAATGCTCCCTTAATTTTATAAATTTAAATAATGAATTGATACACAAAACAGACACCATCAAATTTGTGGGTTTGACCATCAATCATAAATTAGATTTTACTAATCATGTAGACAAATTGCTTACTCAACTAGCAAAGATTTCCTTTATTATAAGAACGATTAGTTACAATGTAGGGAATAACACATCTTTAAGCAGTTACTCTGCCTTATTTGAAAGTAGATTGAGATATAGCATCCCCTTTTGGTGTGTCTGTTCCAGAAATTGTTCAAAAAGTGCGTATTCCACAAAATCGAACTATTAGATATATAGAACTAGAAGCAATCTTATGCAGGTCTTTATTTATAAATCTTGAAATAATGACGTATCACTGTTAATTTTTTAAACGGCAACTCTTATTTCTAAAAATAAACTTAAATTTGAATATAAGTTACAATATTAGATGAACACAAGATCTTAAATAAGTAGTATGTACCTAAATCAAGAATTGTAGAAGACTCAATAATTCAAAATGGTCTGAAAGTTTATGTACCTCCCTGATGCTATAAAAAGAATTAACAATTTATATATTCCACCATGAATTTAAAAACTTTTAATATGTACACCATATTATACCATGTGAGTGTTCTACAATTTTCCTACTTAACATCCACCTATGTAATTATGTTATAGCTTAGTTTTAAGTTAGCTTTTTCATTAAGAATGATTGTCTTCAGACAATACAGTATATTTACCTACCTAGCTGTTTACCTAAAACCATAGGTACATAAATAACTATTATTATTCTAGGTGGAAAATATTTTGGTAAACGAGAACGGAAACTATGTTATATGCGACTTTGGCTCAGCTACTGCCCGCGTGCTGAATCCCGTTGAAAAGGGGGCGGTTACTGTGGAAGAGGAGATCAAGAGGTACACGACGTTGAGTTATAGGTCACCCGAAATGGTTGATATGTATAGTGGGAAAGTGATATCTACAAAGGCTGATATTTGGGTAAGCTCACGTGTTTGCCAAGGTGTGCTTATTGATTTTAATCATTGTTGTTGACGCTAAAGTTCTTGTAAAAGATCGTGTGTTTTTTTCTTTCATACGTTAATTTGCTCGATAAATGAAACCAAGGTTAAAAAATTGTTCGATTTATTTGATTGTGCAAAGCAGCTATGAACCAATGATTTTTTAACAAACATTAAGAAGCAACGATTAGGCATATTTTCAAAATTATGTTCTTTATTTGCGTTGACGAATAAATTATATGATTTAACTTAAGGTCCATTATTTTTAGTTATATTGTCGCAAGTATGGATTCCTTAGGTAATTAACATTATGTAGTGCAGGGGTGTGTATTTCTGCGGAGGTTTGATTTTTCTTTAGATTTCCGTGAACATATCATAGGATATCAAAAATATAATTTGATGAAAGTGGAAGTATCTGTGGATTTTTCAAGTTATTTCTGCACGTTGATCCATAACTGGAATTTGTAATTATCCTCAAAGACCTTTTTTGTAAAATGAAAATTTTGCTATACACTACCGAGTGTCCCCAGAGCATTGTGCCATATGTAATGTGACTATGGAACATGCTGAAGTACACTACCTGCAAAGTCTGGGTATCAAGGCATCTTCTAAGCTGCCTGAAAACGAAAAATATAATGACAAACGCTCATTTTTTATCTCGCGACAACGGGACAGTAGAAGTAACCAATAACTCTCGGTATCTGATTGGTGGCAGGTTGGGTCCACCAAAACATAATGATTCTGACACAATGCGTCAACTGCGCTTACTGACTAGTATAGTTGTAGTCACCGTTCTTGGCTTGTCAAAGTAAGACTACTGGTATTCCTTTATATATCTTCATCTTCCTCATACATATACATGCAACCTACCCCTGTGTGTGAACGTTTGTTCGGTAAGCTCAAAGACATACGTTTTTTAGTTGTGTGTCTCCGTCTCGAAAACTTTGTCGTTACGTATGAGTGCCCTTCAAACATTTTTGTCAGAGTGACAACTTACTAGACATCGGCGTGCAATTCGAGTTGTCCTGTTATCAATCTTTAATATAGAATTGTACAATAGCCGGAAATACGATCAATGGAGAAGGCCGATAGCTCGTGCTAAATTTATTAGAGTATTTTCAGGAAGAGATTGAAAACAGCGGTCCACTGTTACCCACTTCATGCGTACTGGAGAGAGTAACAGATCCTCTGATTAGTCAGCGCTGTGTTCCGACCATGGTACGGAGACTCGATCTGTTTACTTATTTCATGTGGCGTTGATGACGTAACCGCCAAGAGCAGTGACTACAACTATGGTATATGTATAGCTTTGGTTTGTTCGTGTGTGCGAAATTTTTTGGTAAATTTGGGTAGACAAGCAGAAACATGCAGATGATTAAAAATTGAAGAGAGTGGTTGTGCTCTACTCAGTTTTAAAAATTGAAAAGCAGAAGGGGGAAGTATCAAATGCTGATATGCTGCTAGTTAAAAAATTGAAAATTACAGGGTTTCAGAATCGACCACTGCGGGTCTTTTTTAACTGTATCCCAGTTCGCATTTACAGATGGGTCTCCACTTTAGCCAGTATATGCAGATTCTGGTGCTATAGTAGAGATCACGTCTACTAGCCATGATTCAGCTGACATGACGTACCTGTTGTCGCAATTGTCATCGCACTTGCATTGATTAACATATTCTACCCGAAGATAGTCAACATAATACTATATACTGACGTCCAAAAAATTATCCGAGATGAAATAAGATCCCATGACTTGATCAATGAGAATTTGTCACAGCTATGCTTCTCCTTTCCGTAATAGAAATCTACTTTAAAAAGGTTAATGTCTCTTAGATGGCGCTGTAGCCAACCTAACCTTATGAAGGTATATTTCTAATTATTCGAAATCCTCACCAGAACTTCTCGAAAAATGTTTTGAGCGCCCAAATACAATATTAGGTTGGCTATTTTCATATCTTAATCAATGGTTCATCTTTTTGAAACTTTTTCATTGGAAATCCAATTGGTTATTTCTTTTATGCTGATGATCTTCTATCTTTTGTATTTGATTGGATTAGTTTTATATGTAAGTTGTGAAAATCTTTATTCCTTTTGTTATAATTAGTAATCATTCTTGCAGGCATTGGGCTGTTTACTGTACAAATTATGCTTCTTCACTTTACCATTTGGAGAAAGTACTTTAGCTATCCAAAGTGGAAACTTCAGCATTCCAGATAATTCAAGATATTCTAAAGGACTTCATCAGTTGATAAGTATGTTACTTGGAGATAATTCTTAAGTACTAGTTAGTGACAGATCTAAAGGCATCTCCAAATGCAGACGAACTTTCAATATAAAACCGGGAAACAAAAAATCAGGATCTCCGTGTTTATATCTCAATTCTAGATCCGCCACTGTCAACCTAGTGTATGATTATTTTTTATTGATTGTTATGTAATAAAAGTTAGTAAATACGAATATCTATTTGAATAACCTGTAATAATTTAACGCTATCTATTTTTCAGAATATATGTTAGAACCGGATCCAGATATAAGGCCGGATGTTTATCAAGTTAGTTGTATCGCCTTCCAATTGCTTGGAAGAGAAAATCCTGTGAAAAATTTAATGGTAAGATGGCTGAACAAAAGTAATTGCATTTTGCCAAGACTGGCGTATTATTTTTTGATGGTTTTAAGGGTCATGTAGAAAATAGCTATTTGAGCTATACTGATACTTTCACAATTTATACTTTACGAATAACATCGATTATTAGAGAAACATTTGTGCAAAGCCCTCATACCTTTTACCTTTCACATTCTAAATATGTGAATAATCTGCATATTCAAAGAGTAAATGTGTTGCTTTATCAGTGGAGAAATAAGTGTAATCCGCGCGATGTGAAGTAAGCCCGAAACTACGAGGGTGAATCAAATATGAACCGGACTTTCTCTTTAACGCGCCATAGGTGAATGGAGTGGGGCGAAGTCTTGGGTATATATTGGGTGGGGATGTCAGGAAGACGGGTCAGTCGGTTTGGCGCGGCGAAGCAGATGAGGAAGAGTCGCACACGTCTGTTGCGCAACGCATTATCATAAAATTTTTGTCGCGGGAGGGCGTAAAACCTTCAGAAATTTTGCGTCGATTAACAGCACAGTTCGGCGATAAAGCAGTTTCAAGGACACAAGTATACTACTGGCAATTTTTTTTCCATGGAGTGCGGAAAGTCTGGAGAGGCAGCACCGGGAAAAGCCAAGACCAGTCTTTCTGCAGTAAAAGTTCTTGTTACGGTATTTTGAGATTCCAGAGGTGTACTGCTAGTTGATTTTCTTCACGATCGCCGTACAGTTAATGCTGCCAACTGCTGAAAGAAGTGAAACTGGAATATCGGTGAAAAAGGCGATAAATGCCTATTCGAAGTGTCATTCTGCTCCATGACAACGCTCAGCCACACACAGCTGCATTGACTCAAGAAAAATTACGCGACATTCGTTAGGAAACACATGAACACCCGCCTTACAGTCCCGATTTGTCGCCATGTGACTATCACATGTTTGGGCCGCTTAAAGAAGATCCGGGAGGTCACCACTTTGACGACGACGGTGTGGAAACGTTCGTGTACAGTTGGCTACTGATACGACCAGCTTCATCCTTTGATGGTGGAATTAAAAAACTTCCGAACCGATGTGAAAAATGCATCAATAAAAGAGGAGATTCTATAGAAAAATAAGATTTAAATAAACTTGTATTTAGTATACCAATAAAATTACTATTATACATACACATATCTGATTCACCCTCATATTATAGAGCGGCGCTCCACTATTGTTTTTACAACCACAACAATTTACCTTTTTTAACATTATGATTGAAAAATTGATCAGAATTCATACATACACATTATATTATGATGACACCTGACGGCATCTACGTTTGATCTTTAGGAAACGATAATTTCGCAACAGATAACGTACTTGTAAAAAATATCTCCAATTTTTTTTTTCAGAAAACTCCAACTCCTACTATTGAAGACCTCCAAACTCCTCCATTCGAGTCGGAATTGAAGAAGACTCGGGAGTCTCAGGTGAAACCAATACCAAAGACGCCTGTGGCACCGACCATAGAGGGCACCAGCGTGATGCCCAGGCAGCGTCCTAAAGGCAGTTCCTCAACACCTCTTAACCTCAACAACATCCCTCTAACATTAAGTCCTAGTCCCACTCTGACCAAGAAATCCCACAGTCCTTCACTAGCATCCCAAGGTAACGCCTTCAACCCTACATTTCCGCAGGTTTGTAGGAATTTCTCGGAGGTCAATCTAGTTTACTCGATATTTCATGTATATCTAATATCCGAATATAAAAAGATACGATGACTTTGAATTTCGCGGGATATCTACAGTAGATAATTGCTTTCTTTATTTTCTTATGTTGGTACACCAGTCCGCGGTATATGTTCACAGTTTCAGCTATACAGGGTGTTTCAAATTTGACCCTCTATAACTAAGGTTTGGCCACGGGCTTCACACCTAGAAGCTGGCGGCAGGCTAAAGTGGTATTCATTCCTAAACCGGGCAGAGATAGATATACTGGCCCGAAGGATTTTCGACCGATTACTCTTTCATCTTTTGTGCTTAAGACCCTGGAAAGGATAGTTGATAGATTCCTAAGGGATGGCCCGCTGGAAAGGTGTGTCATTCATGCAAATCAATTTGCATACCAAGCTGGAAAATCGACTGATCTGGCCTTACACAATCTGGTCGGGAGGCTGGAGAAGACTCTAGATCAGCGAGAAGTGGCACTCGTGGCCTTCTTGGACATTGAAGGTGCATTTAATTGCACCACAACCGACTCTATCAGACAGGCCTTGGTTAGACACGGGGTTGGTTCAATCCTAATAGATTGGGTCCTCTCTACTCTGGAGGGTCGGGTAACAACAGCTATGCTGAATAACGTAAGCTGCAGTGTGAACGTAGCTAGAGGCTGCCCTCAGGGCGGAGTTCTGACACCCCTACTGTGGTGTATCGTGGTGAACGAACTCCTCGTTAGGCTCAGCAGTATGGGTGTCTATGCGCAAGCCTATGTTGATGACGTAAGCATAGTGGTTAGAGGGCGTTTCTGTAGAACAGTCTCGGAAATTATGCAGGGCGCTCTGCGCTCCGTGGAATCGTGGTGTAGGGAAGTCGATCTTTCTGTTAATGCTGAAAAGACCGAGCTGATCCTATTCACTAGGAGAAGAAGGCTTGACGGACTGGTCATGCCGACCTTCTTTGGGACTAGATTAGTTTTGTCCCAGTCAGTGAAATATCTGGGAATTATCCTTCGATGTGGGCTTGTAGACGTGTTGTCGGTGTAAGGTGGGGGCTTAAACCCAAAGTGGTATACTGGCTCTACACGACGATAGTACGTCCATCTCTCTTGTACGGCTCCCTGGTCTGGTGGCCTTGCATTAGAACTGAGTCAACTAAGGCCAAACTCAATAAAATTCAACGTTTGGCCTGTATTAGCATTACAAGCGCAGTGCGAACAACGCCATTGAGTGCAATGGAAGCTCTGTTGGATCTCCCACCGTTGGATCTGGTGATCCGCGGTGAAGCGAGAGTAGTCGCTCATCGACTGTGGAGTCAGGGCAGCTGGGCTTTCTTAAATCTTGACAAGGGGCATACTGCCATCTTAGTCGAATTAGAAAGGGAGGACCCCGTCCTGCTAAGCAGGGGTGATCGTATTACCCCATAAATATCGCTTCAACCGCAAGTTTATTGTGGAGTATCCAACGAGGGAGGACTTGGACGCCGGTAGCCGGAGTCTCTCCGGAGTGAGCGGGCAGGTCTGGTACACGGACGGCTCGGTCACCGAAGAGGGCTCAGGTGCTGGGGTCTCTGGGCCTAGAACTAGGCTATCTCTGCCTCTCGGTGGATACACCACTATTTTCCAGGCGGAAATCTTTGCGATTCTGGCTTGTGTATCTCATATTATGGAAGAGGGTGGGCCTAGGTGAAGAATAACAATCTTATCCGACAGCCAGGATGCAATGAAAGCACTAAGTGCCTGTAAGATTACTTCGAGTCTTGTATTGCAATGCAGGGAGGCTCTGGATTGCCTCGCAGCGAGGCATCCGGTATCGTTAATATGGGTACCGGGGCACGCTGGGATAAGGGGCAATGAGACGGCGGACACTCTGGCGAAAACAGGATCAGCCAGCAAGCTCGTTGGTCCTGAGCCAGCTCTAGGAGTAACCGCGCATAAAGCTAGGAGGAAAATGGAGACGTGGGTTGCAAGACAACACTCTCAGAAATGGAGAAGTATCTCTAGACATCTCCGCCAGGCACGAGAGCTCATTGAAGGGCCCAGTGCTAAGGATGGACGCTTCTGCCTATCTCTGGGTAGAGCCAACCTAAGGTTGCTGGTGGGACTGTTGTCTGGCCATAACACGTTAAGGCGGCACCTGCACGTGATGGGGGTGGCTGAGGATCCCTTATGCGAACGCTGCGGAGTAGAGGAAGATACATCGGCGCACGTTTTGTGTCGCTGTGAAGCTCTGAGCTACTATAGGCAGACTATACTGGGGTCCATTACTTTGGACCCTCAGGACGTAAAGGAGCTTGGACTCAAGGCGATTCTCAACTTCGCTAAAAGGGCGAGGCTTGTGATTTAAGTATTGTAGAGGTGCATAAGGGCCCGCTTAAGCGGCCTATGCACTGGGTCCTTATGGTGGCCGGGATGCCTCTAAAATTTTTAAGATTCATTCATTCAAGGTTTGGCAACGTATGACGTATTATACATTTTTGGAATCAGAACTGAAAATCCTATTAATCTGTGCAAAAATCCAATAAGGTCTCTTTAACCAAAATAAAGTTGATGCTGGAGGACAAGAGACGAAACGTCATTTTGAAATTCTAATAACGCCATCTTGCAGAGGAGAAAAAGTGGCAATGCTAATGTGCAATTTGTTTTGAAATCCCGCTACAAATAAAGTCAAGAAAAATTTTTGGAAAAATTCTGTTTTTTCCTTTTCTCTCAGTGAGTACTTTGAATTTCTAAGCGGCATTTTGTTGATTATATAAATACGCAACTTTGCCCCATTTAAGCAACTCCATATCTCTTACAGTGTCTGAGATACCAATGGTGGGGGTCGAATTTGAAATACCCTGTATAGCATTTTGTTTGTTTGTGAGAGATCTGAAAGGTTACATGTGTTCTGAATATTCTACGATTTTCCGCTGTCGAAAAAATGGACTAAACAATTTGCATCACGTTTTGTATAACAAGTGCAATCAAGAGCTCCAAAAATACCTGAAATGTTGGCAGTGGCATATGGTGAGTGTGCTTTGCGCATAAGCAAAGGAAAATGGTATACACCTAGGCCTAGTAAACGTTAGTGACGAGGCTCATTATGGATGCTTCAACTCGTCAGTAACTGTTTAACATTCATGGAGCAAGATCGATTCATGAACAAAAGATCCACAACGATCAATGCTACTTCATGAATTATCTATCGCTTGCTGTAGATCAACAACAAGGTGACGATATATTAATGGATTTCTCTAAGGCATTTGATCGAATAAACCACTCCATTTTTAGTGGGTTATCCAAGAGGCAGGTGTGGGACGCTGGTAGCCGGAGGCTCTCCGGAGTGAGTAGGTAGGTCTGGTACACGGACGGCTCGCTCACCGAAGAGGGCTCTGACTCGAGGCCATACTCAACTTCGTTAGAAAAAAAGGCTTGAGGTTTAAGAAATGTAGAGGTGCATAAGGGCCCATTTAAGCGGCCTATGCGCTGCCTCCTTATCGTGGCCACAATGCTTCTAATTTCATGTTTCATTCACTCCATCTTCTTTAAAACAATATAAATTTGGATTTTCTGAGGGCTTGTTGATATTTTTCCGTTCGTATTTATCTGAGCGCGTTCAATTTGTGCAGTTTAGCGGCTTCAAATTAGAATCATACCAACAACGGTGTGCCACAAAGTACTAACTTTCGTCCTCTACTATTTTTGATTTTTGTTAATTATATCAACTGTAACATAACAGTAGAACACAAATGGTTGTGGATGACCTAAAAATGCTTGCAAGTGTAATCTCCAGGAAACAGTCTGTCATACTATACAGGGTGTCCGCAAAGTTGGGGTTTTCCTTTACACGACGTGTAGATCTTGAAAATATAAGCAATTTTTCTTAGTACCATATACACCAATGTCTTAAGGGAACCGAGATAAAGGGCTCTGCAACATCAAAAATATCTGAATACCGTCCTGTAGCCGCGCCATCACGGAGTGGTACAATGTCTCTGGCTCAACGACAGAACTGGGTCGGGGGTCGGGGTCAGTGTGTCAGGTCAGTATGCAACCTTCAACCGATGGTTACGGTCACGCCTATAGAGGTAATCGCTTAGACGAGAATCCCTCAACAAGCACTAGAGAGGTGGCTAGAGAATTGCAAGTATCAAAAACTAAAGTGTGGCAAACGCTGCGTGAAGAGGGGCTATATCCGTTTCACGTCCAACGTGTACAAGCCCTTCAACCTGACGATTTTCCAGCAAGAGTGCGGTTTTGTGAGTGGTTGTTGCATCAACATGACAATAATCCGGACTTTTTGAAGTGCATATTGGTGACAGACGAATCTACATTCACGCGTAATGGGGTGAATAAGTTTCGCAACACTCATGTTTGGTCAGTAGAAAATCCACGCTGTCAGTCGGGCACATTTTCAACAATCATTTTCGGTGAATGTTTGGTCTGGCATGGTGCGTCTGCTCGGTAGTGCATCGGCTGATTTCATTTTCTGTTGGAGCGGTATGATTTCGGGCAGAGACGTACTTAGCCCTTCTCGTCAACTGGAGAGTGAGTACTTTTTCCTTTATTTTTTTTACTTGCTCGCCCTCGGTTCACTACACATTACCTTTGTTATTTCAAGGGTAGTTGTTTCTGAAAAGGAAAACCCCAACTTTGCGGACACTCTGTATACTGAACAATCACAAACTTGACAGATTACATGAAGCTAAATACCTAAGCATTACTATTACTTCAGATCTGTCATTTTCAACGAACTTAAATTTCGAAGTACTTGAAGGTGGCGTTACTATTTGTCTTGCTGTCATTACGTAGAATGACACTGTCCGCCACTGCGTCTTAAAAAATTGAAATTTAGTAATGGGAACTAAAAGATCATCACAGAGTGTAGATTATCCGATTTTTTTTTAAAAGTACGATTTAGACTTTTTTTATATTTTTCTGATAACTATTGAACTATCCCCCGTTTTTGGTTAGTCTTCGACACCCTGTATATCATATCCCATAGTATAGTAAATACGGATCACAGTAATACTTATCGTGTGACATTCGCCATACGGCGGCGAGAAAATGTTTTATGTGGCAAAACGAAATAAGAGAAGTATCTCTCTAAGCTACACATTGTCCGCGAACAGAGGCAGGTTGCACATGTGATAGCTGATAGCCGCCAAAACAGTGAAAAGAACTGTATGTTCATCTGACATCTTCAAATCCTAACGTTCACCATAATTTTACAGAGTTCATTCTCGCCACAAGCACTATTCCCTGCAACCAGCGACATAGCTCCACCTCCAGTTCCGCAACTGGACTCCCTGTTCCAGTCTTCCGTCTATCCAGATCCATTCCGGGATGACAGCGGGACTTCTCCCACTTCTCTGGAAGGCACTGGGAGCAAAAGCGAAGCAACGACGCCCATGAACCCCTCAGAGAACCCATTGATGGGTTCCGGCTCCATGACACCCATGAATGCCGGTTTGGGAGATGGCAATAGAGTGACTGAGACCAAAACACCACCATCTTCACCGACGACGTTGTCTGTACCCAAGGGACATCGGAGGAATATGAGTGATACTACGGCTTTCAACAAGTGAGTTTTTTATGCAAAATGTGTTTGTGTCTGTTATGCGGTTTCAATTTCGGTTTCTTGGGATAAATCAAGAGGTGTTGCGCTTAATCAAAATTGCTAACGTTTCGACGTTTATCTTACGCCTTCTCAGGGCTTCAAACAAGTGAAAAAGTCCGTTAAATAATTCACTAATACAGAAGAATATCGAAAAAACTATAGAACCAAAAAAAAAAAATGATAACAATAAACGTGCGTACATATTAAAAGTTATCATATGAAAATGCAGACAAATTAAAAAAGTTTTATTTAAAAAATGGCACATTACAAATTAACATATTAAAACACCAAATTGAAAAAACGATCGCCCTTCACAATTTTTGAGTCAGCTGAATTTAATCCATTTGTAACGACTGGTGAAAATTTAATTTTTTAAGGTGACATAATATTTTTAGTCTTCGATTAAATGTAACATCTGAAATGTGTCCTGTGGTTTTCATGCGGATAGAACTCCATGTTTGCCTGGCCAAGTGAAACACTTATGTCGAAATTATTCCTTACTAACGTTTTGGCTACCACATGGAGTTAGATCTACAAAATTTGTTTCGTGAATCGGATGTGTATATTCCGCATCCGATATTACTTCCTAATTGTCGTATTTTAATTCCAAATTCGTGCCCACGATACTACATTATGTTTTGGTGATTATATTTGAATTCAGCGCCCTAAACACTCTCACACCGTTTTTTTTTTCTCTTGTATCCAAGGAAAATAACTGAAAGAACTGCACGACAGTTGTTCAATTCCATTAAGACGTATTATGATTAAATTTTCGAAAAAATGTTTGAATATCTGTGATTTGGCGAGAAGCATGTTCATTGGCTGTTTTTAATGAATCCAATCACAAAGTTTGTCTACTTTTTTTTTCAGAGAAAACATGTATTAGTAACTCCAATACATCGACTAGTTGAATGCGTGATAGTTGATCAAGCAACATTTTGGTCAAATTCGGAACATCTTTTTTCACGTCGATTTTATTGATTTTTTCGTCAGGCGGTAGGTACACTTATGGCATTAATGTGTAGATATGAGTTCTTGATTGTAGTCACGGTTTGACTTGTTGTACAGGGTAATTATTATACAGCGTGTTCTTGAATTAAGTCAAAACTTTTCAATTTCTTCGCCACTGTAGAGAAAAGGAAGCAATGACTACATAAAAAATGTGAACCTAGCACAGAGAGGCAATAGATTTCTGCGCAAATTGATGAAAAACTTTTTGACTCCGAACGGGAATTAAAACGTTATGAAAGGAAGAAGCAAAATTGGTGGTTTACCTCTAAAACTCGAGCCACTGTATATATTGCCGTGAATAAAAAACCAGATCATGTGGTTTTTGATAATGGGAAGCATTGCGGTCTGATTGGCAACTGGAATCATATACCACAGACTGGCTCAAAGTTGGGGTAATGAAACGTCATTTTGATTTACCCTGTACAAGTCAAACCGTGGCTACAATCAAGAACTCATGTTTACACCTTAATGCCAATGTGCATAAAAAATCAATAAAACCATGGTAAAAGTGAAAAAGTTCTGACGTTATTGATTCGCTAAATCAGACATTTTAAGATTATCCTTATTAGGCATCCTATCTTTCTTTCAGGGTATACGCCTCCGAAACTTCCCAATTTTTAGCACCATTTGAGTCTTCGATAACCCGAGCGGCCCCACAAACAACATGCGACGATTCTCCCACCGGAGGCAGCAGACGTGGTCACACCGCCCCCGGAGCGTCTGTTTCCACTGCTGACGTCACCAGAGGGAGCACCGGAGGCGGATGTCACCCTGGAAACGGAGAAGGGGGGCGGTCACTGTCCGCGGATGTCGCTGACTGGAATCCATTCGAAGAGGGGGCAGAACAGCAGCCGCCTCCGGGTGATAACACGTTCGGCGAGGAGTTTGACAGGATCCGGATGGAGGGAGAGGGTAGTACGTGTAGAGGGGGTAAGTGTAAATTGCAACGATTAGAATAAAGTTCAAGTCTACGAGGTATGTAAATTATGTAACTCGTCATTCTCGTCAAGCGTCCAAAACGACACGCTCCACAATCCCGCTCGATTTGAAAAATACAGCTATCATTTTTTTCTTAATAGATCGGGATTTTCTGACAGTTACGGGTGTGCCCTCATCATCAAAGACCCAAACTTTGTTTTGAGCCTTGGTCGGCACATCGTAATAATACAGCCAAGTATCGTCACCTGTCACGATGCTGTACCGAGATTGTCCCCTATCAAATATTTTCAGCATCTTTCGACACCAAGTCGTACGATGAGTCTTCTGCTCTTCCGTCAGACTATGCGGTACCCGGAAAGAACAAAGTTTCCTTACCTGTAAATGGTCATGCAGAATTGAATGAATTGCTGGTGCATGAAGGTGTAAGGTATCCACTATCGGTTGGTATGTCACTCTCCGGTCTTCGTCAAGCATTTTCCTCACAGCAGTGTTTTCCTCTGTTGCTGACGTTCGCGGCATTCCTTCACTCTCAGCGTCCTCCAGCATGAAACTGCCTCTTTGGAATTCCCTATAACTCCTGAATATAGTCGTACGATGAGGACCATCATTCTTTAATGCAAGCATCACTTCTTTTAAGCACAGGTCTAAACCATGCGTCAAGTTATACCGTAAAACTGCCGTTATCTCACTACGTGACCACGATACCATAGTCCGTACTTTACACTGTCAGTACAAATGGACAACTAAATCAACAGACGTGCTGCTGGCGGCTACTATACACTCATGGACATGTCTCAACATGCAGCCTCCTTGTCCGTTTGTTAAGTGATATTGCAAAACTTTTATAGTACCCTTTGAATATTTATTCTTCAAATTTACAGCTACCCAACAAGGGGTTCAACAGCCAGATTCGCTGCCCGCATCTTTGTCCGAGGACCCGTTCGGAAGCGCCCCCTTCAGCTTGACGACGCGTGCTAGGGAGAAAATAAACAAAGGGCTACATTCCACAGGTAACGAATGTTAATGCTTTCTCACCTACCGAAAGTGCTATGCATATGTATTGACGTTTCAGACTATTCTTGCATATGGCATGATTCAAGTCGTCATAATTTAATTTGATAATTGACAAAAATATTATTTGATCTAACCATGATTGTTGAACGATATATTCAAAGCAATAATTATTTTATTCAGATTTGTCAGTAGACACTACCTTACCACAAGAACCTTGAGATTTCAAAATAAATATTCAGTCCGTGGTGATGTCTAGAATTGGGATTGCCGTTCGTGGTCGCCAAAAGGACAAAATCCACGTTTGAAATAAATATAATGGCCACTTCACAGTCCCAAAGTGACGTTTGGGTGTGCATTATCCAGTAATGGAATACTCGGGGTCTATTTTTTCGAAAATCGTCGAGGGCAAGCAATAAGTGTGAACTGTGTTTTATTATCGGAATTTTTTGCAATTATCAAAACATCCTGCCTTTAGTTCGCATACGTAATTTCATCAAGATGGCGCCACACCTCACACTGCCAGAGAGACCATGGCGCTTCTTCGAGATTTCTTCCATGGACTTAATTATGTGGGGGGAGGGGTGTACCTGAAAAGTAATGTCTATGAAACAATTATTCTTGATAATAATTATTGAGATAAATGTTTACCATTTGTAGTTTTTTTTTAATTAAATCTTAAATCCGAATTCTGCCGCCGGATAAATTTCTTAAACCCGCGGTTTTTTAGCTCTTGGATTGATAGTCTCTTTACGAGAAAAAAATCATCAAGATTTTGGAAATACTTTCCTAGTTATAGATGAACAGGCGACATGCCATGTTACATCCAAAAACCACAATATCTGAATTTCTAAATGTTTCGGGATTACAATACTTTTTGGTAATGGAAAAGTTTTTCATTTTTTTCAATTCAAATCAAATTTTAAGAAAAATGACATAAGACTGTGAAAAAATTATCGATCTATCTCTAAAAACAAAAAAAGCTGTGACCAGCAGTAATATTTCACGTCACGACACCGTTCCCAGTGAAAGCGGCTGAACGTCCTAACACGTATAGACTTACAGCGCAACACGTGGCAGTGGCGACGAATCGTCCTCCACCCAATTTGGTTTCTTAAATACAGTACGGTTATTAAGTTATGAGCGAAATTACAAAAAAAAAAGTTGTTATAGATACTTTATTGTTCCAAAATGTGCGTACCAACACGATTAAAACTTCAAATAAATATTTTTTTCCAAATACCTTCGCATGACAACATCAGGAAGGCCTGTGATTTGATCCATTATGAGAATTACAGGTCCTTCTTATACCTATCATTTATTTTTTCGGTAGTTCGAAAAATCTTTTAGAAGAAATGACTATATTTCAAAAATTATATAGTAAGTATAAAAGTATATAAAATAAAAAGTTTTTAATAATCGGCCATCAGACATCAGGAATGCTAAACAAATAAAAATATTCAAAACAAATCTGAGGCACTTTCTTGTCGAGAAATGGTACTATGCAGTCTCCAAGTTTTGTTGTAGTTTTGCTTGTTTGTGAATTACTTGTATAGGTTATTTATGCTCATTTTAGTGTATTTGTTCATACATATATATGTATGTTAGTTCAGTTTATTTTTTTATATCTATACATTATTTTAATAAGATTAGTTCCATAGATATATAAGTATGTCAAAAAGAACAATAAATAACACAAAACAAAAACGCCCTCTGATTGGTTGTAGGAGGTTGTAGGATCTCCGTGGGTCAATAGTAAAATCGGGCCTAAGGATCACATTTATAGCCGTTTTTTGGGATTAGGTGCCGTTTCAGAAATGATCTCTCCTTGGCTCTTGAAGAAACATTTATTATTACATTTTTTTCATTTTTTCAGAAATGTAGAAATTTTCAATATTCATAACCGTCAGACCAGAAAATTTTGATAAATCTGAAAATGCTGAAAACCATGCAATTTCGAAAACTTTCCAAATTTTAAAAACCTGTGCTGACAACTGTTACAGTTACAAAAAGTTTGATTTGACGTGCACAGTTATTGTATGTACTAACGACTAACCCGACTAACACTGCCGTTAACGGATATGGACGCCAGACACTTGGGATATGTGACGTAATTCGCAAACTAAAGGCAGCAATTGTTTCACCATCTTTGACCGACTACAATTTTAGTTAATTATATCTCATCTATATTTTGTTTGTGTGTAACTTTTTATTTGATTCTGAATATCAACAAACTTCTCCATTGGCGAAGAAAGTTAGAACTCAGCATTGCTGACTTTCGCGAATTTTTTGTCACGTGATTTATTATTGTTGTGTGAAAAAGTGATACTGTGTGTAGCATTTTTGGTACGTTGTTGCTTTCCAGGTGTTATAAATTCTACTTGATAATTGTATTTTTAGTATGGGATATGTAATTGACAAATATCTTTTAAATATTGTACAACCCGGTACCCGTAATTTGATGCTTCCGTACTATTTACATTTCAAAAGACATCTCAATGTACCTAAAGCTATATTTTTATTATACTTGCAATATTATTTTGATGACAATATATTTTACTATGGTCTATATATAGTTTACGCGTGGTCTTGCCAGTATTTTACATAAATATGTGTATACCACAAAAATTATATTAGTTACAATCAACTGCATATACGTTTACATCTTAAAAAATTGCAAAAATTACCTAGACGTGAGAGGGCAATAAAGAATGCCTGTTTGTAAAGAATTTTGTTCAACAAAGATTTGGATTTTGTGGTTTACAATCATTTGTGTGACGCATTATATCATATGAGAGGTGCTAAATATTTTACTAAACATTATTAACAACATGTTCGCGCTAAAATTAGAATCCGTATGTTGTTTCTCTGAAGCTGCTTGTGGGATATTCATTCTTCTAACATTTCATTTACTTACGAATGAATATCATCATTGGTTTAACTAATAGCTCATATATGGAATAAAAATGCTACAAACCACAACTGCACAAACGTAAAGGGACATTTTTCGAAATTTCAAGGTGGGTTTTCCAGTTATAGACTGCACTGTATAAAAGATGACATCGAATGATTGCACTTGTATCTTACATTGCTTATTAACATCTAGTTTAGCTCTATTTCATTTTGGCAAATGAAAGTTTTGTTTCTTATTGTAATTTTGTAAAATAACCGAAATAACACATGAATGGATACATCAAAATATCTCGAAAAAAACGTTTCCTAGAGAAACATGTTTGAGAACAATGTTATAAGGTTGAAAAGGGTTGTATAAAAACCACCTTGAACGCGACCGTGACTGTGACCTTCAAGGTCATTAGAAGACAGCATTTTTTTTAACGACCCCTATTGTTGACACCGAAAATGTACATGGCGGGATATTTTACGTTCAAGTAACTCTTTGTCCATGACCTTAATTATAAGCTTCAAGGTTAAATAGGGTGCCCAAAAGGAATGGATACATCAAAGTACCACGAAAAATATGCTACCCATAATCAAAGTAACGGCCAAGCACATGATAGTGTCCCAAAATCTATGACTTTTATATCTCTAACCAAAACTAATGTGCTTACTCCGAAATTTCAGATGCAAGGTCATACTTGAACGTAAAATTGGTCGTAATTTGCATTTCCGGAATTAAAAATGAATGTTAACATTAAAAATTCATTTCATCTTCAAATGAACTTGAAGGACATAGTCGTATTTTTCGAGATATTTTTTCCTTCCCATACTTTATGGACACTCTCAAATACCCATGTAGGTCATGGTCAAATTCATGAGCAGACACTTTTCGAGATATTTTGATGTATTAATACTTTTTGTATGGCCGGCATAATGAATAAAAATATACAAAACGGTAAATGACATGTCTGTGTGTAATTGTATATAATTTTCATCCTGCATATTAGCATTCCAGAAAAAAAAAACAACCTGAATTTTATTTTCCTTCTAGTCAAGGTATATATTTGTATATAGTAGAAAACCATTAAAATTGTAGAATAGATTTAGCTAAATATCCAACATTTGGAATATTTTTTTTTGGGTGAAACTCAAACTTTTGGACAGGCTGTTTCGCAGATTGTAGGTCATTTCACGTATTTTGATGGATCACATACAGGTATCACTTTAATACATCAATCTCCCTCATACGAGGGTGGGTCAATAAGTTCATGAATCTCCCCCTCTTAATTGGAAGGGCGACATTGCTTTTGTCAACAAGCATCTGTCACTTGCCTCCTATCAAATTTTGAACAAGCTTCGTCATATAGTTTGTGTTTGTCAGACATTTTTTGCAGGCGACCGCGTGAAATGTGAAGAAAATGGACAGAAATGAATTTCGTGTGCTCTTCAAGTATTATTTTTTTGCGGAAAAAACATCACTCAAACTAAGGCTAAGCTTGATAAATACTATGAGACTCTGCACCATCAATTTCAATGGTAAAAAAGTGGTTTAATGAATTTCAAACAATTGCAAAAATGTACGATATGGTGTTGGCCTATCGAAGATTGAAAGTGCGCGAGATTATGGGAGCTATAGGCATATCACATGGCTAGGTGATTTCGATTTTGAACGATTACGTGGGTATGAGAAAGCTATCTGCAAAATAGGTCCCGCGGTTACCCACAATCGACCACAGACGCAATCGTGTGACAACTTCGAAGGAGTGGATGGACGATTTTTTGCGCTATTTCGTAACCGTGGATGAAACCTGGATTCACCACAATACACCAGAAACCAAGCAGCAATCAAAACAGTGAGTTTCTTCGGCCGAATCGGCGCCAAAGAAGGCCAAGCTGCATTTGTCAGCAAATAAAGTCATAGCGACTGTGTTTTGGGTATAATATACATTGATTATCTTCAAAAGTAAAGAACAATCGATCGTGAATATTATGCCAACTTATAGGAACGATTCAACGACGACTTGAAGAAAAATCGACCACATTTGGCCAAGAAGAAAATTATTTTGCACCAAGACAATGCAACGGTGCACAAATGTATAGTCTTCATTGCTAAATTGTCCGGGTTTAGCCCCAAGTGACTATTTGTTGTTTCCAAACCTATTTTGAGGACCTTGACAAATCTTATTTAATGGATGTTAAAAAACTTTAGACTTGGAGGGTATGTTGAGAAATAAAATGTTTTTTTGTCAAATGACCTGTGTTTAATGCAAAAAAGATTTATTGACCCGCCCTCGTACATACATACATATGCAATTTGCCTCTCGCCACCTCGAAACTGTTCTTGCTAACGTGTGAGTATTCCTCAGCTATGCCTGTTACTATGAATGTGACGTTTTTTTGTTGATTTTCAAGACATACATAGGAATCCTAAATACATATATTGGAATATTTTTTGAGTAAGTAAATAAAAGCATCGATTCTTTATTACAAAATTCATGTGATAGTTAAGTTTCGCACATGATACAGTAGGTAACCTGGTTACTTCTTTGTCTGACATTGATACGTAATTGCCAAAAACTGTGTAAAGACCTATAATTCAATGATTCTGTTGTTGATTTTGTCGGATTAGGTTTGAAAAGTTTAGCAGATTCTGGGTATCAATGATTGACGTAAGAACAGAAACAAAAATTCGAAGCAATGTTTAAGAAAAGCTAAACCTATTCTACAGTAGAACAATTATTTTGTGATGTAGTCGTACTAATTTTTGTATTCTACTAACTACTACTTCAGATTACCCAACAGGTAAAAGGCTAAACGGGATTTGAAGCCAAATATTATCAATCGTTGATTGAGAATTGGTATTTCTAAATTCTTTTCCCTGCTTGGCAATATCTGTGAGAAAGGGCCTATTGCATCTAGACGAGCTTATCAACAAAAAATTAAGAATTATTCATTATCAATCGTATCTTTAGGTAAGTACAATTCTGTTAATAAGCTCGTCAGAGAACAAATATGCTTGAGGTTGTTGAGAAATGGTGTGCACAGAATATAGATATATTTGTATTATTCTCTTTTGGTGTAATTGAATTGTAATTTTGATCCACGATCACTTTTCATTTTGGAACAGCATTTTTAGAAATATTTGCCCCTATATCGTCCTCCATAGATTTTTTTAAGGCGCTCCAGATCTGCATGCTTTCAGTGTCATGTGTGTTTTAGTATAAGATTCAATTAAATAAATTCAACTCCCATGATCTATAGAAATAAAAAAATATGAAACTGTAGTCATATGATTATCATTGATAAAAAATAACCATCACTTCGTCGTCACTGAATATTTAAAAAGCCTACAAAGCTTTTTTCTCATGACATTTGGGTAAGAAAACACGATATCTTAAATTCTTAAATATTCGCAGTCACTATATTTTTTTCGCGAATTATTGTGCAAAGTTAAAAGACGCGCCCAACTTTTGAATTTTTGGGAATAGCTTAATCCATAATTGATTTGTTCGAAGTGTTAGATAGTCTTTGACTCATTTTTTTAACTAATATAAGTAGTTTTCTATTTGCTTCAGCAACCTTCAACAGTTCACACAAGCAGATCTAGAGCTTGGATAATAATAATACTCTTGATATTTTATTTCCTTTATACACAGTATGGATAAATAATACTAATAAATTAATTGTTATTGTGATCATCTTCAAACAACTTGTACAGCTATAATTATTGTATTTTATTCAGCAATAAAATTGCTTTACGTTAACAGCTTTGTTTATTTAACTCCCTTCCGGAAATTGTTATGACATTTTGGGGGAAATGTAGTTTTGCCCAGCGTCTAAAAATGGCTGTTCCAGAATAATGGTGGTGGGCAGTATTAACATTTATCTTTGCACTAATTAACAGCTTGACACCCACAACTATTCGTTTGAAACAGCCTTTTTGCCGCTAGATTTAAGCTTCATAGTCCAGGAATTGATATATTTTAGGCCGAGATCCCATAGCATTAATCTATTTTTCACGAACTCCATCTGCATTACCAACAGATTGACCTCCTCTAATTGAGGTTACGTTCTGATCAAGGTAGCTCAGCTGTTCTTTTCGAACCCTAAAATTGAGCTAGACACTTATTGATTTGACAGCCCCATCTTTGTTTGGACTGTCTCAATTCACTGAAAATTTCACTAGAAAAGTTTTGACGCACAAACACAAAACGATACAGTCAATATAATTGCTAATGATCTTGACTATTCCAATTCACGGTATGTGGAAAAAAATTTATCGGTGTTTGCTATGAATAGTTTTGAATACGGTCAGTATCACCAGATTCATTGTCGCCAATAGTACAAACAATACAAAGATGTTACTTGCTGATCAGCTGAAAAATAGATCATCGATCCGGATGAACCCATGATTGATATTATAATGCGTTAATGGATACAGACTTTCAACTAGGTTTCCTATAGGGAACATGGTACAAGTACGTTTAATTCCAATTTGAAGATAATTTATTTAACACAAATAGTTTAATATGTTAGGTTAGATAATACCTGTTGATTTTTATGAAGCGTGTTGCTGCGTGCATGGTACCAGAAAAACCTCTGATATAAACTGCATGTGAACCACAGGTTTATCTGGTAGTATTGTTATGGGATCTGTGCTGTTATTATCTTAACTATGTACATTGCGTATCTCAGCCGAAAAAGCTTCGCCTGGAATCAGCAAATTGGAAGAAAGGCACAATCATACCTGAATGAGCGATAAAGTTCAAGTGTTCTAAACGAATCCCTGAAAGTCGGAATTTCAAAATATGCTCGCTTTCATTTTGGTATGGTAGAGCGATAAACGTTCGCGGCAAGCGTTATCACAAATATGGACTTTTCTCTGCCCCGATTGGATAATAATATGCAACAATATGTTCTTCTCTATAGCAACTATTCAGAGAATCACTTAGTGCCTAGATGGAAGTGGTTAACAAGACTAGTGTATCCTTCCCGTGGGACTTTTTGTACAGGAACTAGCGTTCAGTATATAAAAGAATATAATATACAAGTAGTACATTTAATCTATACTAACACTTTGGCATGCCATTTTTTATTATTCTTTTACAAAGTATACGCATTAAGTTACCGCTTGAACACCAACGGAAAAAAGCACTAGAGCCGCACATATGCTTGTGTACAATACTTGGTACGAGGCTTTCAAATCTGGAAGATCCTGAGCTTTTAATGGTAACAACTACTACTTTTTGTTGTAAAAATGTTAGGGATAAACGAATGGTTATTAAATAAATACTCAACAGTTTATTCCCTCGGTTTAATCGAAAATGTTTACTTTGAAATTTCTAATGTACCGGATACACCTCAAGAAAACGGAAACAGCTAAAAAATACTGCAGCCAAGTTAACGTAGACGTGGGGCAAACGAAAGAAGCGCTCTAAATAACTTGAGCAAACGGCCTGACCTTTGACGTTTGACAGGACAACTAAAGCTTCATCCATTTCATTTACTGCTGTTTTGTATTTTTAAATATGTTAGTTGTTTCCCAACGTAGTATCTATTTCAGATGCATAGATCCAGCATAAAACCTAACAACCTAAAGTTGAATATAAACATATTTTCATGCTTTTTGTTGTGGTTAATATTGCTACTGAAAATATCTATATTGTAGCTTACAGCGGCGTTGCCAGATCTAAGAATTCTAGTATGTGGTTGAATCATATATTGATAGTAAACTAAAGTTTGAGGATCACTATGAATACATTATTTCAAAAATTGTCAAAAAAAAAACAAATTACTTTTATAGGGCTGCTCATAGTCGTTGTACATATTCCAAGAAAATAGTTTATAATACAATTATTCTACTGCATTTACTATAGTGTTCAACTATCTTGTTCACTGCCAATGAAACTGTGTTATCAAAATTACAAGTCTTGAAAATAAAGCTATGAGAATAATATTGAATAAAAATAAGTACACCAAAATAAAATCTATATTACAAGAATTGCAGTGGTTGAATATAAAAAATTTCTTATCATATTTGGTTCTTATTTTTATATTTAAAATAAAAAATCATCTTTTTCCAGAACATTTAGAACACTAATAGAATTGAATAATCATTACCACAATTATTATACACCTACAAGAGGAAATATAGATTTTCATTTACAAAATTGCAATAGTAATATAACTAGCAAATCAATATTTCAGAAAGGATTACTTGAATTTAATAAACTAAACAATGATATAAAGTCTACTTGTAATTTAAAGATATTTAAAAGAAGATTAAAGGAATATTTCATGGACAATGAAAATTCTTAGAGATGCAAATTTTGTTTTTTTTTTTCTGAATATCTGTATGTTATATAATTGTTGTAGTTGTTTAAAAGAATGTAATTGTAGCAATCATGCTAAATAAATCTTAAACAAACAAAAATTAGTAGAATGATGTGGAATCATAAACAGTTCTGTATGGCGAGTTCGTATTTCATTAACATTAAGATTTATTTATGCATCTATAACGTCATTAACTATTTTAAACAGAAAACATAAATCAAACATTTCCCTGCGGTGTTTCAACGTACTTATTAGTTCTGAAGCATTTTAACTTCGATCCATTTTAATAAACAAAATTGCCTTGCACTGCTTCAATAGAGTGTACGTCACCAATTAAAGTTGCCGACCATACCACTGTGTTGTACTCCAAAATACTTCGCACCAAAGAGCAGGATGAAGTTCGAAAAACTTCTAGAGAGAGATGTGGTAGAGCTAAAAATGTATCCTAATATTTTATATGATTTAGAAGTAAGTTCTAACACTAAATTCATTTTGAACCAAAAGTTATACCTACATCTCTAGCTGTATCAGTTCTCATGAGGTCAGGATTTTCAACTTTATATTCATACGTGAGAGAATTTGAACAATGACGGAAGCTTATCTTGTAGCATTTCTTGAAATTGATGTTGATCTTATTAGTAAGATATTTAAAAGGTTCAAGTATTTTCAAGAAAAATCAATCGATCTATTATGTCAGATGTAATACTTACTTTATTCATTACTTTTCTAGCAAAACTACGTTTTAAGAAACCTCTTCGTGAACCCTTATATGAAGAAAGCATTTCGTACAACGTTTCTCCAGAACAGATCCTCGCTTCTTCTGAAGGTGAAGCACCGCTCATTAATACAGAACCTGAAAGCGATATCCCTTTATCACCACCATACGTCAAAGCACCTCTTGAAGACAGGTCCAAGTACGAAAAACTCAGCCAACTACCTTGCGACGTTACGTCCGATAGTAGTTCCGACGAAGATAATGTGAAGAAATCAGAGAAAAGGAAGAAAAAGATCAATATTCCTGAGAAGTTACATTCCGTCTACAAGACTGTAGAAATGCCTTTGAAGAGTCTGAGGCACAAAGAACCAAAAGCGAAGAAAAAGCGACAACCCAAAGATGAATCATCAGTTGACATGGACTCCGATGATTCTATTGGTTCAGCTAGCGATTTAAGAGTGGATGAAGATCATCTTGAAGTGCCCACAAGGGAAGATGAGACTGTAAGTGAAAGTATAAACACTTGCGGTTCCTCAGCTTACCATGCAGAATGTGAAAGCATGGCCACTCATGAAGAAGACGCTGTTAGTAGAATGATTCGCACAAAGCAACGCGAAGATGCAAAGAAAATTATTGTTCAGTCTGAGGACATGTTGTTTGTGGGACACCAGTATGGGGAAAGACCACTTCTTATGGACGACGAGTTGGATTCTGACTGCGAGGTTAAGTTTAATCAAAAGTGGAATGCTGAAAAGAATAATGTTAAGAACGAAATTTGGATTGCACCTTCGAGTAGTTATGAAGATAATAAGGATGTGTTTGCCTTAGCTCCTTTTGTAAAACAGCGTAATAGGAAGATTGATGTAAAAGTTACCGAAGCAAAGCAACGATTTCAAGAAGAAACATTTGCAAGCTTCAATAAAAGCGAGACATGCCTAGCAACCACGTCTACACCAAGCTTAAATCCCTTTCTAAATGATAATTTTGTTCTGCATCCTCCGGAAGCAGTATCAAATGTTCCTCAGAATTCCACAAATTGTTTTCCTGATACTAGATTCGAAACAAATTTTACCCAAGTTACCAATTTTAGTGAAATAACTAACCATTACGAAAATGTAAACATTCCGGGGAATCTTAGATTCTTCAATGATTTCGTTAGCCCATCTCCACCTGAAAAACGAACAAACTTCCCGACATCTAATTCAGAAGGAAATTTGCAACTACACTTCGAACAGGACATTTCATACAGAATAAAAAAAGACAAACGAAAAGAAAAAGACCAAAAATCAAAATATCATTTGATCGACGACCGTGTGTCGGACGAAAGTCCTAGTTTTTCGGTGAAACCAAAAAGTATTCAAAGTGGGCACGTGTACAAAAAATCAAATAACAAATCTAAAAAGTTTGCCGCCAAAGGCAAGATTGAGGGTGGGTTCAGCAATATGAGCTTTGAGGATTTTCCATTGGATGATGACCAGTATATAGTGGAAGGTTCTATAATGCCCTTTGAGGTTTTGAGAAGTCCAGAGCAAGAGGAAAAGAAGTTTGGGTCCAAGCGAATCAACAATCCGTTCACTTGAAATGACACTTGCTGGTTTGAATATGTTAAACTAAGCACGAATTAGAACATACTATAAGTTATAATACGAGTTTATAAGACTTTAATATGAGGTCGGCTCTGACATAATCATTATAAACTGATCCCCAAGATGTTTATCAGGAAATTACTTCACACAGTCAAAAATAAAATCACTAGGTCAGTACGTAGTTCCCACAACAAAGTCAAAAAATGTCGACACATGAAGTTTGGATATATTGAACACACCTAAATTATTTTTAGTTTTCATGATTCATGTCAGTGGTTTTGAACTCTTGTAATTATTCCATCCTTTCTTTAGCAGCTAGTATGCCTATAGTTTCATTATTGTTGAACAATAGCTGTATGCAGAAAACGGGATATAATCCTCAATGCAAGTAGT